TGCCAAGCAGTCTTTTGCAGTGTGAGAATTTGTGGAGTTTCTTAGTTTTTTTCGTTGTAAAGTGATTGGGGGGATTAATTGATTAATCCAAAAAATAATAAGCAGATTTTGAATCGAACATGTTAAGCTTTAGCCAGTAAAGCTTTATTCCTTATTTTCACCGTAAACATCAGATTTTTGCAACATGCCATAAGTGTTTTAAGTAGCTGACACGTTCCCATCTCTCATTTTTTACAGATCTGACTGTCGACGGACCTGAGACTGACTCTTTAATCACGAGCAATATGGCACCAATGTTCCCTGCATTTAAAGGTGGGTCAGTCTTTCAAATATTTATTGGCTGCTGGTTTTTCTGGCTGCATCCAAAGCTGGAAATGTGAGTCCTGGTGATGAATGAGTTAAAATAAAATCCCAGATCTGTCAGAAGGGGTTCATCTGCCAGCTGGATGAAAGAGCTTTTGAGCTGAACAATTTAATTAACTAGTGACCTGAAAAGGTTACTCTGGATCCCAACTAGACATGACGCCACGCTGTTTTGTGAAATTGTTAAACACTCAAGTTTTCCGAGAGCAGGTATTGTGGTTCGCCTGCTCTTGTGAGCCAATTTTTATTGCTCAATATTATACTTTTCAAAGCTGATTTCCTAAAAACAGGCTATATTTTTAACCCAATTGGTTCTTAAATATACATAACAGGAGTCCAAAGATCTAACCGCTGTGATTATATGGGACTACTGTACTTTAATTTAGTTGAGCGCTTTCTGTAAAGTACAATTAAAGGTTTAGTCAGGGGATGTTTTCCAGAGTTAATCCCGCTGCCATCCTGCTGCAGACGCCGCAGTTTCCTTCACAATAAGATTCAGTTTAAAGGTGGTTTAGTTTTCAAAGTGATTGAGCCGACTCACCAAACTGTGCTCGAAACAACACAGTCGATTAGATCCCACATGAAATCTCTTGTGTTTTAAATGGTTGAGGTTGTATATGAATTTAACTGTTGGTTCCCTCCCTTGATTTTTGTGCTTTTGCTCATACACATGTGTTGCTTAATTCTGCCTTAAATCCTTTGAGGATTATGTCTGTACCTGCACATACTACACACTATTACAAAATCACCTGTGTCATTTGTGAAAGTATGTGTGGCTCAACATGACGTGAAAATGCCGTGGCCTGCACAGCTGCATGAATGAGCCATGCATTTGTTGAAACTTGTTGATTGTGTTGGGGGGGGGGGGTTGATTCATTAAGGAGTTGTTTTAGCCAACACAGCTTTGGTTGTGTTTCCACTGGGGCCACACATGCTGTAGATGGAAACTCTTTCTCACTTGTATGAGCTACCACTGGTAGAAACACCTCCTCTAAATACTGTAGAGTGTATCTGTTGGAAACCTAAATATAAATCAGCTAACAGATGCTGCCCCCTGGTGGCACATTACTTCTTATACACTGTGTATGACCCTTCCTGCAGGGATCATTTCCACATTAAAATATATTTTCCTTTTATTTCTACATTTAAATCACATGCATATTATTATCAGTTGTGTATATATTGGTGGAGTACTAACATGTTTTTTTGTGTGTATTCTTTCTAACCGCAGATGTTTGGACCCATGTCCATGATGTCCTGCTTCCAATGTACTCACAACAGCTGAACGGAGTCAACGTCATGAGCGGGCCGATATTTGATGAAGACTTTGACGGAAACGTTGATGCATTCAAACCAATCTCAGGGTAAATGAGTCAATCAATCAGTCAATTAGAGGTGCAGCCAACAATTAGCTTTATTTATCAATGAACAGGATATTTATTGATTTAGTAATGATAATTCTTATGACAAATGAGCGTCGTATCAGATGGATCTATTAAACAAACTATCCGAAAGTCGAAGATGTTCAGTTTAGTATCACATGTAAAGAAAATTCGCTAATTCTCACTTTTCAGAAGCGAGGGACAGTGAATATTTGCTATTTATTATAATCAATCAGCAATATAAGTTAATATTTATTTTGGAAATGCAGCTCAGAATCTGCTGTCCTCTTAAAAAATACTTGGTTGAAAAATGCTTTGACATGATGTAAGGGTTAGAGAAGAAAGAGGAATCTTAAGTCATCTGTCTTGAGTAAATTGTGGTTGATAATGAAACAGGTTTCAGTTTCCCACGAATTCCTGCAGATGTAAATACTTAAATCTCAGAGCTTGTGATGGCATCAAGTAGACCAGACACATACACATGTACACATTTGGAAATGGAGGATTTTGTCAAGATCTCTTTTCGTCACGAATTACTCTATTTAGCTTTGTGTCATGAGCTCAGTAAACTTTCCAGAAATATTCGCTCTTATGAGGAATTATACTGGGCCATTACATTAGTATTTATGCTGCGTTTACCCTCTCAACACTGCTACATTAAAGGCCCTGAATGCATTTCCTCAATCAGCTTCTTACTTTAAACAGCCAGTTCCTACACGAACAAACGGTTTTCTGCCAAAGTTGGAGCAGTTTTAGTTGTTTCACTTGAGACGTCTCTGTCTCTCTTTTGTTTCGTCTGAATTCCACTCTGTTGTTTGAGTGGGTGGGACTCAGTTTCAAAATTATCTTATTGTGGCTAAGGGTTTGTTTTTGATTTTTACTTAAGCTTGGTTGTAGCAAAAAATACTTTGAAATAATAGATAATTTGAAACCACATTTTCATCAGTTTTAACATAACCAGCGAACCTGCAGTTTTGACCAATCCTCCATCAGCTTAGGTTTTATAAATGAAAGTATTCGGGTTGTTTTTTTTCTGCACGCATCACAAGTTAAAATGAGAGCTGTGATCTCTGGTCTCTCCAGGAATGAGGCTCCCGTCCCGACACATTTCTTCGTGATCTTAACCAGCTGTGGCAACTCGACCTTCAGCCCCGTCAACTGCCAGGGACCGCTGCAGGCGAAGTCCTTCATCCTGCCCCACAGACCTGACCACACAGAGAGCTGTGCTGTGAGTAACACCACAACCACGTCACTCTACTTCTGTGGAAACTCGCTGACAAATCCCACAGTGGAAATAATGATCAGACCTGATAAGTTTTTAATAGATTTCCCTTTCTCTTCATTCCTCCTCCTTTTCCCCTCTTTTTATCTCTCTTCAGACCGGGTCGGACTTGACGTGGGTGGAGGAGTGGCTACATTTTCACACCGCCCGGGTCCGAGACATCGAGCTCCTGACCGGACTGAGCTTCTACCACGACAGGTTATCAGTGGAAGAGACGCTACAGCTCAAGACGTTTCTACACACTGCGTAAAATCAGAGACATTATCAAAGTAAAGTTTAAATTTCCAAAGGAAGCCCTATTGGTCTGCACAGCAGGCCTCTGTCTATGTGGACACACAGTTAACCTGCTCTCAGCGGGTTTAACAGGTGCCTCACCTATAAACATTTCCTGTTTTCAGACCATATTAATCCCAACGTCCATCCATTTTTTTAGAAAAAAAAAAAAAGTGTAATATATCTGATTCCAATTTTACAATTATTCAATGTGTGAAAGCCATGCATTTGTTTTCGATCGTGTTTTTAAAGACGGCTGTACAGAGAAAAGTCAGAGGGTGTTTTTATAAATGAGGCTTTGAACCAAAGACAACGTCACATCCGCTGAATGACTTTCCTCACATGGGACTAAAACAAAAAGGGAAAAGGAAGCATTTATCGAAGGAAGAAGTATTTATACCACAGATTCTTTTATTTCAGGAAACGCTGATGATCTGGAAACATATACGTCTGCTGTTTTTTTTTGTTGGGGGGGGGGGGGGGGTTATTTTTTATTGAGGGAATCCTGCCACACATCTGGACAACTAACTGCAGCTGCAGGACACACACCCAATGACAATTTAAGAAAGAAAATAATAAGTTTTGCTTCTCAATAAGAAATTGTTTTGACGTTTTCACCTGCCAAATGTTGATTGTTGTTATTGTATTTCCTTTACACAGCACCAATGTTGTTCTTAGTATTGTGTAAATTTTTGGTTAATGACATTTAATAAGAGATAATTATTCAGTTGAGTGTGTGTGCGTGTGTGTATGTGTGTGTGCACGTATGTATGGACCGATATGTGATTATTAGTTTGCCCTTGGGCACAGACGTGTAAAACCCCCACCGCCACCTCTCCGACACAGGAGCCTGACACCCAGACTGAAAGAGACACAAAATGACTGTCATTTCACATCTTTTTGAGTGTGTGTGTGTGTGTGTGTGTGTGTGTGTGTGTGTTGTGTCTGTCTTTGTGGTCGTTTTACAACTTTTTGTGGACACTTTGAAGTCGTTTTTTTCTATCTCTCCATGGCTGTTTGTGTCTTTTTTTACTGCTTTTGTGCCTCTTTGTTGTCATTTTGCCTCTGTGGTGGTTTGTGTCTCTTTGCGGTCGTTTTGTAGTCGCTCTCTTCTTTGTGCGCGTCTGTGTCAGTGACGTTCTGCAGGTGAAGCAGAACTCTCAGGTTCTGAACTTTAGTATGTAGTTGTAGAGATGAGAGCTGAGAGATGAAGAGAGGTTGTCTGCGCCCGGCGTGGTCTGTTCAGTAATCTGTCCGTGACTGTGTGTGTAAATGTGTGTTTGTGGTTATTATTTGTGGGATCAACACACTCTTTGTTCAGTCTTTGATTTGCCACTTCACAGCAGCTGTTTGCAAATAATTTGTGCAAAATGAAAAACTCAGATTTAGGTATTTCCATTATGTTATATATTTTTTTCCAGTACTGTCAGAAGTGGTAGCTATGGACAAATACACAATTTCATATAAAATCTCTTCTATACTGACTGTGTGGCTTCAGTTCTTTGCAATTCTTTGTTTGACTGCAAACACACTCTCTTCACACTTACAGCGGAGCAAAATATGAATTATAACCAATCAGCAGTCGCACTCTTAACCGTCTCCAGACTGCAACTGTATGTGTGAATGCACAAGGAAGGAAACTGAGCTCTTAATGTTCTCTTCAGTAAATGCAGCAGCGACTTCCTCTGGCTGACCAAACCGGTGGTGCAGGGAGCCTGAAGGTAAGACCTTGCAGCTTGTTCGCTCTGCACCTCTTTATCTTTGCAGTGACCTATTTCTCATGTCTCAAACCAGAGCTTGTTCTCTGTTTCGACGCTGATGTAAGATGGGCTCGATTGTCACATTATTATTCAGACATTGCGGTTGAGATGTAGCAACGAATGAGGAGAGTTGAGTAAAATGTTCTTTGTAATTACAGCTCTTTTTTTTTAGTCAAGTGAGAAATCCTGTGATTTCTTTTAAAGTGAATGCACTGTATGAGTGGAAATTTCCTTTTCTCCTTATTTGCCTGCAAACATTGTGCTGGCTGCATCAGGTGTATTGACATTCGGCATTGTTGTGTAACATGACAAGAGCATTTATGTTTATAAATCTGTACATGTGGAAGAAAATATGATCATATTCATAACTTCAGGTTTGATTCATGTGTCTCAAGTGCAACTTACCTGAATTATTATTTTTATTTGTATGAATGTTTGGAAGCCGGTGTCTCTCAGAGCAGTATAGTGAAAGTGAAACACATATACTGTTGGTCATTGGTGAGTTTCTTTGTATTTCTTAACTTTACTGAGCTTCTTTTTGACTGACATGAAATTGCAGAGTTACTGTAAAGAATTTCACGCTGCTTAAAACTACATGGAAACCAACGCAGTGCAGATAAATTGTGTGTGTGTGTGTTTGTGTGTGTGTGTGTGTGTGTGTGTATGTGTGTGTGAGAAAGAGCGCGTGTGGCCATAACATGGGTTTTTAGTTTAAATTTGCCTGTGGTGATCGGTCTCAGCTGACCCGATGTGCGTAGTCATTCGCAAAGGTCTTCCAGGAAGCTCTGCTCTGGGTGGGAAACATCGTATGACTGTTTTGGTCTTTCACACGCCATTCAGATGCCATATTTGGGTCCTAGTTTAATCAGTCAGGTGTCCTTTACTGTCACTGCTGTGGTGGGCTGATATGGTTTCCCACCTTCTCTTCTCGGATGTGAACTCAAACCTCGCCACTAAACCACGGACAGCCTGAATCATTATGGTCCTTTGCATAGTTGAGGTAAGTATGAAATGACTGGGCTTGCATTGCTGAAACGATGATCAGCCTCCTATCAAACTGTCAACCTGATTTGAGGGATGTGAGTCATCAAATGATGCATCAAATCACAGACAAGCACGAGGAAATGCCCCTTACATCACAACCTTTCTCTAGCACCATCTTGCCTCATTGATATTCACAAGAATCCCTTCAGGCATGGTGCACATCAGCAGAGGACAGATAACAGCTGTGTCCCTCTGTGAGCCATGAGGCCTAATTGCAGCTGATTGTGTTCTCTGGCCTCCTGGCAGCTGTGGATAGTGACAAGAACAGGCTCTTATCTCCCACCACAGGCTGGCATTCAGCTATTCAACAGGCCAGTTCCTCTCTACTCCCAGTGCTTCATTTGTCTAATACTGAGGAGGGAAATGATTGATGCAGATTAACATGTGCACTATTTATAAATGGGATCTACTTATAAGTTGAATAAGAACTGAAAAGAAAAGTTTGACAGTTAGTGGAAATACGTTGATTTGTTTTCTTGAAGAGTAAGATGAGAAGATCGACATCGCTCTCATGTGCGTGTGTAAAATTGTGCTTAGCATCAAGGCTGGTATCAGGAGGGAAATAAAGCAAGCCTAGCTCTGTCTAATGGTAACAAAATCTATCAGCAACTTATGAAACTGCTTCATGGATGCACAAGAGACCAGAGGATGGAGAACAGAGACTGATGGACAATGACAGACGTAACTGAAGTTCCTTGTGAGTTCTCAGTTAAACCAGAAGTACAAGGCACACTCTGCGACAGACATAGTCTTTATTTTGTTCATGAATCTCCTGGGCCCTTAGATTCCAGTCACAGAGAGTCACTGCAAATGAGATATAACGTGTTCATTAACAAGCTTTAGAAGTGGTGGGTCAATTTTGTTACCTTTGGACGGAGCCACGTTTGCTGTTTCCCCATGTTTCTGGTCTTTACACTAAGCTATGATAAGCTAAGCTATGCTAACCGCCTGCTGGCTGCAGCTTCGTGTTTCACTATCGACAAGGAAGTTCCCAACCTTTTCCAACTCATGATCAACTTGAAAATCTCCAAAATGTAGGCGGCCCACATCCGACCCCGTAATAATGCGGAGACCAAATAATGCGTTCGCAGAGCACTTTTTTATTTCATTGATAACAGTTAAACATTCAAGATGAAACTGAAAGCAGGAGAAGCTCACTTTTTTCTTTTTCTTTTTGATGGGGGAGATAACTTGTCTAATCACCGTCTTTCTCTTTACTCTTTCCTTTGAATTCTTCCTGTTGCTAACCAGCTTTCCATTTTGAGGCTCCATTTTTTGCCATGGATGTAATAATCTAGTGCGCAAGTATACAATGTGGTCAGCATCATTGGCATCCTACCATTGGCTTATTACAGAGTTTTTCAACATTATTTTTTAATGTTTTTAAAGATCATTTCATTTTAAAACATGTGAAAACCTTATATGTATTTTTATTTTTTTCATGATTACATCTAATTTCCCAAATTGTTGAACTATTCCTGATAATAAAATAAAAAGCATTTCAGTCTGTATGGTATTTGCATTTCATAAAACAGACCTCTACTCCTCTTTTTGACAGAATGATGAGCTTCCTCTGCTAACAATGCATTTTTATTCAGTTGAATAAGATTTATTAATAAATAAATAGACTTAGTTAGAAATACGTCTACTGACCTTCAAAAGAAAAAAGGGGGAAAAAAAGAAACTAGAACACAGACACACGTTAGCCATCAATAATGCAAGGGTTGGCATTTGGTTTGTTTTGCAGCGCTGCCATCAGTGAAGCATCACTGCTCTTACTGCAGCTGAGGAAGTGGTGGTGTTTGATTCAGGAGAAGGGGCTGGTTACTGAGGAAAAAACCAAGAGACAGACAGGAGAGGAAGATGATGACATATTGGTAGTGTGAGAATAGCTGTGGCGACAGAGCTTAAAATATTGCTCAAACGAAACTGTGTCTTTGTTTCAGGTGTCATCAGATCCTGTGCTGCTCTGCCTGACTAACCTCCTGCGTCATCAGGTAGCAGATTTGTAACTCCTCACTTGCCTTTAGAGAGAAATATATTAGAAGATGGCATTTCCGGGGCTACTGGGGTAGAGTGAGGTTTCATCATCCAAGTGGAAATACTACCACTAGATGTATATCTGCTCAGGAGGTCTACATCCTGCTCTGACGCAGCTGGAGACTCAGAGGACATCACAATCAGGAGAGGGGATCTTGCTGTAGCAGCACGTAGAGTAATGTTTTCTATCTTTCACTCTTTCAGCGCCAGAAGACCAGAAGAGGAGGTCTGAAGCTGGGTCCAGTAAGGGGGAGTGTTCAGGGAGGAGAGAAGGAGGAGACAGTAACAAAAAGGAGACAGTGAGGCAGAGAGGACAGACAGAGAGAAGAAAGGCAGTGATAGCAACACACGATCAGAGACAAAAGATGGATTTAAATTTACTTCAAGCTCTGGAAAGAGAAAGAGTACTGGAGGTTCTTCGGAGAGACAAGCAGCTGCGTATCATTGAGGAGGACAGGATCAGGTGAGTCATTTTACATCACTTTCATATGTGCTGTGACAAATTTACTTCTGGGAATCCCTCTCAATGATGCTGAGAGGAGGCTGAACTATCTGATCTCAGTGATCCTAACGAAGCAGCAGACAATGTAAACTAGAGGTGGTCATATTGCCAGAAAAATATGCTTTTTTCTGTAACCGAAACCTGTGTTAGTTTGGTGTCTAATACTTTTAGCTGTGTGAAGAACATTTAAATAAGTCTACTGACTTGCAAAAGTTAAAAAACCAAACTAGTTTGTTTGCTTCTGTGGGCTACAGTATATTCTATTTGTAGTACAGCCTAAGTATAGTTTAAGCGTCACACGCCAGTAGTGACGGAGGTGAAGTTTTTCTTTGTAACACTGGCAGTTAAAGGTGCCCCTTCTCTCTTCTCAGGAGGATGAAGTACGAGCTCCAGGAGCTTCGAAGGAGAGGTGCCAAGAGTTACTCCCGGCAGTACGGCGAGCGGACCTGCGCCCGCTGCCAGAGGCCTCTGGGAAAGTTCTGGAACTCGGGCGCAGTCTGCCGCGGCTGCAGCCACCGGATCTGCAGCAGGTGCCGAGTAGGTGTAGGAACAGCTGACTGGAAGTGCACGGTCTGCCACGCCTACAGGTACAGGAAAGATGCTAAACCACCTGCTTAATGCAAAGAGAGCTGAAGTGTTTGAGTCAGTGGTGCTCCGGTCACAGCACAAAATTACTGTAGAGTGTATGTGTCTGAGGAGAGAGAGATGTGGGCGACAGTTACTACCAACAACTTCCTGTACTGTAACTGTTGCTTCTCACTCTTGGAGATCGGTTTCTGGATTTTTTTCTTTTTGAAAATTTGAATAAGATCATTTCTGTCAACTCTTGATTTGCCCCTTTAAATTTTACATTTTTACTTAAAAAAAACTTTTTTGAAGCTGCTTTGCATGAATTTTTTTTTCTATCATAACAAAATATTAAATGACAAATTTAAAACAATGTGAAAGGGCAGGAATTATCACCTGAATCTGCAGCGCCACTGTTTTGGTTCACGTTCACCCAGAGCTGCAACAATTGATCAAGCTGATCTGGAAAAAAAAATCTTTGGCTCCAGCTTCTAAAATTTGAGGACTTGACTTTGGCTTTGGGAAACTGTGATCTGCACATATTATGTTGTATGCATGCGTATGTTTCTAGTGAAAAAGCTCTCAAAACCCCCTGTGTCTGCTCAGCACCAAGCAGCAAACAGACACAGTTAGTGACTAGTGGAGCGTCTGGCATTTCTTTCAGGAGTTGGTGGAGACCAAAAAACAGAGTTAAACTTACATTCATCATCAAGAGTCCAGAAACATGACTCCAAATGAAAACTAATGTCTTTCTGTAACTGCTGGATGTGAAAATATACAGCTGTTTCCTTACAAATTCATCATGTCAACACAAAAAAGGTGATGACATGTCAATGTTGTGTTTACAACATGCACACGAATGGCCAAAAATCAGTTAGTGCAGGTTTGATATACATAATACATGAGTTACCCCTCTGAAATAAGACTTAAGTTATCTATAATGGGAAATAAAACTTGAGTCAAAAGGGGTTCTCAAGAAGAGATTGTGTGGACGAAGATGTGGTCAGGTCATGATCAGTGCTCGCTATCTATTTTAGTGCTACAGTTTGCGGTCTGTGGCAATCGACAAGGTTAACAGTTACTACCAGCGACGCTTTATGCCTCTGGATATTCTGACTTAACTACTCTCTGAAGTGTGAGAAAGATCATTTCTGTCAACTGTCAACTGAAGGAGGAAATGCATTCTGACGATGTGATTATCTAGTCATTCCTGTCTGCTCAGCACAGTGTTTCTCCTCTCCACAGGGAGGTGAAGATCAGGTCTGGGGAGTGGTTCTTAGAGGAGAAGGCAAGGAAATTTCCGGTCACCACAGGTGTGTTTACAATACGTGCACTGCATGTATTCACAATTGACTTGTTTCGTTTATATTGACTGTTATTTATTATTAATATTCCCTTGATATTATCCAGTTATAAAAAAACATTGAATAATAAAATATGGATGATCCAGGTTATGTTTGTTTAAGTTACTGAATTATTCACTGTGACCATTTTACTCTGTGGTAAAGTATCAGAGACACAGTGGCAATATTTAATCATATGTGTGGAGGTCTGTGACCAATAAGGATATTTAAATGTTTTTACATGTCACACACACACACACACACACACACACTCAAAAAGATGTGAAATGACAGTCATTTTGTGTCTCTTTCAGTCTGGGTGTCAGGCTCCTGTGTAGGAGAGGTGGCGGTGGGGGTTTTACACGTCTGTGCCCAAGGGCAAACTAATAATCACATAATCGGTCCATACATACGTGCACACACACATACACGCACGTACACACACTCAACTGAATAATTATCTCTTATTAAATGTCATTAACCAAAAATTTACACAATACTAAGAACAACATTGGTGCTGTGTAAAGGAAATACAATAACAACAATCAACATTTGGCAGGTGAAAAACACACACATAAAAATATATTTTCTCCTGTCGTCAACTTACCCATGGTGATATCAATCATCATGTGACTTTCACACATGTACTGCCATGTGTCATTCATTTTATTTCTCTTCTTTACAGACAAATATGAAACAGTTGGGGAGAAGCTATTAAAGACCTGTAATGTGCTGAGGTATGATGAATCTTTACGTGTTGATATCAAGTGTGTGGCGCTGCTCTGATTCATTAAACTCAATACTTGAAGATGAACCATAAAGTAAAATGTTTTTGTCCTTATATTTTCACAGTCACATATCAGTTGTGCCACCGACTCCTCCGCCCCATTTGGATCATCAGTTTCTGAGCAGATCTGGGGTAAAGTGCCGACAAAATTCCAGCATTATTTTATGGTAAAAGTGTAAAAATGTATAGAAGTGAGTTTCAATGATTTTGTGTTTTGTTCTGCAGGATTTGAAAAACACAAAACCTTTTACCAAATCAGTGGAGGATCTAATGGTTTCGTTCACAAGTCACATCAAAAGTAAGTTGTCACAAAACAGTCAGTAGTGGTCAACATTTAAGAGGAATTCTTTTGTAAGCAGTGCAACATTTAACATGACAAGCGGTGCGAACATGTGTGAGAAACATCACTTCCTCTGGATTATATCATTATCACAATCTGATCTCTCTCAATGAGCTGAATACATGCAAAGTAGTGACCACAAAGGAAACTTGCCTGAAAATAACAAGAGGCAATAAATAAATAAATAAAAACCCTCTTACCTCATAAAAATCCTAAAAAAACCCCTTTAACGTCTTACCTCATAAAAGTGCTATCATCAGCAGAAGTTGTTTTTGATCATGGTCACAGACAGCAATGACATGCATGACTTGGGGTTTTTTTTTTTTTTTCTCTTCTGAGATTTCTGTGACTCTTTTCTCCACACAGAGATTTCAACTTCTCAAAACGATGTGCGAGGAGACCTGCTGAAAGTTGACAACGGCCGCAAAGGGTCGCGCTTCATCTACAGCACCCAAAAGAGCCTGTCTGACACCGACATCAGCAAAGCATCCCATGTAAGTCGGCTACGGAGCTCATACATACACTCCCACCAAAATCAAGAAGCCGTGAGAGCACAGGGTCTCCCCCCGTTGCCATCTCAAGTGAAGGAAGATTAATTTCAGCTTCATGTACAAAACAGGAAATAAAACTTATCATACATACACTTATCATATCTTACATAAGTCCTGCCATTAGCAACAGACACGGCCACACAGAGGCTGCTTCTTTGTCCCTGCACACCTGTTTAAACCGGGTTGAGGTGGACCTTTCTACACGAGGGCCATTAAAGTAATCTAAGACGTTTTAGTGATCCCTGCTGGTGGTTAGAAGGAATGACAACTTAAAGTCTCAAAGTCTGTGATTTTTTTTTTTTTTTTTTGCACCACAAATTACAGCACCTGGCAAAGTGATAACATAGTTGGTATTGTTTATCAGCCTGAATCCCCTGTGATAGCTTCCATGGTTTTGGTGTGTAAAAGTATAGTAAAGAAAACGATCCCTCTTCTTTTTGCAGCTCTTCAAAGTCCCAAGTCTTCCAAACCTGTTCAAGAAAAACAAAGACAGCGACCAGGAAGGCTCCTCCACCGGGGCAGAAGAAGAAACTTCCTTCAGTTCTGAGTATTCTGGAGGAAAGAGAGTGAGTACAAGCTGACGATGAGAGAGAGAAAAAAAAATCCCCAAGCAACATCCTGTGGTTGAAATGTCAGATTGTGATCATTTCAGCGTCCTAGCTCGTATATAAACTCCCTTTCTTCTGTACTTTCTTTACTACTTTAAGTGAATTGAAGTCTGTCATTTTGTGTCTTTCTTTCTGTTTAAACATAAAATATTAAGCTGCAGCCTGTGTTTTGCTCCCTCAGGGCAGTAACAGCAGCATCAGCACAGAGTACGGCTTCTTTGACATCGTCAGCATAGCAGGAGAGCTGGAGCTGGCTCTGGCCTACAACACCAGAACCTCCTGTCTGGAGATCACGGTTGGCGGATGCAGAAATCTCGCTTATGGAGACGCCAAGAAGAGGAAGTGTCACCCGTAAGGATAATAAATACAGCAAGGGGGAATCACATACAGTATGACGTCATTTTAATGTGTGATACTTTATCTAAACCTCAGCATCCTGTATGTGTTATCTCTCTGTGTGTAGATATGTCAAACTCTATGTGCTGCCGGAAAAGAGCGGCAAAATGAAGACGGCCGTGAAGAGAAATACGACTGATCCGGTTTATAATGAGCTTTTGAAGGTAAAAAGACACAGATGCATTTACCCAGCTATTCTGATAGTTTGGTGTTGTATCATATTTGACTTGGCCAAATTATATATATTTCTCTGTCAATTTTTTTTTTACAGTATCAAATAGAGCGGCACCTGCTGTTTGGAAAGAGACTGCAGGCCTCTGTGTGGCATTCAGGGACCCTGAGAAGGAAGGTGTTTCTCGGTGAGATCCTAATTCCACTGGATGGCTGGAGATTTGAGAACGAAGCCTCCCAGTGCTTCAACTGGTACCCGCTGTGTCCAAAGGTAAAACCAGAGTATTACACTGTCTTATTATACAGATGAGGAGAAAAGTTAAAAGTTCTTACATTATACCGTGTAATAAATATAATATATATACCTTAGGATCAGATTATATTTTAGCCATGCTAGCAGCGTGGCTCTACAGATGGCAGTGTCCATCTGTTGGTCCATCCACCACATTAAGTCCACATTAAGATATCTCGACAGCTTCTGGATGGATTGCCATGAACTTCTGTACAGGAGTTTGTTCCCCAGATGACGTGTCATTATGACCTCTGACCTTTCCTCCAGCACTATCATCAAGTCAAGATTTAGAAAATAATAACGCTGGATATTTTTCTTTAAATTTTCTTTCAATCCCTAATAGTTTTAGCAGTTTTAGAAATATATTAGATTATTTCATGATTATATATTTTTTTTCTATAATGAATTATTCACATTCATTATTCAAAGGGTTTCATGGCGTGATGTATTGATCATTAAATGTGAACATTAAAAACATTAATATGGAAGTTGTCTTATAATTTTTCCTCTTTCTTCAATTTCTGTGTCACGCAGGCTGAGAGTCCAGACGGAGGCGCTATGGAGCAGGACAGAGGAGAACTGCCGGTCAAGCGCAGCTCCATCAGCCAGGGTGAGCTCCTGCGGCTCAGCTCCCTTAAATGTCTCCAAGAAAAAGAGATGCATCTGACTGTTTGCCAGATTAGATAAACCTATTGTATTCTTATTTAATTTATTTAAGAACTTAAGAACTTCTCTCCATTTCAACACGGTGAAAATGTTGCTGATCATCCCCAGGTTTGCAGCAAATCTTGCAAATGGAGAACTGTGCAGTTGTATATGATAAGCACAAAAACATCACATAATGTCAGCTTTTAGAGAGAAGCCGCGACAGCCTTGTGTTTAGCTTACTTTTTTTTTGTTGTTGTTGTTGTTATTTATTTATCTATTTATTTATTTTGACCCTTACTTTCTCAAATCATGCGAAGCATTAAATCTTTAATCTGAAATAAAACATAAATATCACAAAAAGCTACTTTTTAATGTGTTTTTCAGAGAGCCCAGGCAGGGTTTGGATCCCCTGATGCCGTGTCTTGTAGCCCATTGATACATTATATCTGATATTAGGCTTTACAAATAAACTTGATTAAACTTCAGTTGCAAGGTTTCCATCCTCCACCAATGTCATATTACATATGAAAAACAATAAGAATTCACTCAAGAAGAATTCCACGGCTGATATTTTTTGTCTCATAAACAAGAAGTATAGTATAGTTTCTAGTGTTCAATAGTTGCATTAAGAGAGACTCCTAAACTCCAACACCAATATAGGAGATTATAACATATATTCTGGTGTGGCTATCATGTGGTTCAATGTGCCACAGATGTTCTGCATGTGATAACCAACAATTCGAGAGTTGCTGTTCAACTCCTCAACGCTTTTCAAAAAACATAAAATGAGCTTTACAGATAAAAAGACGATAAATAAACATCCACAGTATAAATGATGCTTTTACACGACATGACTTGAAAACAGTGTTTAAAAGGAATAAAACACGCACCGTGTTTCTGCAGCATCAACTCTTGGTTCTTTAACTACAGCACTAGAGGTCAGGAGAACGTCTCTTTTGGACACTTCCATGACAGCCAGAGGTGAACACTGGGCTACATGGCAATGATCGACTAGCTGTCCTTATCAAAGGTGCCAAACACCTTCCCATTAATGCAAACACTAGTCAGGGCACCTGCGTCAGAGTGTAAATACACCTCATTGTGGCCTTGTGTGTCTCTTTGTATGTGCATTTCAGTGTCTGCAGAGGTGTGTTATGTGTGTTCTGGTGTGTGCTTGAGAATGCATTAAAGAGTGGAAGTGTTTAGAAGGCTTGAGGGTGTGTTTATATAGCTATTTGTGTGTGTGTTGTGTTTAGGTGTCTGACTCTGGGAGTAGGCAGAGAGCCTGTCCAGGCGACGCCCATTTCTGAGGGTGAGACCAGGCGTCTCGCCAGCTGCTGTTTGACAGAGTCTCTAGGATGTCTCTCTGAACCTGGAGCCTGGGGACAAAGCCCCTCCTGCCTCTGTGAGGGACACCTGGGAGGGGCTCTAATAGACCAAGACATCCAAGATTTCCTTCCTTCCTTCCTTCCTAATTCTCTGGTAACTCAGCTCTTTCACATTCATAAGCAGTAAATAAACAATTAATTAATGTTTTATATCACACTATAACTTATGTGTAAGCAGGTATAATTTTAGGTGATTAGCAATGTATTAGTCAACAATTACAGCTCCTCCTGTGAAGCACTTGTATTAGTTTATGAATGATTTGTATTTTTTAGGAACATGAATTGTTATGTATCTATTTATTTTATTTGTAAATTTTACTCATATTTATCAATAAAGTATTTATTTATAAAAAATTCTATCCGATAATAAGTGGACCTGGAGTTTTTGTTTAACTTATATGAATTGATTTTTTTTTTTTGCCACTTGCGGGAATAGCTGTAACACTGACATGTCATCACATTATAAAATCAACACAACAAATGTGATAGCAAACAGTTGTTTATTTATAACCAGCAGTAATGGAGCAACATTCATTCATATAGAGTTGTGTACTTCAAGCAACACCTTTCACAATACATGTACATCCTTGGTCATGAACCTTCAAGCTCCACAGATTTAACCCAACCTGTGAATGATTATTTTAGGTGTATAAGCTGTTATAGATCAAATGTTTTATAACACAGTGTAAGATTGTGTATAACCATATATCATTAAAGGAATAGTTTGACATTGTGAGTAGTACACCTATTCATTTGATCTCTTCTTCATGCTAAGCTTAGCTAACCAGCTGCTGGCTGTACAGCAGAGGTCAGCAAGTTGTTGCTGTAGTTGGGGAGCCTAAGTTTTATGGGCCCAATATAAACACATGCCTATATATATATTATTTTTCTTGATGTTAATTTATTTATTTTATTTCATGTTAGAATAAATCAGAGGTCATCTAATTCTCTACAAGAAAGGGAATAAGCTTATTTCCCAGAATATTGAACTGTTCCTTTTAAATATAATTACAGATATGTGAACCATTTATTAACTTTTCATACACCAGTTATGAGTGCTTCATAGTAGAAATTATAATTGCTAAGAAATATTTTAATAAACACTTAACTGCCTCTTCTTTCAACTACATTTTTGTGTTGTGTTCGGTTTTAAACTCAGAATACAGACTATTTTGTTGCCTTCAAGGCATCTTTCAACTCCATTTCCTCTTTAATGTGATGTTCTATCAGAGGAGTCAAGGAGCCAAACATCCATGCAAATAAAATTATCGGGAAAGACACTTAGGTCATGTTTCTAATAAATGAAATTTGGAGCCACGCCCGCCTGTCAGGGGAAGTGGTTGGAGTTATATCAGTGAATGAGCCATCCAGCGTTTCCTCCTGTACAATGAAGCCTTTCTTGTCTCCGTCCGAGCAGCGTGTGAAAGACATGCTCAGTCTCTGGTTTCACAGCTCCATGAAGAAGAAGAAAAAAATGTTCCTGTGGAAGGAACAGTGATGTCACTGACCTGGAATTCTGTGTTAACCCACTCTTCTCCAGGGTCTCCATGGTAACCGGTGTTGCAAACGACTGACACGACTGACAAGCGTCCGTCCGCGTGCCCGTTCTGGCTAAAGTCATCGTCAGGAGAACGTGACGACACTGTACGTCTCTGCCCATTGACAGACTCCGCAAGTCAACTTTAATCGTCTATTTTATTGTTTATTTATTGCAATAACAGTCAGCTAGTCATGATTAATTCAGTGTATGTTACACATGGCACGTGAGTGTATTTTTATAAACTGAGTCATGCAGTAACACAGGCTACGTAAATTTGTAAAGAAATGTGTTTTTAATTCATTTCTTTGACAAACTGAATCACTCTAACATTCAGATTCCTCAAGTCTGGAACGTCCATCTTCTCAAATTCACTACCTGGTCATAAGTATGTGGATACCCAGACTTGATATATGATGGGTGGGTACCACCTTCATCATAAGGCATTATTTACAGAGGTTTTAATAGCTGTTAATAATGGCTTTATTAACGTCATCTTTGTCATAATTGAGCAACTTTTTGGTTGCCAGGTTGGGGAAAATCCACCTACAGCATAGCACTTTGCTAGCGCTCAAATTCATTAGGGAGACTCCAAGACATCAGGTTTGAATTTATAAATCTTAGTAAGTCATCAACAAAGGGGACAGTGTTTCTCACTTTCTGTCATCTTGTATGCACTTGTACATTTTATTAAACCATTATTAAAGAATAATGGGTTTATTGATTTGTAATAATCCATTAGGAACAGTCAGTTACATGTAAATGGTAAATCAATAATAGACAACAACAACCATCATTTATCTATAGTTATAAATATCAATAAGCTCTTTATAAATTGATTTTCAGTAGTAAAGCATTAATTCCAGCTTACAAGTCCTTAATAAATGCTGCCTTATCAGAAAGTTGTACTGAATGTTGAATAGCTCACTCAACAAGACTGCAGCACCCTTATGAGGCCTTTTTTTTTTTGGCGTGTTTGCCCTTATTTGATGGACAACAGTGAAGAAGAAGACAGGAAACACTGGGTGGGAGATGGAGTATGACATGCAAGAAAGGTCCACGGCCAGAATCGAACCATTGACATTGCAGTTTTATGGCTGTAACCATTTGGACACCAGAGCGCTCCACAATGTTAACATCTTTATGTAGCTATTGTTATCACCTTTATTCAGCATGTTAGCATTTGCTAATTAGTACTAAATACAATATACAGCAAGTCATAAATACTACATAAATGCTTTTCATATCGGAGAAGTTGAAATTTTCAGTTCATCCTGAGGGGAACGAGAATATGTGACACTGAAGTTCATGTTGATCCATCCAATAGTTGAGATATTAGGTTCAAGGCTGACATCACCATCCTTAGAGCCACGTCACCAGCATGGCCATGACATTGAATAAGAGCAAACATAGTTATTGTACACTAAGGCGCCTAACCCAAACCATAAAAACTAAATCAAAATCAAATTGGACAGAGATGTCTACATAATTGGTTGTTGTGAACACATAAAATACACAATGATGTGTAATCATAGATTTTTTTTTATTGCCAATATGATGAACACCTCATTATAAAATCCTGTTCATATACAAAGGCCAGCAGAGCTGTGTGTTTCCATTACAGTGTAAGTAGATGCTACTCTAGTCCATGTCCAGAGAGAGGAGATTGAGATGTTGGTGTTTAACTGTCTGGGTCAGTCCTTTGTGACCAAGCTGCGAAATGAAAATGCTTTGTAACGTTCACCTCAACCCTCATTTAACCTCAGTGGAGGTCTAACACTAAAAAAAGAAAAAGAAAAAAAAAAGAGGTTTTTCAAAGTTACATCCATATTTTTTGTGACTATGCACCTTGGCTAAGAAGTAAAGACCAACTGTCTGGGACTGCACCCTGCAGAGGCTCAGCCAGAGAGAAAGGCCACTTGGGAGGATAAAAATGCACAAAATGTGCTCATCTCTCACTCAACAGCAACATGACAACAGACAGAAATAAAATATATTAAACCTAAGTGTCCCAGTCAGTGCTCTGAAGATAAAGACATTCCTCAGCATGCTGTGAACTGCACGGCAAAAAAAAAACAAAACAAAAACAAAAAAAAAACTAATCAAAAGTACCTAGATAGATAGCAATCTCCTTAACTGATTGAATGGCATGCAGCTGGATATTTCCTACAGTAAAAAATAATAATTTACAATTAAATCTCTTTAATTTAGTGATCTAAAGGAAAACATATGGAACATAAGACTGCTATTATTTTGGTCAATATATAAAACCTTTGAAACATATTAAATGTTTTCATTATCATTAGTAGATAGCAAAATAGCAAAAATATACAAACCAAGATGAAATACCCTTTTTTTTTTTTTTTTTTTTTAAATGTCCCATATACAGTATAAATATCTAACTAGGCATGATTTAAACTACTGTATAGCAGTATTAAACATAAATGGAAGTGTTCAAATATAATGGAAAACAAAAACAAACATACATTTTTCTGCCTATACTGTTTTCCCCTTTCTGAGTGGTCGCCATGAACGACAAACTGTCCTTTTCTTCCTACACAACAAATGACAGACATCAAAAAGAAGCCAGGCTTTGATTACATATATTCTATGTGCACATCATGAAATAATAATAAAAATTTGGCTAGCCCCACTACTTCATCACACCTCTGGTTAAAAACAATAATGATTTGGTCTGAATTGATCAGATTACACAATCAAATACACAAATAAGATCTGAAACACTAAGAAGAGAGGGGGGGGGGGTTTGGCACTAAGTTTTCTTCGAAGGATTCGCAAAGCCCTGCATCCTGCCAGACAAACCCATAACACAGGTAAGTGATGCTTCTGCCGTGCTTATACTGCTCCAGTTAAGTCTGCAACTTGTGTGTGTGTGTGAGTCGTTTGAGTGTATCGGGTGTGTGTCAATGTGTGTCAGCCAAGGAGCGAGATGTAGTGACCATTCAGAAAGGGTACATGGCCGAGGGCCGAGGGCTTCTTATAAGGCCTCGAACTCGTCGATCCTCTGCTTGGTGTTGCCCTGCCTGATCTGTCGCAGGGTTTTGTATTTGTCTCGGCCGGCCCGGACGTTCTCACAGTGAAGAAGGTCGTTCTGGGTATTCTTGGATTCATCACGCGCCTGAGCCAGCTCTGAGGTCAAGGCCTGAGGGCAGAGGAGGAGGAGGAGGAGAAGCATGAGATGAGAGAACAAACAACACCAACAACAACACTGCTGCTTCTACAATTCGAGTATAAAAGCAGCCTTCAGCAGTGCCGCCACGGCACTGTGACGTCCCTCCGCTGTGTCTCATGGGCTTAAATCACTTCTCCCTATGCTACCTACCATAGTTTACTTTAAAGTGAGGAGTGAATTGAGATTTTGGACACTTGTAAATCATTATCATTGTGCGTGATCATTAACTGCTGTCATTTTTACATCTTTAAAATGTGAGATTGTTTGCAGAAAGTCGAGTACATGCCGTGGTCATTGCTTTTTTCACTCCATCGTAGGAATTTTTGAGGGTGGACAAATTTTACAATCAGAATTTAGACACTTAAATAAAATGGTGGACAGTAAATACTCAGCCACAGCCCTGCTCAAGCTTTTGCTGCTGCTTTAGTTGTGACGCTCACCACTGTTTGACTTTGAGCACATACATTTAAGTTGCTGCTTCTATGAGATTTTGAATTAAAATCTGTTGAAAGCATTTTTTTTTTTTCTCAGTCAACTGCCCTTTTTATTGTCGGAGAGTACGACCTCAAAGAGTTGAACAAATTCTGCACCATTTGTGGGAAGAAAGTAAAGTAAATATAGTACGAATTTTCATAGGGGCGGAGATTATTTACACCACTTATGAAAAGAATACAGGTATAACTGCATAAATCCTAAGATTATGTCAAGGTAAGAATTTGTGGTCCACGGCAGGAAGTTCAGAAAACATCAAAGTCGAGGCAAGACAACCTGCCCCGTCATAATTAATGGTGAGAATGGATCAGAGCAGTTTTAAACTGTTCACAAACCACAGTCGTGTAGTGTGTTTGCTTATTCAGTTTGGTTTGTTTGAGCTGGTGTGAAAGCCGTTGATCAACCCCTGATGTGGACTAAAGAACTGGACCCAGACCGCCTCAAGTAGTTTCCAGGCTTAAATATCTCCCAATGGTTCACAAGGTTCTCTGAAGGTCCTCGGATTGCACTGTGCTCACCTTCAGCTGTTTCTGGACGCGCTCGTTCTTCTCAGCCTCAGTCAGGCGGTCCTCCTCATTGCGGTGGTCATTGATGCCTTCGGTCTGCAGGTCGGCGCTGTGCGTGCTGGCGTTCTCCTCGCTGTCGCTGTTGTCGTCCAGGTGGTCGTACATGGGAGGAGGGGGAGGCGGTGGGGGCGCCGTCATCACCATGTGCAGCTCCTCTTTAGTCTTGACCAGATCGTCCTGGGCCTCCCTGGCCTGGTGAGAACAGTGGGATGAGTAACAGAGAGCCAGTCAGTTTACTCTTGTTTGTCTCTGAACTCTGGTACAAAATCTGAGTTGTGTTTGTTTTAAAGCCACAATCACAAGCGCTCACAACTCTTCAACAAAAACAAATGGAGTCACAACTGCCTTGTTTTTTTTGGACAGTTTGAGAGCGGAGAAAGAATCTAAACTAACCTCATTCCAGTCCTGGTTATAATGTTCTGTGCTTATCTACTGTAAATGAAATTTCTGATTTCCCCACCAGACAGAAAAGACTCTCAGTATACTGCACACTGCAGGTTACCCTCAGTTAAAGCTCTCACCCTGAGCTGCCATGTGTCGGCCTCCTCCTCCTTGCGTCTCTTGGCCTCCTCCAGCAGGGTGATCTTGGCTGTGTGCTCTGCCAGCTCTGCGGCCTGATACAAAACAACAGAAGACAATTATTAAAGAGCTCAGATTTAATACACACGAGTGGATAAAGATGCGAAGAATGTTTGATTTTTTTCTTTCTTTGCAGACCGATCTTTTGGTCTGTGTTGCTAATGTCACATTTATGGCGGATTTGCAGTGTCAAATGCTTCGTTCAGCAGGTGAGTGACATCTGAATTGTGCAACAAACACTGACGATATCATATTCTGCACTATTGTTTTCATCGACTTATATGTAAACACTGACAACTACTAGAAACTTGATCCTGATCTGATATGAGCTTTTATGACAGAGAATGAAAAGCACCTGGAAAACTTGGCCAAGTAGAGTCAAAGTTAGTTAAATTGTTTATATTGCATTTTAGTTATTTTAATTTGAATTAATATTTGAATAGTGTCCAATGTGCAAGAGGGTATGACTTTGAAAATTAAATGTCAAACAGCTTTTCCATTTTCATTTTGATATGGTCACAGAACGCCTGTACGAGTAAGTGAAAATGCAAATTGGATTATTGCATTTTCATTTTTATTTTTACTCAAATGAGACATACATATGTGGAAATGTTCATTTTCAAGTTTACGTTATCATTTGATTATGGTCCCTTACAGGCTTCCGTACAACGTATCTGTTTCCACAAATGAATATGAGGAGCTGCAGTTTGGGCTCCTAGTGTTGCTAAGATGGACACACAGATATTTCAATTATTGTAACCACTTGTTGACATACATGTATATAACAACTCAAAATAAGCATCATTTAAATCAAATGTTAAAATGCATGACACATTTGTGTTATTTTAATTTTTATATACATTTCTGTCATTCAAGATTGTGACTTAAAGTGATTTTTAAAATCTAAAAAGCTGAACTGAGCTAATCAATCACTGTAGTTTCCAATGGTGATTGAACCTATTCAAATTGTGGCACTTTAATCTGGTGGTTTAAATGATTTAAAATTTGATAGTACAGTGATTTTGGCTTTAAAAAGCTTTCTGGGTTTTATTCCCATCAGAAAAAGCACAATAATGTGAATATGAGGCGAGTGCTTTGAGGAGAGGCTTCCAATGAAACGTAACCCGACTGTGAGCAGCCGCTGTGGGTGTTGTGGTTCAACCCTCCTGACCACCACAACAATGTGAACAGCCTTTCTTTCACCAGACTGAACTAACCAGAGGCTCAGTATTAAACAGTGCACCTGCTGTAGTTGTTCAGTGTGTGTGTGTGTGTGTGTGTGAGTGAGAGAGTTGTAAAGACACTGAATGTGAAAGGTCTTCAGCTGGTCACTCAGTGAAAACACAGGGACATTGTTAATGAGTTACCGTTTGTGCTTTCAAACATGTTGGTGACACAACTCCCTCACGTCTTTTCCCATCACAGTCAGTGGAAGTTAATCCATTGCACAAGCTTCTTAGTAAGGTTTAAATATAAAGGTTGTAGCAGCAAGTGTTTTGTCCGATAAGAATGGTGCGACAGTCAGTGTCTGAGTGTGTCATGGGAACCACAGCCTTTCAGTCAGGACTGTTAAAGTGAAAACACACACTCCTGTGGGTGGTCCACAGCCGAGCAGCTCGGGGTGAGGGGGCGGTTAGTCTGAAGTAACGGGGTGTGGTCCAGCTGGACGCTACAAAGTGGTTTTGTCTGGAGCTGCAGTAGCCAGGCACTGCTGAATACACCACCCTGCAATGTGCCTGGTACAGACCTGACAAATTAAGAGCTACATGTGACGGGAGAAACCTGGAGAGAAAGACGGTTTTCATTTATCTTATCTTATCTTGACATTTAGTTGATGAATCTGCAAGATTTTTCTTCTCATGTCCAGCTTTCTTTTTCAGTTGTGTGACTGCTGGAGATTCTTTAGTGTTGTTTAAGTTTAAATTATTGAGGAAAGTCACGGCAAAGCCTGGTTTTAAGTCATTAAAATACTGACCAGCTGTTCCTGACTCTTCTTCTGGTCCTCAGCATGGCGGGCGAGCTCCTCTTTAGCCAGCAGGGCAGCCTGACGCTCTGCCTCCAGACGAGCCGCCTCGTCCTCGGCTCTCCTCCGCTCCTGGTCCAGCATCATGGCTCTCTGCAGCTGGTCCTGCAGATCTAAAATACACAAGACACATGAGACGGCTGCTGAGCTGCTGCACACAGAAAAACCTGAAACTACTTCATTTGTTTGATCAGAAGGGATGCAACTTATGTTCATTTATGATTGATGTCATAATTATTTTGATTAATCAATTAATTATTTAGTCTATGAAATGTCAGAAAATAGTGAAAAATATACTGATTAATAAATGGCCACAGCAGCATTTATACCAATGAGTGTTGTGCTTCCACTGAAAACAGAGATACTGTAGTGAATCAGCAGATGATAGTTTGATTAGATAAAGTTTCAGGAAAGTACAACACACCCTGGCCATGAAACTCTTTTCCCTGACTACCATCTGTTATTTCTATCATTCAGGCTGTCAAACCATAATCAGCTGGTATTTAAAGCATTTTAAAGACAAACACTATAAATCATTTCGCACTCTTTTATGAGCATGGTAGTAAAGCAAAAGCCCCACAGTCACTTTATTAAGTGACTGCGGGGCTTTAATAGCCTGAAAACTTTCTCTCTGTAATTTTGTCAACAGTAAGTGACCTACTTCCTGAGGATGATCAGTTAAAAAAACACACCAGTGCATCTTTCTGCTTAAATGCCTGTAGACAAGATTTCACCAGCAGAAACTGGTATAACTAGAAGTGAAGCGGGAAAGGCCTCAACACTTTTTCCTGTTTTACACGAAAGAGAAACAGAATATTATGAAGAAAAATACTGATGACGAGGTTTCATATATACAGACTGCATCACAGCCAAAGTCAACCGACAGCTGTGATCATCCTGTTTACAAAACAAGTAGCCTGCATCATCGCATATGTTCTAATTGTGCACACACACGCACACACACGAGCACGCACGCACACACACACACACACTTTTCCATTCTCAGGATGAAGTGATGGTTGAGCCGCTGACAGTCCCTGAGGTCCCTGGATGCAGCGCCCCCCCCCCTCACCTTTCTCTGCCTTCTTGGTCTTCTCCTCAAACTGGTAGAGCCTCATCATCAGATCCTGCTTCTCTCGCTCCATCTGCTCCTTCTCTTTCTCGATGGCCTCTCTCTTCTTCTTCTCATTCTCCAGCTGGGCCCTGCAGATAACACACAGCTGCCGGTGAGCCAACAAAGGGAGCTGACACAGTTGATACATAGTGACCTCTGACAGACAACAGTCTGTGAGCCTGCTGCTCACATGTGCGCGCACACACACACACAGACACACACACAGACACAGACACACACAGACACACACACACACACACAGACACACACACACACAAACTGAGACTCAGCACACCACTTGTACCACTGGCTTTGCATCTGTCATGGTCACATACAGTTTTACTAAACTTTTGGGCAAATGTCAATTATCTCACATGATTTGCAGGTGAGGCCGAGTGATTTCAAATTGCTTCACATTCACAAGCGTTTGGCAACACAGTTACCTGTGATTACCCTCCGTTTACAAGATCACGAGATCCCATAAAAGGTGGCATGACAACAGCTGATACAGCTGCAGCTGCAAGATGTAAGTCTGGTCAACGGCAACAGGGAAACATTCTTACTCAAAAATGACTGCAACTATCGGTTCATCATTGATTAATCTGCCAATCATTTAAATGATTACTCAACTATTGAGTTGAAAATGTTGTTGAATAATTTGGTGGATGTGGATTAATCCATCAATCGTCTAACCATTTAGACCGAGGATGTGAGCTTGTTCAAAATGAAAATGCTACACGAATACAATACATGATTCATTTAAATCCTTGCCTCTGATTTACTACACATCCAGTTCTTGTCTTGTATTAAGTGCATTTTTTCTACATTTTCTGTCATTACTTTTGCTGCAGCAACAAGCTGATATCTCCCTGACAGTTTCTTTATATTTCAATTAGAAACCCTTTTGTCACTGTGTTTGGACACAGCCTGTTCCACAGACACTGACCACTGAGAGCTACTGTGTGTGAACCCTAACTCTGTGTGCTGGGGCCTGGTGATCTAATGGCTCTCCCACTGGTATTTACTGTGTTGTCTGCTCGCCGTTACATCACCATGTTTGAACAGCTGTACGGGACAGACAGTGGGCGGACAGCTGTAGCTGAGACCAGGGTCAACAGCCATTCACTTTCAGTTCAGGCAGTTCAGGAAGTGCATTTCCCACACTTCAAAAAGGAATGCTGCATTATTACCCAATTAATGGTAGTTTCACTTTACATGTTCTGGCATTTTATTGACCAAATAATAATAATAATAATAATAAAAAGTTAAATTATATAAAATCACATTGCCGAGTCGTAGCCAAAAACCTCCACATGTTTAGGCTGAGAAAACAGCAAGTGGCTCAGATCATAATTTCAACGGTTTATATCCCTGTCATTCATAATTTTGTGATTGTAACTTTTTTTCTGAGCGAACTCCACTTGGGAGATATCTGCGTACCTCTCCATCTGTTTCTGCTGCTTCTCCTCTCGGGCCTGGGCCTTCATCTGCTGCACCTCAATCGTGTCGGGCTTGCGGCGGCGCATGTACAGCTCGTGGTTGCCCATGCACAGCTGCAGGATGCGCTTGTTTATACGCAGTCTCGGAGCATAAAACACAAAGTCCTGACATTTGGAGAAGAAACAAACAGAAGGAGTGAGAAAGAGGGCGAGGAGTGAACTAAATAAACCTCCTGCTCCATGTCCATTGTGCTTTGCTGATAAAGGACAAAGACTCCAGGAGTGACTCTGAGCAAGTGCAGGGAAACTTTTAATACAGTACAGATAACTGCTAGAAACACCTCTACTCAGACTGATCCACTTAAAGCAGCCTGAGGGGCCCAGATATACCGCTCACCTCTATGTGTGTGTTTGGAGTCCATCAATAATAGCACTACCTGGAAACTAGCCCTGGCTAATGTATATGCTAGATCGGACTGAGGATATGTCTAATGGTTCTTCTCTCCACCACAGGGAAAAATGATACTGCCGGTAGAAGGGAAGCAGAGAGCTTAAACATAGACTCACACACTGCAACTTAATAAGCTCTAAAGAGCAGAATTCAGCCTAAAGAGGAACAGTGACTCCTCAACCGGAAAAGACTGTCATGGAAAAGGAGACACTTAAAAGAAAAGGGGGGACGTTTTCAGATTTAGAAATGTCAGAGAAGGGCAAATCTGACGCTTCAGAGTTGTTACTCACCGGAGATTTTTTGTCAATGGGCTTGATGATGAACTTCTTATCGTTGAAGGAAATGTTTCTGATCTCACTCCAGGGGAAGCCGATCTTCGGGGTCAATCTGAGGAAGTGACCACATGAACACGAACATTATCCTGTGATACTGAGCTGCGTAATGAGGAAAAACAGATTCATTCTGAGGAAAGCACACTTGTCAGTAAAAGCACATTTTTCCCCACTTGAGAATTATTGTAAGAGTTTGACCATATCTTGCTCTTTCCAAAAAAAAAAAAGAAAAGAAAAAACAATCAGTCAACAGACTTCAGCTTCAACAAATTGCAGGTGCCAACATTTAAAAGAGTTCACACCCATTTCAGCATGTTTGCATTGGCTTCCTGTCTCGTTTGATATCGATTTTAAAATTTTATTACTAGTTTATAAAGCTTTAAATGGTTTCGCTCCACTCAGCCGACTGTCTCTCCCTCCACTGCCTTAGATCATCAAATGACCAGGAGTTAAACTATTTCTAAGGATGTGTTTCTTCTTTGTCTTAACACTCAACTTTTAAATTGTGCTTTTAAATAATATCTGTTCTTGCTTTATATCTCTAGTTTTTATTTTTATTTAAAATGTTATCCTTATCAATCTACCCTGTTTTATTCGATTTAAATGTTATTTGCAGGCTTTTATTTTGAAGTTTTAAATGTTTTTAATACACTCGTAAAGCACTTCAAGCTACACTGTATACATGAAAGGTGCTATACAAATAAAGTTTATTATTATTATTGTTACTTTTTTAGAGCTGCGATGACAAGAAAAGAAAAATTATCAGCAACTATTTTGATAATCGATTTATTGTTTCAGCAAAAATGCCAAATAGTCTCTGGTTTCAGCTTCTCAAACGAGAGGATTTTCTGCTTTTCTTCGTCATATGTGGCGATAAATTGAATCTATTTTCAGAGAATGAACCTCTCAGTCTGACTGTGAACATGGATTTCTGTACGTCCACTGTTCAAGTATGAGGGATGAATCTGGGGTGTGGCTCACCGTTCTATTGTGCCAGGCGAACTGAACGGATGCCAGTCTCATTCAACACAATACAAAGTAGTACTGTAAACACTGACAAACCGATAGTGTTGTAATCTAGAAAAGCAGCCATCCACCTCGAGGCGAAACTCTACCGAGAAACTGTTGCTGCTTGACTGGAATTTCATTGAGTTCCTGACCCTGACACATTCTTGTGGAATTGAGAAAACAATGTGGAAGTTATCATAACGATTGAATATTTCTGTCCGAGTCTTGTGGTTTATTGAGCTGCCGTTAATCAGTGGATTCGTGCTAGCTCTTAATTTCCAGCCCAGGCTAGAAAGTAGAGACCATGGCTGGTGTAAAGCGTAGCGGGATTTCATTCCTATGCGTCAGTCTTTCTGTGTTAAAGTTCACTAATGTACTGTATGAGAATAACGTATCGTGGGGAATATTAGCAATTGATAGCAATGCCTAGTGGAAACAATATGTCAAAATGCAGTAGTAAAATTGAAAAATTATTTTTCAAGTTCAGTTACTGTTGCAGTCTGGCTAAATACCAGTCAAAAACAGTGAATTGCGATTGAGTTAGTTGTTAATATGTTTTGTTGAATTATGATTGAATTGAATTATTACTCAGCTAATTGTTTCTGCTGTAAAACACTGTGTCAAAAAACACGTGTGTTTGACAACGGTTGCTAAGAACAAAAATCTGGGCTCAAGAAAATCTCCAGAAACTTTGTCCTAGAAAATGAGCAGCGCTGTGGTTAGAGGAGCAGCAGAGCACAAGGAGTTAAACCAGCACCAGACTGCGCCTTGGCGAAGCCTCGACTGCACTACTGCATTGTGGGCCGGCTGCCCTCATTGGAGAGACAGTGTTGTAGGTTAGCCTCACATTCTTAGGTGCCGCACAGCTTGAAAAACCAGTCGGCGTAGTCATGGTTACAGCAGAGGGCACAGTGGAGGAGAGGCATTTCTTTGCTGATCCCAGGGAGCACATAAAGAGACAGACTCACACAAAAACACAAGAACCCTGTATGTTCCTTTACAGTGTGTTTCCCAGTCCTGTCGGAGGTTTCGTACCAAAGTAAAGTTACAATCTGGACAAATGAGTCACCAGATGAACTTTCACACAAAAGCAGTTAAGAGTAATTAAATCATTTAGACTTGAAAAGAACCTCCTGTGCTCATATAAGACAAAGAATCTTACATTTAAGCTTCAATTAGAGGCCTCACGGGGCAGCTGATTTGCTAAACCTTGTCATTACCCTGCCACCAACTAGCTGTACTCACTTCTTCCACTAAGGCAGACAAAGTAGACCAAACTGCTTTCAACAGAAGCTGGCATGAAAGCTGACACAGTGCAGCCACTTTAATACGGGAGGAGCGACAACCTGGCAGCGGACAGCACAACTCAGCCAGAGGACAGCTGGAGGGATTTCCAGCACAGGGTCAGTGACTGAAAGGCCAGTCACCTGGGATGAAGTGTTCCTTTAACACAGTGTACTTCACTCCAGTAACCCCACAGCCCGGGCCACCAGCCACAGGAGAGCTCAAAACTCATTTCACCAAATAGAGGGTGATTACCTCCCAAACTGTCTTGTCCTATAAACAAAGTGGCAATCATAAGCCAGACTGGGCTGGACGCTGGTAACACCCTGCCAGGTCTCAAAAAGTAGGTTTCCCTTTGACCATAATACTAAAATAAAAAAAAAAACCTAATCACCTAAACAAAGAAATACAAAACAATATTTATTTTTTGCCATACTGTGATTAACTTTCTTTTTGAGGTTGGAATCAGCAATAAGTCAAAAATTAAAAAAGGGAAAATTAAGGTCTGCAAAAGTACAGTTCAGATTTTATGTAAACCGTCTGTAATATAAATATTATGCGCTTCAGGTTTTTTAATCATTCAGCAGTGAGTAGTAACAGCACCAACTGAAGTAGAGGTGTGAACAAAATAAACCCTTTATATCCTACAAGAGGCCGTGACACACTCACTTCAAGCAGGGGCACAAATCATAAACCATATTATGTGACAAATCTGTGTCCAAAATCCTAAAAACCGCAAGATAAAAACAGACGATTTCCATGTAAGACATAAGTGATTAAAGCAAACTGCTGAGTTTGAATGTTACCACTCCTCTGTATCCATCTGGCCTTCATTGTTATTCCTGTCATACCGTCTGCTGAGAAACAGGAACAGTGATTAAGTGCAGACATGGACCTGGCCCAGCTGGTTTAGCTCTGTGTCACAGGGCTGCAGCTAGCAACAAGCACAAAACAAGAGCCAGAACAGACACCGACAACAGGGCTGTCTGCTTCAAGGGTCTGTCTCAATACAATGCTTACTTGTCGTCCTTCTCATAAATGTTGAGTCCCAAGGCGTCCACTCCAAGCCACAGCTCTGTTCCCTTCTTATTCTTGATGTCAAAGTAGTTGACGCCGTACATTTCCAGGTCCTGGGCGATCTTCAGGTACTCCAGCATGGCGTCCTCCCTGCAGGGATGAACAGAGATCAGGAAATGGCACGATCAATAGATTAAAGAGTATCTTGAAATCAAAGCAAAGTTGTGGTTTACATATGTTTTTTTTTGTAGTGCATTAATGCAACCAGTGACGTTATATAAAAACACACACTCACTTCAACATGCCACGGTGCTCCTCGTGCCACACCTGAATCCTCTCCTCCCACTGCTCTCTGGATAACTTGTGCTGCTCCAGGACTCTACAGACAAAGAGGCCAAGATCAGCTAGACCACCTTACAAACCACTAACAGACAAGACAATCGGGATACCTTTGATGTGTTAAGTAACAATATGGACTATTTTCATAGAAGCGCATTATGCAAAGCATCTTTATGTTGGCAAAGTGATCATTTCCCTGAGGTGTAGTGTTTTCCTTGTCTGCACTAGTTTGGAATTTTGGTTTCTTCTCATGCACCACAGTGGGAGGAAAAGCACAATAGGGGGGCGTGCTACTGGCAAATCAGCAGTGCACTGGAATTCAGTGTCAAACTTTTTCTAGCCTGGTTTAGATACATCTACATGCACATGACAATAATGCCATGAAGGCAGAGAAAGGTTTCTATTTTAAGATTATTAGCATCTGGCGTCCAACAGCTAGCATGAAGGATGTCCTCACTGATGCAGCCATTTGAAGGGGACAGGCAGTCAAAAAAAAAATAAAACCTCACACAAACATCTGTCCTCTTCAGTACATTATATGAATTGTTTAGGCTTCTTTGTTCAAGTTTGCACGGATCAGAACAACAGCGCTGCAGACGGTGACAACCCCTAGACAGACACAGTTCACATGGGAAAGTGCGATGACCTCCAGATTTTTGACACATTCGGAAATGTGGACTCGCTGCTTGTTCCTGACAAGGCAGAATAGTTTCCAGTCAGGACAAGCTGATCCAGACTCTCCTCTCCAAACTCAATGAATGACAGCTGAATGGAGCCGATACCAGTCCCTGACACACCCAGCTATGATGAAGAAATGCTTCCAAATCGTATCTTATTTATTAAACCGGATTTCAACTATGACAATCCCAAAACGACGCCTCCAATACTTGATTTAACTACTTGATGAAAACTTGATTCAACTTTGTATTCGTTGCTCTGATCAATGATGTAATGAAGCTTTGATCTCCTTCTTGAATGCTGTGGAGCAACCAGCGAGCTACTCCGTTATCTTTGTTCTCTCTCTCCCGTTCTCTTTTAAAATTGAACATGTGTATGTATCAGTGCCTTGAAAAGAAATAATCTGAAAAGATTGCACATAAAACAAATTATTATTTTCTGGATATCATAATTGGTACATAAACTTAAATAAACCTCATAATTTGTTTCTGGAGGGTGAAGATGGTGGTTTTCTATGCGACAAATTTCCAAAAACCACCTTATGTCACAAAATGATTTGTGCCAGTGCCACACCCAGTGGCTTCAGTCTAATACATATATTACTAAATAACACTTTGCTTTTTGATCTAGATGTTAACACAACAACATGTGATTCATTTTCCTGCACCTGTGTGGCAGCAGTCGTTCGGACAGCAGGTATCCGGGCCGGTGGACCTCTTTGTTGTAGTCCCCGAACTTGGCCTGGACAGAGTAGGAGGCGAGCAGCACGGCGGTCTCTGGTGGACAGTAGACCTCGTCGCTCAGGATGCCCTCCTTCACCTGCAGGAAGAAGAGCTTCTGGGTGATGTCCTGGATCAGCTCCTCTGCCACATCCTCTGGGAAGAACTTGGCCCGAAACTTAAACTGGAGTGGGTTCTCTTTCTTCACGTCCTGGGACGACACCTGGGGATGAATTAATACATAAAACATAATTCAGTCACATACGATATTACAAAGTTATGTCAGCATTAAAGGAATACATAGACATCAAATATAGACTGATTTCTCGCAGAGAGTTAGATGAGAAGATCGACACCTCTCTCATGCTTATATGGTGAATATATAGCTGCAGTTAGCTTAGCTTAACATAAAGTCAGGGGAAAACAGCTAGCCTAGCATTATACATGTTATATCTCGTTTTTTTTAAATCAGCAAAAAAGTCGCCGTATCAGGTGGTTATGTGGCGGACTATTTCTTGGCCAGGAGCAATGATCTTAAACCCTCAGATGTTTGGCAACTGTTACCACTGGACAGAGCCAAGCTAGCTGTTTCCTCCTGTTTCCAGTCTTTATGCTAAGCTAAGATAGCCAGCTACTACTGTCAAACTATTCTATTAATGTCAAACTGAAGGTCTGGATCACACAGAGAGTCATCGTGCTGTAAAATACAATTACTGGAGTAGATAAGTATAAATAATGTCCTCTATATAAACCTGTGTACTGTATTATTGGCTACTAAAGAATCACCATCCGCAGCATAAATACTGTCTGTCAACACTTTACGAGTAGGAAACAATAAGTTCTGCAGTTTCACGGGCGCCCTTCCCTTTCCAAAAGGGGATCTACAATTCTCGCTCAATGGAAATACACTTTAATAACTCCCAGCTACAGTATGTGTTTACACAATGTGCCTCTTCCTCTAATTTCAAAGCAGGAACCAAGCGGTCTTGATAGAGAGAATGGGGCTGTGCACGACCGGGAATATTCCAGTTTGAGCTTTGCATTGTGCTGATGAGCTGCAGCGCAGTGTCAGCACACAGTGTACAGTTTACTGCTGCTGACTGAGGCAAGCATAACCTTTTCTCTCGCACTGTGACCCTCGTTTATTATTAGAAAATGCAAAGGGGCCAAATTTGGAAGTTTCTCTAGATAGAGTGACGTGGTTCCCTACATTTGTTTCACTCAGGAAGGCATTCAGCAGAAAATGTCTCTTTAGCCCCATTAGATGGAAATAGTCTCAATCTATTCACTAGATTATTTACAGTCTGTGGTTAATGCTGCAGTATTACACATTAGAGACAGTAGAGTCAGGTGTATACTTTTTAAAATGCTGCAGGGATTTTGCCTTGCAGTCCTGTAACATTGTCTTTAAAAATTGTTTTTTTTTTTTGTCAAAACCTTCACCTACATTACCCACAATGCAACTCTACCACTGACAGTTTGGCTGGAGATTCAGGTGTTATGCTGAGCTGCAGAGGTCTAGTAACTTTACTTTTTTCTATTTTCTTTTTTCTTTTTTTCATTTTCAAACTTGTAGTCTTCAGCCCAAACTGACACCGACTCCCGTGACATCACATGAACACAACAGGCTTTATTTCTACAAAACCTGTTCCCCTTTAAGAGATCACTAGTACAGAGCCAACTGGTCTAAAAAGCTGAACATATAGAAACTGTGCTACCAAAACAGCCTTAAACATCTGGAATTCTTCCTATTTCCTATTAGACTTTATTCTTCTTTGCTTTTCTTGTCACAGTTTGAACTAGTTAGATTATGACTAACTCCGGACTAACAGTTAGTGAAGTCCAGCTAACCTGTGTTTACTCAGGGAAAACACAGAAGAGCAGAAGCAGTTATGGTTCACAAAGAGGTCACGCTCTTGTCCAATGATCCACCTCCAGCTGATTACATAAAGAGCTCTAACCCCTCAACAGCACAGACACAAACCAGAGCAGGGATTCAAAATCAGCTGCCATGTCCGAAGTGGAACCTCAATACAGCATGTGAATATGTACATACTGTAATATGGTGGCTACTGATTGACTTAAAGGCAAACACTGGAGGTCTGATTGTATCGTCCCTTTAGAAGAATGCATTCTTTCTCTATTACTCCATAGTACTCCATAGAGAGCGGTGTTGCAAAAGCTGCGTTGTTGGGACTTAATCTACTGAAGAAAATGAGCTAGTAGGTATGCAGGCGGAGGGTATAATGATATGTAACGAGAGTGGAATATCACTTTATAAAAAAGGGAAAAATGACATCAATAACTTTGAAAACAAATGATGTTAAGTAACTAGCTTCAAAGTACAAATAACATCATGAGGTATCATTTTTTTAACAGTATCATGGCTGATTCATGACGGGGTATTACAACATACTGGAAAAAGCCTAATGGCCCACCCGCCTTAACAATTTGAGCATTGAAAAGACTGGAGGATTAATATGAGACAAAAATCAAACAACATACTTTGTTTGATTTCAGCTTGATCTTACCTTTTTGTCCAGTTTCAGCCAAGTGTAGTAACCTTTGCCGTCCATATACTGCAGTCCGAAGTACCAGACCTCACGTAAGCCAATGGTTTTCACCACCTGAATAAAAAACAAAAGAGTATTTTCATCATCAATTAATCTGCAGTTTAGTTTTTGGATTGAATCCATTCACAGTTTGGTCTACGAAACAGTGAAAATGTTAATCACAACTTCATAGGATTAGTTCTAACCGCAGCGGCCATGGGTTCGAATCCGACCTGCGGCACTTTGCTGCATGTTTTTTAAGAGAGATGCAGGATTTTCACTACTTTTGACCAAATTTGACCAGAAATCTGCTCATTATTTCTTAAATTAATTGGTTAATTGTTTCCCAGTAACATGATGCTAAATTTACTTTTACATTTAAAGTAAAACACGTCATTTCTCTGTCTGTTGCAAACAGGTCTTGAACAAAGTGGTCCTATTGTTTGTCCAGTGAGGGGGAGTGACACTGCATGCTGAATGACTAGCATCCTGTCCCTGACTCCAGGAACACACTGAGAAGACTGGAGGCGAGGGCGAGGGGTGGGTGTCTGCTCCAGCTTACAAGGCCAGTTACTTTCTGGCAAAACTCCTCATTATTATTAACGTCTAAAAGGCAGATTATGAGCGCAGTTTTAATTTCAACCGCACTGGAAACATCTAACCTTAGAAGAATGTCTTCACATCAGCAACCCTAAGACTTTTTCGACCAATATTTTTGACTGTGTAGCTGAGGCAGAGAGTGAAAACCCAGTTATAGATCTGGAATAATCACTTGTGCTGCAGGAGGAGCTGCCATTTTCCACTGGCTTCTGAGAGAAACCTCAACGACCAGAGGCTCTTTATGGCCTTCAGAGACGCAGAGCAATTTTCCAACAGCATCGTGCAGGAATTCATCTTTTTTTTTGTGTGTGCATGTGTGTGTGTGTGTGTGTGTGTGTGTGTGTGTGTGTGCGTGTGTGTGTGTGTGCGCGTGTGTGTGTGCCATTAAGTTAGACAATCTCTGTACCGGGCCCTTTCTGAATGCATCCCTGCCACATTCCCCACCCAGTCACCAGGTGAGGTGCTAAGTTTCCTCGATAAACTGTGAGTCAACACTCTGGCACTCCGACCAAGCCCCATTCCCAATGATAAGCTCCAGCCAAGGTTGAAATTAAAATCAAACTCGCCCCCCTCTTCCCCTCTCTCCCTCTCTCTCTCTCTCTCTCTCTCTTAGTGGCCGATACAAAATACAGGGCAGGCTGACCTGTGGGAGTAAAGATGAATGGCTTTTCTGATGGATTGCATTTAGAGCAACAACAACAAGCACTAGAATGGGGCTTGAAATGAGAGCGCACTCGAGGCTGCATCTCACCTGTAATGAAACTCATAAGGCCTCTGAAAACAATCAGCCTTTTCATGGGCGCTTTTTGCTTTGGGGGTCCGCAGAGTGGGAGGCAGAGACACAGTGTGGGTTACCACACAGACACCTAAACGAAGTACGAATAAGCTGCTGCAGAGAGGCTTGCTACCACGCCGGCACGGTGAGAGAGGTAACCAATTTCCTGAGTGAGCATTCCAGCCTTCAATAACATTACACTTCACTTGACAAATAAATAAACTACCTTCAATAATGGGCTGTACAAGTTATGAAGCCCCGCTGACAAAGGATACTGAAAATAATACAGTTCATTAGAGGAGGATTAAATCTGAATCTGGGGACACAGGTTCAGTAAACTGACATCGCAGCAGGCTGGTTTGGCAGGCTGCCTCGACTTTAATGGGTTGCTAGTTTGCTCCAATGTACGTCAAGAGCTATTAACACCTCAGATATTCCTTCTAGGTAAGATTACTGAGAGCAGAACACTCCCATGCAAAACTCAGGGTTTCTGCAGGGGTCACCAAGTTGAATATAAGATCAATTCAAACCTTTTTAAGACTTTTCAAACCATGCAGAGCTGTGGGCTGTTTGCAAAATCTCTTAGTGACTGTATCCGACCTTGGAAGAAAATAATCCCATATATGTCAAATCTGGAGGCCAAACTCCTTGAGGGCAGCTTTTTATGAGCTGTTATAAGCAGAAGCACAAGTCTAACTATATCCTGGCAATGATTAAAAAAACTGTAAACTAAGTGAAACATTTGCAGTCGGGTTGAAGAGACTAAATCTTTACAGATTCCGTGTCACCGGTTGAAGGGGCAAAAGTCAGTTAGCGTGACTTCAGTCTGCACAATCGTGCCTCACACTCATCTGTCAAGAGAGTGAAAGTTTCCTGTCTCGGTTTAGGGGAGCTCGGGCCCTGTGGTGAGTGAGAGGAATGCCACTGGGCTGAAACAGCATTACTCACTGCATCCTCTGGGCTGAGTAACGTGGAGTCCTCCAGCGGCTGAGGAGGGGAAGGGAGGGGTTCACCCAGTCGGGCCCCAAATAGGGACCTACCGGTACAAAGATGAAGGAGTGTGTCAGAGGAGGAGGGGGGGGGGTCTATTGGTTTATTGCTGGTCCCAAAGGAAACTGGTCTATAGCTGTCAGACCACACATTCATTGTGACTGCAGTGGACTAAAGGGAGTTTACAAAAGCAGAACAGTACAGCTAACAAGAAAAGCCATCGTGCAGCATGTTCCCTCGCTTGACTTTGCAGCTAATTTTTTTTTTTTTTGAGTGTGGTTTTGACATGTGGGTTGGGTGTCTAAGTGAACTAGTTTCATATTTTGCTCCTGGCACCTGTCGGCCACATAACTTGGACTTGGATTCAGTTCAAGACTTTTTTAAACTGTTGCCATGGTTTCTTTTTAATCCTTCTCCAGCTTTTAACCAATCCAAACCATTTTAAAAGCTTTAAAAGCTTGTCAACGCCACATTAACACATAAGATTGGCTAACAGGGTCCGGACGAGGCAAACGCACCGATGACAGATATAAGTAGCCACTACGTCTAATGCAAACCACGGTGGCTGTGATTTTTCGAATTGCAGCTCAAGGCAAAAAGAAACGAGCAGACGAAGCTGCATATGGAAGTGAAACTGTACGAGGGTGTGTTGGGGAGTGGCAGGCGTTTTTCTTTGAGAGCGGCATGACAGGAACTAAAGCTATGATCAGCGCTGGCTGACCACAGGGGCCACACCAGGCCTCACACTCGCCGTGAGAGTGAGCTCACTGCAGTCACTCAGCATTTCCATAGAACCTGTCGAACACACTGTGACTGTGTGTCTTTGACAGACACGGTCGTGGACACTTGAACCAAATTTCAGCCAAATTAGTCCGTGGCCCGCTGCTCAGATTTCAGACGAGGTGTGAAGCTGAATTGCATCTTTGCACTAAAATAGAGCTCTGAGCTTTCTGACACCATCACAGCGAATGAGTGATTATCTGTGGCACACCTCACCGAGGGGAATTCGTCAGCACCCATAAATAGAGACAGATGTCAAAGGTGAGCAGCTCTTCCTTCCTTTAACAAAACCACATATTAAAACACTGTAAAAACAGTAGCCCTGCTGCCACTCTGCAGAACTGCTGACCTGGTCAAAATTGCCCAAAAGACGTCCAGCAGTGACAAAATATACCAATAACTGAATATGACTGTTGGGTTTTAATATTCTACTTTTTAATTATACTTGACATGATTCCTTTCAAATCTGCTTTGACTAAAATATTCTCTACATAGCCACACACATGAAGGGTGAATCCCCTGACGTGCAGCCACACAGTCGGCTAAACATGCTACTGAAAAACGAGTTATACAGGAAGTGGCTAAAACAATGCCTTTCCTCCCCCAGTGCTGTCATTCAGCCTCATAAGAGCTCACGCTAATGACATGTCATTGACATTTGGACTGAGCTTCACAGCAGCTCTGTACAACAAGAGGAACAGTGCAAATTAAAAGAAAATTCCTCGTCTGGCAATATTGCAAGTGACCCGCGGTGGGGAAAGCAGGGGTTAATAATAAATGTATGTTTAATATTAAACATACTCCTAGTTATTACATCACCGCATCCGCTGTAATAGGCAAACATTAATATACTAACTTTACAGCCGCACACATCTAAGGTCAAATCATAGCTATGTTAATTTACAAAAAACGTGTTCTAAAATTATTTTACTATAAATTATGAGATATTATAAGAAAATGTGAGTGAGATTTTCTACCACGGTGTCAGGCAACATAAGAACAAAGGGATCGATATCTCCTGATCGTAAATTAGCCGAAGTCCATGGTAAAAAGGTTCCTATACTGGAGAGCAACAACCACAAAAGGAACATTTTCAGGTTTCCTTTATTGTCGCCACGCCTTTCACTTTCTCACAGACTTCGTTCAGGACTTTAAAAATCACTAACGCTATTAATAATTTGTTTAATAAATGTCCCAAGTTCTCTTTGTTCACCTCAGTTGTGTTAACCTGACATTACTCACCACCAGTCAAGTCGGGCGCCAAATCACAACAGAAGTTATCTCAAGGCACTTTTCACTTAGAGCAGGTCTGGACCGTACTCTTTATTAAAATCCAGAAACCATTAACCTCTCTGACTCTCACCGGGAAGACAGAGACTGATAAGGACTCTTGAGGCCAAAAGCTCCTGTAATCTCGTCTGTAGGAGATAACTTTTCAGACCTGGATGTAATGAATGGAAAGAGCTTTGGAGGGGACAATAATGAGGGCAGTCACTTTCTCCTAACACAGATCTTTCTCAGTGACGTCAGTCCAGTTAACTGCCTCGATGACGACGGCTGCAGCAGTCTGTGAGTGGTTTGTAGCGATGACAGCGGAAATATAAAGCAACGGTGAAGTATAGCTGGATTTAAACACAGATTTGACACTTCATTTCTTGCACAGAGGAAAGTCTGAAATTAAATTGAAAGAAAAAAAAGCATTTGAAGGAATAGCTCGACATTTCTGGGAAACACGGTCACTTTAATCATGTGACTGGAACCAGCAGCTGCTTAGCTTAGCTTAGCTTCGCTTGAGATAAAGACAGAAAACAAGGGAAACTGCTAAACTTGTTCTAAGTGAAAGGACCAATATCCACCTACCTGCACCTCTAAACTCTCCAAATAACACATTATATCTTGTTTGTTTAATCGGAATAATTTCCCATTACCATAACCCCCATAAAATTGATCGTCTCTATAAAAGTGACTTTATTCATAATGATTCCACACTTCTTTTTTTTTTTGCTTTTTTCTAAAGTAATTTTTTGGTCAGTTTTTGCCTTTATTCATATCGGGACAGTGAGAGAGTGACAGGAAAGTTGGAGAGAGAGATGGGTGATAAGTGGTACCCGCTCTACCAGCTGAGCCACCGGGGCGCCCCACAATTCCACACTGTTAATCTTCCCACATTGTTTCATTTCTAAAATCTTATCTCCTTATGGAGGTCAGCACAGAAACTGATGTCCACTGTACCTGGTCAAACAGCTGCTTTCCTGTGGTGCTGGGCTGGATGGCAAACTCCAGCTCAGCGTCCATGGTGGTGACGCGAACATTGACCTGTGGAAAAACATGAAAAAGCAGGAGTTGAAAACCTGACCCAAAGCAACAGGGAGGCCCTCGTAGGTGAGAACCAATACGTGGTACTGCAGAGCACTGCTTTGCTTTGCGTGTGTGTGTGTATGTGTGTGTGTGTGTGTGTGTCCGTGTGTGTTTGGTAGAGGGTGTATTTGCAGAGTAAACACACGGGGCTCTGTGTTTATCTCTGCTTTCTCAGAGACAGACGGGCTGATTGAAGGGAACTCAAGATCTTTGGTGTTTTGGATGTAATATGAAGCGCTGGATCTAAAACACATGAACATGAAGGAAATAATTCATCGCCCTGTAAACAACATAAGAGGCATATCTGACACTACTTTCACAAGCTAGTAAGAGGCACATGTTATTCTGTATAGATAAAGTGAGGGGAAGAGGACTGAATGAGGCAGCTCCTTCAGTCACTCACTCCCATTCACAGATAAAAAAAAAAAAGGCACATCATTCAGTTCTCTGTTTAATGATTGATCAGAATGACCTGTGCGTACAAAGAGAGGCAGTCCATCGCAGCGAAACATGCCTTATGGGCAGAGAATTTAATGTCCACAAACAGGGATCCACCCCAGTGATTAATGCACAATTTCAAAACCATTACGGATAGAATGACTGATGCAGGACACAGAATAATGAGAGCTGACGTCAACTGTGTCCCATAATGGGGAGAAACAATATTCTGTATTGTAGGTTCTGTCAGTAATCAGCAAATGGCATCTGAATTTCACACAAAGGCCATGCAACAATGCAGAAATATTTACAATAGCTGCTTTGAGGTAATGCACATACTGAATCTCTTCTCTGGGAGTATAATGTCAAATGTCTCTGGTATTTGCGTGGGGTTATGAAAAGACACAGACTCTCCGAGTATTGAGTGAACTTATTACTGCTCAGTGACAATGATACAAAGAGGTTAGTGGACACAGAGTGAAGAGAGAGAAAGCGCGCTGACACAACCCTCCAGTGACATCTTTCAACTCCAGCCCATTGTGAGCAGCGCTGAGCCTCAGCGGTGAACAAATTCAATGAAGCCCTGCTGCAAAAGGGAATGTCTGGGCTGCAGCAGAGTCTGGTTAGTTGGAGCTCCATCGACTCCTGTGAGGCTACACAGGCTGAACAACTGACTGACAGACTTAAATCCTGTCACAGAGAAGGCAAATCCTATCACAGCATTGGATGGGAAGCGCCTCACCACTGCGCAGTCCAGGATATTGTAAGAACACAGTAGTCTAGACAGTGGATATTCAAGGATGTCCCATTTTCTCATCCATGTGTCTGCTGCTGTTAAGTAAGGTTAGCTGAGTTGACTCGCCTGGGGATTAAAAGCCAGGATCTGTGACAGAGCAAACTTTACCAACAGAAATCAAAATAATGAAACCCTCAGAACCTCGGAGTTTGTAGCTCAGGGTTTGTAGCTCTGCCCCAGTGCCACATGTGCAAACAATTTTAAACTTTTGGAATCAACCGTCCAACAGAGCGACTTATACCAGCTTCAACTCACAGCTAGAAGGCAGAGGAAGGAGGGGGAAAACACTGCATTTACTTTACACAGCAAAACAAAGCTCCCCTTTCAGCTGCAGTGCCCCAGCAGTCCCTCGCTATCATCATCTACATCCTAGTGGAGCCTGATCACCAAAAACAACCACGATACAGCAGCAGAAGTGATATTCTGAGACTTCCCTTGTTTAAAAGTGATTGTGTGAATTGGTAGAGGCAGCTCTGACAGTTTGGGATGCTTCTCCCAATATCATAGTCTATATTTTACAGCAGTTGCAGATGGAGCACCAAGGGAAAAAAAAACACACCCTAACAGGCAGAGAATGGAACATGTGAATGTGTGCAGCAGACGAGCCAACAGAAACCACTGAGTGAGTGATATCTGATCTCAAAGAGAGGTCCTCCAACAGCAACTCACAATAAACTGAGGCCATTCACAGAGGTAAAGAAAACATGACACATATGCTAAAAATATACTGGGCAAGGACCCAGAGTTCCACAATGAGCAATTTTAGTCAGAGGAAAGTACAGCCGTTCATTTTGACCATATAAATCCCTGCTTCACAAGTCATTACTGTAGTGAGTGACTCAATCATTTTAGCTACCGGAGCACTGGAGCCCAAACCTAACCTGACATAATGACACACAAACACATTTTCACACTTTTGGTCGAGGGTACAAAACTTTGGTAACCAAGAAACAACAACAACAATAACACAAGCTCCATGGTAACGCAGGCAAAGCAGAGGAAAATCTAAATTTATGTAACACACATACACGTCATCAACAATGTGCAATCAAAATTTAAAAAAACAACATATTTATATCCAACTCACTCATATAGGATCCCTGGCGTAATCAAAGAGGTTTCAAAGATCAAAGATTTTCTTGATTAATCGTTTTTTCTATAAAATGTCAAATAATTGTTTTTTTAATACAATAAAAAATCAGTTTCCGGAAGCCAAAGGTTACCTCCTGAAATTGCTTCTTTTGTCTGACAAAACCCAAAGATTCTCAGTTTATCAAACAGATAAAACGAAGAGAACGCACACAGGGATTTCAACTTATAGCTTAGCTTATAGCTGAGACAATCCCTTTGATTCATTGACAGAAAAGGGTACTATTCTGTAAGTTAATCAATCAAGTCATTCGCCAAGAATGCCAAATATTTCCTAGTTTCAGTCCCCATAGTGGAAGTAATCACCACCCTTGCCCATATATGATCATAAACCGAATAGCTTTCCTTCCGCCTTTTCAATGGTGAGGTTAAGGAGCCACTGCAGGTCAGGTTAAAGAAATGAGGTGGTCATCACTTCAGTAGTTAAACTGTGAATAGGTTGTACTGCATTCTTCAGTGAAGACCATTCAATATTTAACCCTCTGCATAGTTTGCATGGCTTTAGAAGAGTCTTTTGCAAAGTGAGTTGCCATGGGGACGCCACTGAAAATGGTCTGAGAGCAATATAGCCATAAATGAATTTTTTTACCATTTGAGTGTAGAGCAGTAGCACAACAAGGATGGAGAGAAAAGGCCTATTGTGTCTCTCAGTGTGTTTTTTTTTCCCCCACAGGCTCTGTAAACATTAAACACACGTAACTGAAGAACGACAATCAAAGGACTTGTGACCATTTTGGGATTCGTCAATCAGGACTGGAGGGCTTTCCAAACATGATTGAGTTATCAATTATTCAAAGAAAGAAATACTAACAATAGGACTGGACATGAAAAGGAAACACCCATCCATGTTGACTGTGACCACGCCTTGAAATGGTTTGTGACATGGGGCTGAGAGCGCAAGGGAACAGAATTCTGGGAGAGCCGAGGAGCGCTATCCTTTACTTCTGACAATGTTTCATTCAGATAAGTGAAACATGAGTCACTGAAGCACCAGTGCAGTAGTATTCACTGCTCCTCAAATCTGGTCCAACCTCCTGCCACTGGGCATCTTGGTCCTCTGGGATAAAACCAGTTTCTCTTTTCCAAACACACCATGGTGGAATGTTTGATATCATGCCAAGTTTCTGAACTGTAATAATTCAGACTGTTAATGTGCCAGTCGGGATCAAATCTAAGACTGGTTAGCACTTTTATCCTCTTTGATCTTTGATTACCAGGGTGACTACAGTTACTTGACCAATACTTGTCAATACTACAGCAGTCTAATGTAAGGCAGCTTTTAAAGACACCGATCACTTGTTTTGAAGATTTTTTGAGGGAATTGCATTTGCGTTGTGTATTGGATGAGAGTTGCCATCCGAGGATGACAGAAAAGGTCAGGAGAGAAATGGGGAAGACATAGGATGACAATGCTGAATTCAAACCCATAACATCGTGTCCATGGCAGTTATCTCACCCCCACAAATGTCTAACTCACATCAACTCCTCTGTAGATAAAGTATCTCTTTTCCACTTATTTATAATGCTTTAACACAACACTATAGCAATCAGTAGAGAATTAAAGGAAACTATTTTGCTAATCAATCAATCGTTCTATCATTTTTAAAGCAAAAATGCCAAATAATTTCTCTCGTTTCAGCTTGTCAAATGTGAAAATGTATTTCTAACAACAATGAATATAATCGTTAGCTACAGTTCGTGTGTAACATGAGGCTCATCTCACTGTAGCTTTTTGGGAGTTGTCTCCTAACCTCCCACCATCCACTACCTTCCCCACTTCTGGCTACAGGCTTGAGCCACTGACACTCTTCAAACTTGAAAATCCAATTTTACACTTTTCATCGAAGCCAAAACATGAACCCTCATTTACATATCTCACCAATGCTAAAAGTGTGAGACTTAGCATTTGCAGGGATTAATTTGAGAGAAGGGGGCTCACCACTTTCTGGTGCAAACAGCATCAAAGGAATAACTTCATTAAAACAGACTTAGTGTCCTGTTCATATCTTTCATGCCATGCTGTAAAAGCTGGGTCGGTCATGAGGCCACATGCTGAACAGTCTGTAAACTGAAGAATATAAAAATAAAAAAAATTTTAAAAAAAATCTAACTTGAGGCTCGGGAGTCTTTGATATCATGGAAAGGAAAACAGTCAGACATTATCGTCTGAAAAGGCGGTTTTGTGGCAACTGGGCAGCTGCTATCAGACAGTTATGATGTCATTTCCACGGCGACGCTCATGACAACCCTGAGGCTATTCTAAACAAACCAACAACACACTTTATGACACTGACCTGGGCTTTAGTCACTGTCATCACAACACGCTGCTCTGTTCAACAGCAACATGTGTCTGTCATGATCTGACCAGGATTCTGGCAGCAACTCCTGACTCCTGTTTTTGGCTGTTTTTGACTAAAATCTTTCCCAATTTTAAATGTGTTACTTATAAACTTTAGCAATTGTGTGTTTGAGCTAGGCGTCTCTGAACTTCCTTTCCTACTTTTTTTAAATAAAGAAAAGAGGATAGAGGAAAAAGTTGTATTCAACACTGAAAAAAATGTCAATGTTTGATTCATTTCCATCACATTTTCCTTCATACTGTAGAATATACATACGTAGGCTGCTATACGCCTACTAGAATTTTCCAAACAGTGATCTGAGGGAGGGACCTGTGCCATGTGCCACTGTGCAGTATGTAATAGCTGGGGTGGGGCATAATGAGTCCAGAGTAATTGAGGGCAAAAAAAAATATATAGGACAACTTAGTCAAATTATGTCTTTAGTGTCTTTCCTTTTGCTTTTCTGATGATGAAAAGCCACTGATGTCATAAATACTTTGAGTCACTGTTTCACATTTTTAACAAGTCTCCATAATGACTATGAGAGCCCAACATTGAGGGGAGAGCAATCCCAAATTTCAGCCTGTAAAATAACCTCTAATGACAGACACAACCCTGTATTCATCACAAACTCCTGCCGACGTAAACAAGAGATTTCCCACCCCCCTTGTTTATGATGTAATGTTGCGCAAGTGTATGATAATGAGAATGATTTCAAAGATATGCATCTTGTGACTGTGTCCACCTACACTGTGAACACATTAGAAATGATGCTTATCTGTATGTGTTTCTTGCTCCTAGCTTTGCAGTGTATGATGTTCCTATACACATGCCCCCCCACCCCACCCCAAATGTGTGTGATCTGAGCGGCATTCCCCTTTAACAAATACTTACTGGTACTGTAAGTTTCAAGTTTACATATGTGGTCATGTAAAAAATGTTATAGCTATGTTTCTGATTCAGTCTGTAATGGTTTCCCCTTTCATTTTAAAGCCCGGTGTTTTGTGTTTCTGGGCCATTCATTGAAAGTTTAAAAGAAGCCACCTGTTAAAAAATGTAATTAACTGAACGTGTCAAGTGGGTCACAGTAATCACTCAGCTTGAACGTTGAGGAACTGATAGCATCCCCTTCAACACTGGCAATCCACCCCTGCCAAGAAGTGATTTAAGATTTTTTTTTCTCCAACTGAACAACAAAGAAGATTTAATTATCACCTCTCAGATAAATTTTGAATCAAAGACTGCCAAAGCTTTCACAGACTTATGACATTTTTACACTAAATAATATATTCTGACATCAGTGTTACAAGAGTATATTAACGTTACCATTCACTGTACCACATATTTAAGTTTACCAAAAAAAGTACTCTTAACTCAGTCTAAACTGGATTAATGTGTAAAAGGTGATACAGTTCTGTAACTGTAAATAAATACACAGAATTTAGGGAAGCTAATCCTCCATTAACGCCCCTTGACATGTTTCAGTCAACAACTTTTAAAGGAGTGATACAACAAGCAATGAGTGAAAATATCAATAAACCAAATGCTTCTTACCGCTTTAGGCATTTTTCTGTCCTTTTCCTGGCTCTGTGCGAGGAGCTGTTAAATTAAAAAAAAAGAAGTTTCCAGAGAAGAGACCTGTGCTCCGTGTGGCTGTGCGTCTGGTGGTGTCTTTCTGAAAACGGAAAAAGAGGAGAAACGAGTTTCAGCCACTTCTGCGTTACTTAAACCCGGCCGAGAGCAGCTCGGCACTCCTGCAGGCGACAGTCATCAGGATGAATCACCGCGAAAAACCAACAAGCTGACAGCAGGTAGCACAGGAACTTGACCTGACTAACCTTCAAAATAAGAGCACGAGTCTGGTCGATTCCGATAATTCAGGGTGTCTTCTGTTTTCACAATATCACTTAATATATATCTTAAGTAACTGTTTTCCTTTGGGCTAAAGACTTTGGATTTCCTGGAAAAAAGTCAATTGATAATTTGTAGCAAATAGTTGTTAGGTAGGTTTAGACAAATTGTAAACCATCAGTTGTTTTCATCTTTCCTTTTATATCTTTGTTTAACTATTCTTCTAAAGAGTATATTTTGTTGTCTTTGTTCTTCTGTTCGGTTTTACTTACATGCACTCAGTGAACACTTTATTAGGAACAACATACTAACAGTGGGTAGGGCCTCCATTTGCTCCCAAACCAGTCTATTCTTCATGGCATGCTGTGTATATGTATGGATGTGTGCATTCATGCCCATACAAAACCTGTTTTTTGTTGCCGTTTTGTATGTTCGACATGTACTCAAAACAGAATAAATACACTCAACTTAACTCAGTCATTTATAGTGCAAATTTTCAGAATCAGAATGAGTCCTCAATTTGTTTTGTCTGACCCATACTCAAAAACAAATACAAATACAAAACAAAGAATCAAAGTAAATCCTTACATCTGAGGTGCTCAATATTGCTCAATATTCAGACAGCCTATTACTTTGATTTTAAGGGTGTGTATTACAGCCCAGCCCCTTTGTTGTCCGTTACTTAATGATAGTTTTATTGTGAAATTTAGCACCGGAAACCCCTATATTTTTATTTCACCTTGACACAATTGAATCATCCAGGCACCAGGCAGGTTAAATATGGTACTCAACATGCCTCACCCACTAGCTATGATAAAGTTATAGTCCCCACCCTGTTCTGTTTTAGCCTTTTCTTTTGACGTCTTCATTTCTAAACAAACGCACACCCCAATTCAGGTTGACGAAAGCCAGTTAATCTGTATCGCTTATTAAATCGCTTTTGGAGACACAGAAACAGTGTTGAATAAAAATACAGGTAACCATCAACAGTCAAGACAACTGTCCACGCACACTGTCACCTTTAGAGGCTGTTACAATGTAAAAACATGCAACAAAGTGCTGATTGTCAGTGTATATTCCTCGGTAGGGCTGCGTCTATGCTATGAGTGAAGTGAGTACACACCCACAGCGACAGGGAAACGAGTCAAGCCCAGCGAGCGACAAATCCCACCTTTTGAAGCTTTGGACGACACAGACAGAGGATAAGGATTTCACAAGAACACAAATCGTAAAACTGTTTAAAGATTCAACCTCGGGTTCCTTCATTCAGGCTGTACTAATGTTGCCCTTTGTGCAGGAGCTACCTCTGTAGCCTACTGCAGTCAGCCACATCCTCACTATAATCCCACAGACACCTGTTGTGAGATTTGTCTCCTTTGTGCAGAGCAGCAGAAAGTGCGCGGAAAAAGTGCAAAAAGTATATGCATATACGTTTATTTAGCACAGCTTGGAGCTCGCTGGACCGCAAGCTTCGGTCACTACAACATATATGTGGTCCACTTAGGGAAAGTCTTACCGGAGCTGGTGAGGCTGGGAGACGAGGTGATGATTATACCGCGGTCCCAAGCTCGCAGCCGTAGGTTTCCCCTCCCTCTGTTCAGCCAGGCGCAATATGGCGCTCATACATCCAACCGAGCCTGTTCCTGCTGTCGCCGGTAGGCTGGAGGGTTTACAACCCAGGGTCCAGGGACCTTTAGGGGGCACTTGAGGGGCTTTACCACAACACCAAAGATAGTTTCATAATTGTGTAGGGGACATTTTAAATGAAGAAGGTCTTTCCCCCCACCTACAGCAGGGCTTTTGTAATTTTGAATCTAGCACCACAACAGCTCTCAAAGGTAAAAAGAAAAGAAAAGAAAAGAATCAGACATTTATTTGATCATTTTTGGGAGTCCTTAGCATGGAAAATGAAAGTCAAACTTGATCAACTGTACATTACCATTATCTCCAATATTATGTTTATTAGGGGACAGAACCCAAAACACAACATATCAGGTGGAGGCAGGCATCACAGTTTCTGCTAGGACAATACATAAGCACTGGAAAACACCCAAGAATGAAAAGAACAGGCAAAGTCGACAGTTACAATAACTTCACACCAGTGTATACCTAACAGGATAAGAGTAAGGCACAAGTTTGGGATCGTTTTTGGAAATTATATCACACTCACTGATAGGCCTGTAGTGTGAACGCTGGCTCCTTATAGTAATTAGTAAAATAGTAATTAATATACTGTATGCTGCATGAATATTCTTCCTAGTCATAAAAATGTTCTGTATCTTGTTGATTTTTTAAATTTTGTATTTATTGTTTTAGTTCATACCCCTGATGTTACAGGTATTGTAAGCAACAGGAAATGTCTCACAGTGTGATACAATGTACTGTCATGTACCAAAGACAAAAGTAATAAAAAATTTGAATTAGAAAAAAACAAGGAAAATGAAAGTCAACTGACCATTTGACGATGCAACCTATATGAAAACATACTATGGCTATTGTTTCAAGCAAATAAAGGCTATGGCTAATCACTGGTACACAAATCAGTCTGTGTTTGATATACATTAATGATATACATTAAACATACACATCATGTTTAATGATGTACATGTATTATTTTGTATTTTCTTTCACTCATATGTATATATATTTTAAGATGTTGGTATGAAGGATAAACCCATTACCTATTTATTTATTTAATATTATTTTAATACTTTTTTGTTTTCTTGTTATTGTGTACTTCATCTAAGAATTTTATTGTTTGAATCCTATCATTATTATTATTATTATTATTATCAGCCTATCATTTTCTGATTTTAACAGACAATGAAACATGACAAACCATAACATGACATAACATTCAAATTACACCTACGATAACAAAATAGGTCAGGGGTGTAATGTACATATCCTGCAACCTAAGTTAATCATATATCCTATATATTCTACAAGTCTATGAATCACACCTTTGAATGTAATTGGGTTTTTTTTGTGTATATTATGTATTTACTTATTTCTTTCAAGTCCATTTTGTATGCTGCCGTACTTGCCTGAAAATGATGTGTTAAATTTTTTTTTTATTTATTTGTGTAAGCCTCTTGAGCTGAGGAAAGTAAATTAATGTGAATGCAGTTATTTGAGCAATGACTGTTATAATACTGAGTAAATACATTTAAGCCTCATCTATCCGCTGTGTAAAGACTGAGGTGTCACCTTTCCTTTACAGTGGCATCACAGCAGAAACTTTTTTTTTTTGTTGCACAGTATTTCACAGGGGAAATGAGCGTCATCCGCCCTTCACTGAACCAAGGAAGCACCGCCGAGCGAGAGGGGAGGCGTCATAGGTGACCTGACCAATGAGAAGATGGGATTAAAATAGAGCCGTATATATCGGAGGTTAGACCTACTTCTCACCATAATACGAAAGCAAAGAGTGATGTGACAGTCGTACCTGACACTTTGTACTACTTAACCAGCTATGACGTTCATCATCATGGCCATTGTCACCACTGCCATCGTCATCACAATCCCTTCGTTAACTACAATAGTTTTTGAGCCAATTGAAAGGAAAAAATACGTTGAAAATATGGCCAAACCAAACACCAAACAACATTATTAGAGGGCTAATTTATCAATTAAAGTAGCCTATACAAAGAAACCCCTATAAAGAATAAGAAATTAAGATGATAAGACAGAAATCAACTTATGTAACCTTATTTTTTTGTTTGTTTGTTTGGGTTTAGTCAGATATTATAGATGAGTCAGTCAGAGCAATGCAAAATATTCCAGAATTTGCCTGTTAGGGCACCTGAATGAACTGTTTGCACAGCAATACCAGATGCAAATAGATAAAGTCACAGGAAAGCACTTTGAATGGTCCTTCAAATATTTAGAGTTCCTAAACACGGTTGCTCACCTGCTGTATAACTGAAATGGTTTTTTAGATAAAACTTTTTTGGTCAGATTTTCTTTGGCTGGTGTTCTGAAAACTCGGTAACAGGCAGGAACTTCCTTCTGATAAGCAGTAAGATGTACAAATATACTGCATACCTGACAGAAAACAGACTGTTTTGACTGATTATCACAAAACTGAGGCAAATGATAAAGACTCAGACAACTAAGAATGACTCAAGATATAAAACATGTCCACATTTAATACTACAACCGCACTGCTCTGGTTTGACTATAGCCATGAAATATCTAGCAACTAATAAAAAATAAAAAAAAAAATCACCAAAAGCCTATATAGGCCACAATATGTGATCGAATGTTTCAGAAAAAATATCTCATAATGCCTCATCTATGAAGTGCAGCAAAAAACCCAACTGTTTCAAACCCTGAAGGAACTGTAAAGGTCAACATTCATGGAAAATTTACATAAACTTTTATAAACAGAAATCCTAGATAGGCAACATACGAGAGTGCAAATGTGGAAAATGGATAATACAAGACAGCATTTAAATTTTCAACTATTTTACCAATTTACCACAAATCATGAGTCATAATTCTGATTTTAAGTTTTAAGAGAAAATAACTTGTGATCACAGAATAATCATCATTACGCTGGTGTCAGATGTTCCTTGATGTATCAGTGTCATTGCATTGATTCACCATGAGCTAAATACAGATACACTGGTATCATGTTATCAAAGAAACAACTCATGGTAATTTTGTCAGCAAAAGTTTATTTTTGATAATAGATTAATGCCATCGACTCATCTCAGTGAATTATTACCACTGAGTCTTTCAGTGCTATATGTCAGATTTGTCTGGTTGTGTCTCCAGCTCCTTGAACATCTCCAGTCTCTTCTGGGTGACATCATGGATGATAGCTGAAACAGACAGGATGAAGGTGTTTCAGTCACATTCTGCTCTGTGAACAATACTGTATATCTGACAATGGTGACCTCTTCAATGTATGTAAAGAGCCACTAGATGGTACTCCAACAATGTCTATGACTTGATGACCCCTGGAGGAGGACTCGTGAAATACCTCCTAGTTCTCAAGGATAATAACAGCGGCTAGAAAAGGTTGGTTAGCTTGAAACAACTTAGAAGAAATTTATATTTATACAAATCATGTTTGGTTTTTAGAGGGAACTCTCTAGAGGGTACAAATAGATTGGCTTAATCTGTAACATCAGGATCAGATGTTTATATTCTGTGGAGACCCATATCTTGGATTTTGCCATCAGACAATTATGGTTTATGGGTTCTGATGTGGGATCTTGGTGGTGAACAGCACTTGGTTTGTTTAATGCTCAGTGAGAAAAAAGAACAAACATTTAAAAATACAGATTTTTAAATTAGATAAATGTTCAGATTGAACACAGGAGTGCCTTAATTTAAAAAATATTATACTATCTTCCCTTACTGTCCAGCATCTCTCTTGCTATGTATCTCTTCTCCAAACTGTTGTTAACCTCATCCATCAGCCATGGGAAGAAATCAGTCTCAATATCTGGAAATCAAACCACAAATATGATAAAAAAAAAGTTAAACACCCATATCAAAACTTTCACACACAGAGTATGAATGGGATCGTCTATTAGGCTACTAGTCGCAGGTCACATCAGAGTTTTTATAAAGTGGAAATGTCAGTGGAGTGCAGTGATGTCCTCATGTGTCAGAAAGGGGTAGCTGACCTTTCTCCACAGGGTCATAAAAGTAGCCGTGGCTTCTCAGTGAGGTGAAGACTGCAGGTAGAAGATCAGCCAAGTACTGCTGAGTATATGCCCGGGCAGCAATCTTCTCTGCAGTCTCTCTTTCTTTCTTCATCACCTCCTTCTGCTGGGCAATTCTACGCTCCTGAGATCAGAAAAAAAACTTCTTTTGTTTAAAACAAGATTATGGGTCTCTTTTCAGCATAATCTTTTTTTGTGATGTGGTTGATCAGTTGTTCTGATATGACACATTACTACTTCACCCTACATGCTTTTTATCAAAGATGTTATATTTGCTGTCCGAAATGTTTGGTGTTTGATTCCTTCTTTGGAAAAAAGTCTCTAGCATTCAAAAACTATAGCATTTAATGACTGTGACAACAGAAAGTTTGCATGGAATGATTAGAAAAAGAACTGAGTCGTTAGCATTTAAAGAACACCATAAAAAAAGAAAAAGAAATCATTAGAGGTGGAAATACTGTTTGATTGACAAGTAGCTTCACTAATAGCTACTGGGTAAATAAAGCCCCAAAACCTGAGTATTTTCTGTTACATAAAATATTTATGACATGTGATAACCAATAATCAAATTTTTAAGCTTAATTAGTTAAAAATTAATAAGATTTAATTGCTCAAAAACGTATCTTATCTGCATCATGAAGACTGAGAGGTTAAAGTTTGATTAGATCTGAATGACGACGGTGTCTCACTGACAACATAAGAAGAAGAAAGTGTCAAATGTTCACTTTCTGAAACTTTTACTGTTAAAATCTGACTGATGCACTTGATATGACCTTTTTCCCCACACAGAGAGAAGTGCTCTCCTCACACCAGAGAGATGAGCACAGAGAAAACACATCAATACAGATATCTCTCTTGTGAAGTAAGTATTACACTTCTAACCTGGCCAGATAACAGTGTGCTCTCATAGGGTCAAGTCTTGCAGTAAGAAACTAAGGATATGAGTTTTCAGTAGTCTGGTTTCAGATGTCTAAATCATCGCCCACTGGGTTAAGATCGTTCAGCCCTGTCCCAGCTGTTTGTTCAGGACTGATCCATTCATGGCATCACTGCTTTTTCCTGATTTTCCCGACCTGGATAAACTTATTCCTATTTTCTATCATTTGCGTACTTTCTCCTCACTGTGGCGTCTCTCCTGCTCCTGAAGTCGGTGCACTTCTGCCAGCTCATTATTTCGGAGCTCTTCGAAAGCCCTCTGCTGGGCCCTCAGACAGGCCAGCTCCTCCTCCTCCATCACCTCCAGCAGAGACTGCTCTATTGTCTTCCCCACCAGGACCTCCAACATCGGCTGCACCTCCCTGTCAAAGTCAAACAACTGCAGAGGATACTAGTCGTTAAAACACAGGGTTTAATTTGATCAAACCTGCAAACATTTCCAAGTGACATTTTTGTAGACTCTCTCCTCTTGGTAATCACCCATGTCTTTTAAACACCACAACACTGGGTTTATGTTTACTATAAAATGACCTCTGGTTACCCACCTCTCCCTCCTCTATCTGTGTTTCAGCATCTTTGCCAGATTTGGCAGGTATGAAGAGTGGGGTTGCTGGTTTATCCAGGAAAGCCTCAGTCTGGCATTCAATATCTGTTGCCACTATAACATCACTCAATTCTTCAAGATAAAGATCTGAAAATAAAGTTAAGAGTATTGAGAAAAAGTGCTTCTGGTTTCCAAGAGGTAAAAGTTCTGAAGTTGTCAAGAGAAATGCTTTACCTGTTTGAACATCAATGTGTTTTCTGCCCTGCAGGGCTTCAGGAGTCTTGGGTTTGAGGTGCTCTCTGGCACGTCTTCGAGCAATGGCTCTCCTCCTGATCTCCTGTTGTCTGAGTATTTCAGCAGGGTCTGGATGAGCTGTCTGTCAACGGTGCATGATGAAAAACATTTTTAAGACAAAGTGATGAATACAAGGGCAAACCTGTCAGCAATGAAGCATAGCAAGATGAATGTTTCATACTTACAGTTGGTATGATGTGTTGAGCGTAAGTGTTTCCTCTGACAACGCGACGGTCATACATAATGTTTCCATAATTACTGTGTGTTCTGCATTGTAAAAACAAAAAGAAAAGTCAGCTGATCCTGACACTTGTTAGCCTCGAAGATGAATTGTTTATCCATGATGGGCCAGTATAAGGTAGTGGAATAAGGCAGTATTTGAGATATTTTTCAAGAATTTTCCTTCTGTCTGGTGGGCGAAGAAGTACTGAGAATATTTCCTTTAGTAAAAGTAATGATACCATAGTGTAAAACAATACAATTTAAAGTGAAATTTCCTGCATTCAAACTGTAATCAAGTACAAAAGAATTATCAGGAAATTGTACTTAAAGTAACAAACTACTCATTATGCACTTATATTATTATATATTGTGTGACTCTAATTATGTAGCTGGCTGAGCTAGTGGAGGTAATTTTAGCTAACTACTTTAACCACTTTAACTTTAACAGGTTTAATTAACTGTAACAATGTATTATATTCCATTTGTAGCTAAAAGCTTTTGGATAAATATCATGGAGTAATAAGTGCAATGTTTCCCTTTTAGAGAAAGATAAAGTGCCATGAAGTTGAAGTACTCAAGTAAACGATAAGTACCTGGAAAGTGTGGAGTACTTGAGTGAAGGTACTCATGAATTTCTCCTAGGGGATAAATAAAACATCTATCTAGCTATCTATCTATCTATCTATCTAGTTACTTTACAGCACTGTAGATATAATATTTCTTCAGAAGGATCATTTGAAATATTTTCAGCATTTTCTTGCTATTTCAATCCTTGTAGACTACATTACACTGATTTGGATGGGTTAGGTGACTAACTGCCTTAATTAAAGCTGACGCAACGGTAGCACCTAGCAAAAACAACATTAGTGCTAACAACACAGGTTTCAGGGCGACGCATACTGTTCAGACGGAGGCTCTCTGTACTTAGAGCGGTTCTCTACTGGTCTCGGGCGACTGGAGAAGGTGTAGGTTCCGTTTGGTTCCCTGTGGCTGTGCGAAACAAAAGCCATCTGTCAGAAACGGTCAGAAAACCATCAGACACTATAGTTGTGATAGTTAACGTTGATGTTTGGTAGCGGACAGGCTGCTAAAGCAAACTAGAGGAAGCAACAAGCTGTTGTAGCAACCGTATCTAGGAAGTGTAGGCTAACGGCCCTTACGTCACTTCCTATAAAAACTGGAAATTAAAAGCATTTATTTTTAATTACAACCGTTGAGCCGTTAGTACTACTAGTAGTGTGTCCATTACTACTTCTGTTGCTGCTGCTGTTACTACTACTATTGCTGCTGCTGCTGCTATTTAAGTGCTACCACTGCCATAAGACCACTAATATCAATAATAATACTTTTATCTATTTCTATTTCAAACAAAATCCTCAAGGTCATTTAGTAGCTGTTTTGGAGCTTTCTATCATACCACACAGTCTTCATCAGATGATTGGAGTTTGCTGTGTTGATGCTCATTTTTATGACTACTTTAAGGATTTCTTGCCCATATCGGCTAAAGGATTGAACTTTAAAATTGTTTGCACAGTCCAAAAGCTTCAGAATAGTTACTAAATGGACCTTGTAAAGATTCTGTTTTTCTAATGATGTTTTTCAAAGTCAAGAATGATTTTTCACTCTCAAAACATACAAACAAATGAATGAATGAATGAATAAACAGATAACACGTGAACAAACTTTTTTAATGTACAAAAACTAGAATGGTCAGCAGACACGGAGTTTAGTTTCACAAGGATGCTGAAGCTAATTGAAAAAACGTTCACTGACTCTAGTGTCTCGTTCCGTGTTACAACACAACTGAGAAGTTCTGAGTATTGATGCAAAGACCACTTCCTGCACAGATAAGTCAAAAGGTGACAAAGTTGAACGTGTGCTGTTCTTTGAATACTCACTTAAACATAGTGAAACAATGATTTTAAAAGCTGATATTCAATTTAGACATTTCTACTGATATTACCATGGTGATTGCAAGACAAGACAAACTGTTATTGTGGACTGTGCTGCAGGCCTGACATCGGCTAACACCTTAAACAGAGCTGGATTTGTTTTGCTCACAGGTGACACTGAAATGTGGGTTGCAGGAGGCATTTAGCAGAGGAAAGCTGAAACTAGACTGACGATGATGTTAACCACAAAGAGCATTATCAGCTTTACGAAAAGCCTGAAAGTATCAGAAAAAAAAACAAGGCACCTGAATTTACACAGAACTGTGTCTTTGAAGGAAAAGGTGACGGCTTGGTGGTCAGAGTGATGGCTGAACTGGCACCTGTGTTTGTTTCCATATCATAAATTTTATTCCAAAGACAATTATGCCACCATTTTGCATGTTTACATGTTTCATTTGTTACATAACAGATGGATCTATTTAAACAACCAAACAAATGGTGCTTGTATAACATTTCCATAATAATAAGATTAATAATAATAATAATAATAATAATAACTTAATAACCACTCTCTACTATTACTACTACTACTACTACTACTACTACTGCCACTACTACCTTGACTACCACTATTGGTCCTGCACTACTAATATTAGTACAATCACTATCAACAGCCAAATATACTACTACCACCACTATGACTACTACTACTATGATGATACTACTATGCCAGTTTTGCATACTAGCATGTCTGATGTGTTACATAACAGGCAACACTGACACTATTTAAATAGACAAACAAATGATTATTATATAACATCTCCAGGAAAACTATATTTTATTCATAACGCAAACAGCCAAATATAGCCACAGCTGTAGGACAGGAGCCTGCTGGAGTTATGCCATGTGCTTCTGATCTTTTTTTTAAAAAGAATAATTAATGTCTATTCAGATGAGTGTAGAGGTCTCTGTGTCATAAAGGGCTGGGATGTGCTCTCCTCTCTGCATGTTATATCGTTTATGCTTCAGCTGTCACAAATCATTACTCTTTATTGAAGGGAAAACCGTTCAGCTTGCCACTGTGTTAGCCTCTCCTCATTAGTGTTGACTGCCAGCCATGAGATTATGCAACCAGCAGGGCATGCATCCACACATTCATATTCTTTCAGTACAGTAATGTACTCACTACATCTTCTTTTCTCTTTTTTTTTTTTTTGGATTTATTGCAGACTTACAGCCTTGATTCCCTTTTACACCATCCACAAACTTAATTACTCTACTTATAACAATACTTCTAACTTTATGTAAACACAGTGTAGAGGAACACACTTCCACAGCGTGTTGTCACGCTGACTCACTCGCTCAGCCTTTTTAAAACAGCAGGTGGAAACTCACAATTAGGTAGCTGGGTGGTAATGAATGCAGACAGGTAGTCAAGTGGAAAAAGTAGCTTTTAGTGAAGCAGTAATGTACATGTACAGTAAGAGGTAAACAGGTGGTAATAAAAAGCAGTTAGAGAGGAGAGGTTGAGACAGAGGCAATTACTGTAGACAAGAGAAACATACAGTACAGGCAACATAGTAATTTTAAAATGTACAATGGTAATGGGGTGGACACAGTAACAGGTACAGTTGCACAGTTTAATGGAATCCAATACAACAGGCCTAAATAACTACCTCTGTGAAGCTTACAATGCTGAGTTTGTGCCAAGACATTCATTCAAGTCTATGGTAATAACTTGTATTCATTCAAGTTATCTCACTGTAGTCTGATTCCATCTGTAGATCATATGATGACGACTTAACTATCTCAGTAACAACTGGGCGAATGACATCTGCTGAGGAAGTCCATGAGATCTGGCTGAAAGATTTTGAAAAACCAAGCCTATACTGAAATTGTGATGAGATTTTTTTAAAGGCTTTTTTATAGCCTGAAAGACTATTTCTGACTGAAAAATACGTCCGTCCTCCCTCTGTGGGGTAGTAACAATACAGCAAAAGTAAACACATGGAGCAGCTTTTTTTAATATATATATTTTTATTTCTTGTTATACTACTATTAATATGGAAAAGTATTTATAAAGTATATTTCTAAGTATGATAATATAATATTATAAAGTATTGTTTTAACGTTTACTTTTAGCTTTGTGATTTATTTCATTCATTTGGTGCAAAGCACAGCAAGGTATTCAGTATTAAGTTCAGTCAGTGCATGTATAACACGTGTTTCAACAAACAGAGAAGATAATAAGCTTATGAATAAAAAACACATTATTCTACGCTCGCAAATGCGTCCACGTTATTATATTCAACCCCTATATGATGAGAGAACATACTCTCTGCTTTGTTAAAGAATCCACACCTGACACGTGCATGCACTGTGACATCAGTTCACATTGAGCAGCGCTGATTATTGAAGAGTTTCTCACAGTGAAAACACTGACATGCTCTCGCTCTCATAATTACAGAGTGGTCACAATGAGCTGAGCAGGAACAACCTCGACAGATGAGAGCTGTACAATGGATGAAAAACAGCTAAAGAGACTCTGTATGTCAGCTGGCTGGACGTTTGTTGATGACCACAATATATACTGTACATATATGAATGTAAACTCACAATTGTTCTTCAGGTCTCACAGTACAAACTAAGATAGACATTAAAAGTAGAATTCAAATGAAAATATCAAATTATGTTCTTGGAAGCTGCCATTTTTCAGGGATGGTAATGTCAGTCTAATAGTTTTGTCAGCGGGTCCAACACTTTGGTGATGGTGAACATGGTAGACATGACACCTGCTAAACATCAGCAAGTTAAGACTGTCATTATGCGCTTGTTAGCATGCTGAGGTTAGCATTTAGCCCAAGGTACTGCTGTGCCAAAGTCCAGCCCATCAGAGCAGCTAGCACGGCTGTAGACTCTCAGTCTTGTTCCCTATTTTTTCATACCAAACATGTCACCAATTAATCAAGAAAAAAATTAATTAATTATTATACTATTATTATTATTAGTTGCTCCTGTAGTTAAATATAACACACATAACACAGCATGATAATAAAAATATAGCATTGATGTAAACATAGAAGGTAAATTAAAACAATTCCAAAACTCTCACTTTAAAAAGCATTGTTTTCTTTGGTCTCCAAAGTTCTGGTTTCCTCAAGAGTTCACTAATAAATCAGACATTCAAATTTCCTCAGAGTTAAAGTTGCAGACTGGAAATTACCTGCAACACAACCTCCATGTTTGGGCAAAGGTATGTCAACAGTTACCTCAAAGATAGATGCAGTAGGTCAGATATGTCACAGATGTGAGCTGTTGACTCAAGTTCCTTCAGATCCTGTTGTTTGATAACAGTGTTTTGACATTTCTTTGCAGATAAAAAGAAGAACCAAAAAAAAACAGCATCAACATGCAATCTGCACTGATTCACAGCTCCTGAGTGTAGGATTTACAAGTGTCATACTTTCACATTTTTGACCCAGCAAAGGTAACAAAACAGACCACAATGCAAGCTGCTGACCTGATGCTACTTTCTAGGACTTCTACTAATGATTGGATAAATCATGTGACATCCATGAATTAATGAATGTCAGAGGCTGCAGAGGGCGAAACATGATGAAAGCAATATCTCTCCGAGACAATGCACTTTATCACAACATAACTGAAATGAATAGTAACTGTAAGAAACTGGTACCTTTTTTTTATTCTTGCTGACATTGTGACTGAAAGGTGCTAATTAAAGTTGTGGTGGTGTTGTGTTGCTTGTGTTGTAAGATCTTCCTGTTTTTTGTCGCCCCCCCCCCGTACATTATGACAGTGAGTACAGTGCAACAAACGCCTCTGAGTCATTCCTGCTGACCTTCTGAAATGGATTTCTAAATTACAGATGCTGCTTTCTTTGTACCTACCATGTGTAATTGATTCTTTAAGATGAGCATTATCAGAGTTTGTCAGGCTATCTTCAAATTAACCATAAATTGTTGCCTAATCTGGCTCAGTGTCAATCTCATTGAAATCTTTGGATGAATTAACTCAGCTTGTTGAAGAAGGAAACGGGGTGCTAAAATACTTCAAGAGAGGAAGGAAGACGAGGTGGCATCAACTCATCTTGCAGCCAGAGACAAGAACAGCAATTCAGAGAAAAACCAAATCCGTCCATGTGACCACGTCTGGTTTCCTTCTGTTTTAGCATATGTGCCAGAACATGCTGTTCTCTCAATGAGGCCTGTTAGCCTCTGTTATGCAACACATCCAGCAAAGAGAAGTTAAACCAGATTAGCTTTCTAAAAGGTCTAACAGAGACAGAGAAAGAAGACACTTTTCTTTTACTTTGTTATAATCTTTTATTGAATTGCATCCATTTTCTTATGTGGTTACCTAAAACCTTTTCACCCTGGTAAAGTTTACAAATCTATATCTATGTCACATTATTTACATTTTTAGCATACAAGTCAACAAAGCATAGTTCATCATCCGGAAAGTGCTTTAATGTAGTGGAAGAAGGAGACCATGCAAGGTGCGGAGGATTTACAAAAAGCAAAAATAAAAGTGTGCTCAACGTGCCATCCTGTACATAATCACTATATCAACAGAACAGAAACTCATAGCATATTTGATCCACAGCTAACTGTGTTTTCATAGCTTCATTGTGATAGACTATCTATCATGATAAAAACATATATTATAACATTTGTACTCTAAATAGTACTACATAGACAGTGCAACCAGAGGCTGCACATAGCTGACATTCAAAGTGAAAAAGTGAAAAATGAATAGATTGGACATCTTTATACAAACATCGCTCTGACACAGAGTTGGTCAGTGGACAGGGCCTTAAAGACACGTCTCTCTGTCTAACTGACCACAGGACAGAGAAAAAGTGTGAATTAGGGTAGGAAGTGGCTGCTGTTATAAAGCCTAGCATTCTTACTCTTAAATCAAAACATGCAATCAGATTAACAACAACAAGTTCTCTAAGTTAGGGGGTCAGCCTGGCTAACCATGCATGACCCAGGCCCTGGAGAAATAAAAGAAAAAAGAGGCTTGGTGGTGAGTGGCTAAATTGCAGTTCTGCCTTCAAGAAGTGCCTGTATGACTAAAATCCCATCTATGAAACTGTTTCAAAGTGAATCAAACGCAAGACTCCTTGGCGTAAGAAAACTCCTCAAACACAGGCTGGCTACATCTCCGTGACAGGGTCTCTGGACGGCCGGCAGACACAGACTCAGACATGGCTCTCTGGCGGAAAGGCTGCCGCCGCTCCACAACGTTGTCACTGTCCTGTGCCGCTTGAGCAAAGCTGTCCATGTTCTGAGTGACAGAGCAGCGATGTGGGAAGTCATAATTTACAGAGGATGGGCGGGATCTCCTCTTCAGCTCTTTGGCGTCTCGTACAGTCATTGCTCCATACTGTGGAGGGAGACCCACCTTGTACTGTACTGCCTGCTGGTATGATGGAGGCCTGCAGGGCAGCTTGCTGTCCACCTGTTTAAATACCTCAATGGCCGACAGAGGGCGCGGTCTTTGCAGAAGCTCAGCTGGTGAATCTGCTTCACTCTGAGAGTCCTCCTGGAGAGTTTCACAAGGAGTGATTGTCTGAGAATCTTTCTTCAGGCTGTTCCTGCTGAAGGCTCCTAAACTCCTGGTCCTCATTAGGACTTTAGTGGTTATTCTCATGGACTGTGAACGCTTCTTCTCATCTGAATTTGGCCTGGCAATGTCCTGTAGACCCTTTGCAGCCACTGAAGGGTGGTTGGTGGTGTTTTCTCTCCTGGGGCAGGCTGGTGACCCCATTGGGGAACTGGTGAAAACAGAGCCCTCCGACTGGTTTGAGGCTGCGCTCTCTAGAGAAGAGCATGAGCAGCCCTTCACATGATTACCATCCATGTCAGGCAGTGGGTCCATGTTGGTGCTGCTGCTCAGTTTTGGAAAAGACAGAACTGGCCTGGGTCCCCCTTGTCCCCTGAACAAGAAAGAGTCATCGGATATGGGTTTTTTCAGAGACTGCTTCTCAAAGTCCCCCCTGTCCACGGAGCAGTCCTCGTGGCTCCTGGCGTGGCCACACAGGTTCTCAAGATCAGGCGAGATGACGATGATGGGCTCAGAGCAGCGACGGTTGAACGGTACCTTTGGGTTGAAGCCAGTATCAGACGCCCAAGAAGAGGAAGAAGAGGTGGTGGTGCAGGGACTGAGAGAGGAGGATGAGCCACAGCCTCCATGTGTGGAGCTGGTACTCTCCCCTGCCTCCCCATCTCCGTCTGGGTCGGTGCTATCATACGCAGAGTCGTGATGCTGGGAGGACAGGGAGTCTGCAGAGTGAGAAAAGGAAGACATGATTAAGATCTCACTAAAGGAGAGATAATAACTCCGCCCTCCCTTAAAGGCAGATAATAACTCCCTATCGTCTCCCTAAAGGGAGATAACAAGAGAAATTTGAGTGACGTGTAAATGTACCTTCATCAGTATCGAGCAGGTTTGGGATATTTTCTCCAAGTAGCTCGCAGTGCTTGATCAGGAACTGAGTCAGCTCTGTGACCTGCAGCAAATCAGAAAACAAACACAATAGGTCAAATTAAATTACATATTATAATAAATATTGAAAACTGAAACTGAGAATTAGATAAAGAATTCAAATAATCAAAGCTGACATTCAGCGTAGACACACTCCAGACGCAGCTCAGCGCTTCACATAGCTTGTTTTTTTTAGTAGCACCTGACTAAACAAACAGCAAACAAGACTGTGTGCCTGTACACCTTTACTTATGAAACCTTTTGAGGTTTTCTGCAATGTGAACCACAAAGCTTCAAAGCACCAAAAATGTGAAAGTTTACTCATAACAAGACTTTCTACCTTCTCCATCTTTTCCTTCTGCTCATCCAGCGGGGTGCCGTCCAACTGCAGCAGCGTGGGGGCGATGCACACCGCCAAGTTGTAGGCGTCCATCTTGTTGATGTCAGCTCTCTCAAGGATGTGATGGAGGACGCAGACTAGATGCTGCAGGAGGAGTCTGTTGTGCACCGGGAGCACATCCACCACCCTGATTGTCAGGTAGCAAAAAGGGGAAGGAAGAAAAAAGAGAACAGAAAAATTAGCTTGGCGGCCTTTTTTTTTTTCTTTCTTCCTTTTTTTTAAAACAGAAGACAGATTAAAAAAAGAGAAGTGTTTGTGTTCCGACCACAGGTGGAGGAAAGGGGATTCTCTGCAAAACTCCACTCAAAAAAACCCATCTATTTCATACTGACCACAGAAACTTTGATGAACATATCATACCATTTCCCTCTATGTATAAATTTCAAAAATAAATACAAGCTGAGGGTGAGAGTTGCAGGTGAATGGCGCTTTCTAGACTCATTAGCAGGTATTGATTACTTACTTTCTGATTTCCAGAGCTCTCTGCTGAGTGTCCTCATTACCCAGAGCCGTCATCCAGCTGTCATAAAGTTCAGACACCAGCAGGCTGCCAGGAAGTTCCTTCAGAAAACTCTGCAATAAACAAGAGAGGGACAATAATGAGATGTGATGAGTAACAGAAATAGCTGGGTGTGACACTTAACTGTGGTGTCAAGTGCAGTTAATCAAGTATTGTGTTTGAGCACAGTTTTGAGGAACTTTTACTGAAGTATTTCCATTTTGTTTTATTTAATACTTCCACTCCATCACATGTTTTAACAGCTTTAGTTTCTAGTTACAATGCAGATTAAGATTATGAATAATAAAAAATATAACCAGCAAATAAATTATGTTGTATTAACATAGATTAGTTAGAATTAGCATGTAACATTTAAGTGATTCTTCTGTATTACATATATTATTCTCAAATTGGCCATTCTGCTGAGGGAGTACTTTTACTTTTGGTACTTTAAGCATATTTCAATGCTAATGCGTGTAGTATTTAGTAAAATCTTGAATTTTACTTGTAACAGTGTATTTCTACACTGTTATTGTTGCTCTTCAGTAAAAGATACTGTAGCAGCAGCTGCAGCAGTGGTAGTATGGCAGTAGTTGTTGAGGTTGTGGTACTAGTAGTGGGAATGGTCACAGTAACATAGTAGGTGAATCAGTTGTTATAGTTTTTTTCAGTAATGCTAGTGGTGCAGCAAATGTTGTAGTAGTAGTGGTTATCATATACTTTTAATATTGATAGGACACTAGTCGTAAGATGCAGTGAACACTGCTTTAACATATTCTGATATATTTAGGAGGTGATCACAAAGAGCAGGTGTGGGAACGTACTTTGAGAAGCCCGATGAGCAGAAACACCGGCTGGTCCTCCATGTCCACCTCCACACCGCTGTTGAGCTGCTCTCTGATGTCCTTCATGTTCTTGTTGTTGCACGCCTTCCGAAACACTCCCTCTGTGGACGGGCCTTTCTTCCTCAGCAACACCAGCAACTCCTGGTGAGAGGAAAGGTTAGATTTTCATGGTAAAAAAAAAAATTAAAAAAAAAGGCTCTGTGTATGTGTGTGTGTGTTTGTGTGTGTGTGTGTGTGTGTGTGTGTGTGTGTGTGTGTGCGCTGAGCGGATTTTGAGTGGGGACTAAACAACATGCACCTCAGACAGACTCGCAGAGTTTCCTGTTGTCATTAAAAAAATTCGGAGAACTCAGCTAAGTAGGTACGTGTTTATTATTCATGCTCACAGAAGAATTGCATCTGTCTTAACAGGCTGTCCTACATTCAGCCTTCAGTAGCTATATTGCTTAAATAAGAGCACATTCTACCAAAGACCAAAGACATAACTCTAGGAACAAGGAAATCACACTTGATTCTGGATGTAAGAAGTTTTGTTCTTGGTCTTGCAAATAGCAACTTGACAGGAAGGCAGACGGAAACGATCTGACATTAAATCTGACATTTGAATTTGAAAGGCAACTTACCATGACTGGTTTGGGAAGTGAGCAGTCGTCTGGGCATATCTTGCAGAGGGGCTGTCCAAACAGCTGCGTCTTGGCGTCTGTTTCTGATCGGCTTCCTTTGTTGATGAAACTAGAGCCCTTTCTGAGCCTCTTCACCACTTGGTTCCACTTTTTTTCTGATGGAAGCAAAAATGTTTTATCCATCAGCTGATTCAACATTTTTTATTGAACGATTTCGTATTTGTGCAACATTGGAGAACAAGACCAGATGTGCATGTGTCAAAAGCCCCAGTGCCACTTTGTCACTTGCTCACTCTTATCAGTAGTGAGATTTGCTTTCTCTGTGCCTGCGGTTGTTCTCTTTAGTCTCATCTCCAAAAATGGCCCCACTAATGAGGCCCTCCCTCCAACAAAGCCGACAACCTGTCAAACTCACCAGTGGGCTGTGTCTGCTTCTCCTCTTGGTTATTCAACTGCTTCGCAATCTTTGCATCGCCCTGGAAACAAAATAAACAAAAAAGTGATGTGGTTATGCTTATGCAAGAGGGACATGAGCATGCAAACAAGAGGAAAGTCGGAAGGGGTTGTGTTTTTGCTTCTTTTTTCTCAACTGCCATGAACCACACACCCTAGCTCTTTATGCCTACCAACAACTGATTGACTCAGAGGGGTATAATCAGACTACAAAAGACACTAATAGCAGCCAGAGATCAATCAGATTCACCATTACTTATTGTCCTTAAGTATAAGATCCCTTTCTTAACATAATTGTGTACACTTGTGAACTATGCAATTTAACTGTATAATTTGCAGCAATGTGCTTTTCAAAAGGTGTATATATCCGCCAAAAGCTGCCTCCTTTCAACATGTTTGGAAAGGCGCAGGTGTCTTTTGCCAACATGAACACTCTCAATCTCAAGAAGCCAGTGGAACTTTACTCACATCAAATGGAAACTCGATGATTTGCTCCATGCCACCTCCTGTTAGAGTTTTAGTCTAAAAGAGAGAAATGAGAGACAGTGAGAGATCTTATTTAGTAATAGCTCTTTCTTTTTTTTTTTAATATATTTTGTTTTTCTATTGGACATGCTAGCGTGAGCAGGGTTAGAGACTTACTGCAATGCTTCCACTCAACACCTTCATGAGGACGTCTGGAGGTGAAAAAGCACAACCAGCCCTCTCTTTTGCGTCTTTGATCTTTCTGTGATAAGAAAAAAAACCATCATATAATACATTTACTTTGTCAACACAACCCTAAACCCTCCTTGGGTATTCACATTTGTTAGTCTTTAGTCATTTTGATTTTACATAACTACCGCTGTTTGAAGTCACTGTGTATCAACCTAGTAACAGCCACAAAATTACGAGAAGTCCCTATTGTTTAACGATGCTATCTTGATGTTATCAACTTTACATTATCTAAAATTATAGATTAAAGCATAATTTGTCTAAAATCCTTTAAACATAACTTAAAGTTCATGCTGATCAGAATTTGTGCAGGATTACTGTGCCAAACAAAAACAAATATAGGTTAAGTAATGTCCAGCTCCTACCGGGACTGAAAGATTATTTATGATGATTTGTTGGTGTAAACAATGACATAAATAATGATATTGTTTCTTACCTGTGAAGAGTATCTAACCAGCGTTCTTTCACCTCAGGCGAACTGCAGGCAAAATAACAGCATGGTATGAGTTACTAATCCACAGTGAGAATCAAACAGGCCAGCAGATACAGTGGGAGGAATGAGACGACTGAGCAACCACGCTCTCTTTTAACAACTCTGTTGGAAAGTGTAACTCAGTCATGGGAACAGGAAGCAGCGTCACGGCGGGCCCCCGAACAGACACCTTCCACTTCCTCCTAGTCTAGGTATGCTGTGGCTTAGTGTCCACCAGTGGAAACATGACGAAGACGACAACAGAGTGCAACACGCGTGCTTACGTATACACCTGTAGGACTTAACCTTTTTTATAATTTGCAATATGCTGTGGTCTCATTAATGCCTTGCACCCTGAAGTATCAAACGGGTGACAACAAAAGCGTCAACAAGCACATGGTTTCTCATAGGCTCGATGATCACCTTCATGTGAGTGAGAAGGAATGAAACTTTAACACACAGAATCATTACCAGAGCCAAACAACCAATCAGAAAGTGGCATCTCATTTTCAGATAAAACAACTCAAAATCCACCGAGGGATTCATCATCTTCTTGGAAAACAATAACATTTGAAAAAAAGCTTCATGGTTTTAATACTTTGCAAGAAATGTGGGTGTCAATGATCAACACAAAATGACTGGCAAATATGTACCATTTCCTATCTAGTGCCATTTGGTGCCTTTGATGACATGTCACATACTGTAGAGAAGAATAACATGCAATTTTTCATTTCAACAAGTACGAGACCATTTCTCCTTTTATTTTACTGTAAAAGCCAGTCTTTCTAGAAAAAGACAGCTGAGGTAAATCCCATCACATGAAGACTTTTTTGACAGCCAACTTCGTATTTCCTATTTTGCAACCACTTGTCTTGTGATGTCGCTGTGAGGACTTTCTCTTTGCTGCTTCCCTATTTTTTGTGAAGGCCCACAAATGACCATTTACAACATTTGTGAATTGGAGGCTACAGGCTAGCTGGTTAGCATGCTAACTTCAGTAGAAGGAAAGACGTGATAACAAAGAGTTAACATTGGCATTGCTTTCCACCACTGGAGACAGCGCTTGGAGAGTAAAGACATGAAGTTTAATGCTGAACTTGTAATGTTTCTTCTGGACTGGTAAGTAAACAGCTGTTAATGCTAACAATGACTATGTAGCAACAGCAAAACTTTCAAATAGTTATTTTAAAGGAATCATTTTGGTTATTAGCTTGTTGAGAGTTTGATGAGTAGATTGATAACCCTCTCATTTCTATCCTTATTCTACAGCCAACAGCCAGTTAGCTTAGCTTAGCATAAAGACTGGACACAGCTAGCCTGATGAAAATTGAACTAAGGTTATTTCAAGTCAAAACCCTCAGTCCTTTAAACCGTGGAGCGAATAAATACCAACGACAGATGCTAGCCTTCTGCAGCCAACTGCAGATATCAGAGTAACATAAAAAACACAAACAGCTGGAAGGTGAATCAGTGTGCAGACTATACAGCTTCAGTTGTGCTGAAACTAATTAAAATCATAAATCATCCTCCAACCTGTGAAAAAAATGACCCTGACCTACTAATAAATGAATCCCCCAAAAATGGTAAACCATTAATTTAAATTGAAATCTCTTTCTCGTTACATCTTCAAGGGTTTAATTTAGGTTCTGGTGTATAGTATTCCTGTTGACAGCATGAGTAGGGCATAAGAGGAAAGATACCAATCATCTGAAGAGCATCACAGCCACACATATATATGCATGATCATGCCTCAGTGTGTATACAAGCATGTAAGCACAAGTGAATCAAAACATGTGTTGCTGTTTGTATGTGAATCATCTGCTGTGAGACCGCTCACCGAAAACACACCAAACAAACAGTGAGAGCCCAGGCCAACACGAGGGTCACCCGGAGGTCAATATCCACCGTCGTTCCCTCCTCTTCTTCCACTTCATCTTCAAAGCCGTACAGCCAGATGTCCTCGAGGCGCACTCTGTGCTTGAGGCGGTAGCTGGCAGTCGACCTGTTAAAAAGAAGCAAAAAGAAAAGCAGTGATCCTTTAAATAGTCCCTTTCTGTCTCCACCTCTTACTGCCTTTTTTCAATATTAAAATCACGGTTTCAGTTCCATAAATTTTTGTCAGTAACTGATTTTTCCCCCCTCTAAAAAAATATTATTGATTTTGTGATACAGTCATAAAAACCTGACTTTCCTATTTGTGAAAAAGTTTGTAAGAACTATCTAATGGAAAGAAATGATCTACACGTACTCAACAACTCCCCCTTACACTGGAATTGAAAATTAATTTCTGCTCATGAAAACATCATGAAACAAGCAACAAAAGATTGTAATGCTAATATTGATTATCAAGGATAAAGAGGCAAACACCTTGCTCTTTGTCTCCTGGGCAGTGGGCCCTGACAGAGGTGGCAGAGGAGTCTGGAAGAATGCTTTCATTAGTGGCTCAAAAACAACTTTCACAAAAGGTGATGTAAAGTAAGTAAGGGGAATGCATCTTTTCCCGCCACACCTCCATAAAGCCACACTTCAGGTTTCAACAGCATTTGATGGTGACCCCACTGACCTCTGCGTGTTTGCAGCAGAGGCATGCTGACTGTATCCTGGGGCGCTGATAGATTGGAGGAGAAAAGAAATGGGGGTCATAGAGGGATGAAGACAGAATGATGTTGGGGATTCAGGAGGTGTTATGGTACAGAAATAGACAAGTGACGCAGAGGGGAGAGATAATATAGACTATAGCTGTGAGAAATAACCATGGATGAACTAACACACTGGGGCTATGAACTGAACAATACGAACGAAAGAGGGCCCCAAATGACCCAGTGTGGATTGTTTATGTTCACATGGTTTACATAGAACCAGGAGATTATTGATAGCTTTGTTATATTTTCCAGATTACAGTTAATACTCAAATGCTGGAGTAGGTTTCTACCTGTCTGTAAATTATTAAACCATTTACCATTATACCAGCATAATGTCAAGATTAGGTAATACCGACTGCCTTGAACATCAACATTTTGGAAAATACATTTATTTGAGTTATTTTTGAGAGTAAGATGAGAGCATCTGTGTGTCGTACTGGGCCGGACTCAGGTTGAATTTAGCCTAGCTTAGCATAAAGACTGGAAACAGGGGGAAACAGTTAGCCCCTGCTCTCTCAAAAATATTCATACCACGACCTCCATTTCAAGGCTAGACTTTATGGCCTTTACAATTCTGTAATTTGTGTAGCCTATAGATAAACAAAAGAGAGACAAAATGATAATCGGTTAGCTTTAGAGGTAGATCTGTTTATCTCGGGACAGAGTCGAGCTAGCAGTTTTCTCCTGTTTCGAGTCTTTCTGGCTTAGAGCCAGCTGTGAGGAAAAAGATTGCATTTTACATTTCTGTTTTTGTGCTGATTAAACAAACAACATACAAGGTGCTAATTATTGAGGTTGATAGGCATATTTTTAAACTTTGGAGAGCTAGCTGTTTTCCACTGCTTCTAGTCCTTATGCTAAGCTAAGCTAACCAGGTGCTGGCTGTAGCTTCATATTTATTGTACAGACAAGACAGTGGAATCAATTTTGTCATTAAAATCTCAGTGAATTTCCCAAAAGGCTGACCTACTTTTCTAGAGCTGTCTGTTATCATTGATATTGTGATTTTCTGGTGCTTATTCCCGCACCAGTTTGTACTTCAAATTATCACACTTCCCTGGTGTTTTTCTGTGTCTTCTAGAGCTCTGGTTGATAATCCAGGTTTGGGAAAAATATTTTTCCAGAACTAAGAAATCTTAGTAAACTGAAACTTGATATACAAAAAAACGTGGTGCCTTTTAAATGTTTCTCGACAACAGCCTGTACACTAAATAGTACCATACACACTCATTTTTGGAAGTAATGAATGATCATATACATAGACTCAAAAGACTCGAACATGTGTTTACTGTATTGTATTGTATAGTCCCAGTTGTGCTACCTACTGGAACCGTGGGCAGGTTGTGGTACAGAGATGAGTGTGACGACTCCCACTCACGAGCTATAAAACTTCCACTGGCTTTGACAAACAGCTTGAATCTGACTAGGCTGAGCTTCAACTTCAAGCTTGTTCATATTAATTTGTCTTGTTTAATGGCAACAGAACTTCAGTTTAAGTTTTGTTGAAATTACTTTCTGAGATAAACATATTTCAACAGTTTGAGTTTCCCCTCATGTGACTCTGCTCAAAGGGAACCACCATAATTTCTCTTATTCTTTTGAAGTCAGAGTGACTTAACACAAACAGTCCGTGTGCTGGGAGATTCCCTTAAAGCCCGAATGTGCAGTAAAAATATACAGTTTATTTTTACTTCCTCTTTCACTCTCCTATTCCAACTATACAAATATGTGTCATTTTTTCAGCAGACAGTTACTGAAATACCAACTTCAGCATTATAACTGTATTTCCCTGTATTGTTTTTATATTTTCTGTCAGTCGATTCAGTTGTTTTCCACTGGTAAAGTTTTGTTCCCTGCTCATATATTTGATTTTCTTCTCACTTTTCTTGAAATAACTAATAATCACCATCTATACATTGGAGTATAGATTAATATCTACATTACTTACTTGAGTTTGGCGAAGACAATGACGTCGCTGAAGAGGAACAGGTGTCTGTCTCCCGTCTTTGTGCCCTCGGTGACCTGGACACACTCTTCCAGCAGCAGCTCTCCATTCTCGCTGGTGAGGCCAAGGACAAATGGACTCTGCTCCACAGACACCCAGCAAGAAGCCTCCTCCCTGAGCAAGTGGACACACACAAAAAGGGTGGGTGACAGGGACTTCCCACAGCCAAACCAGTCTAGTTTTGGTAAGTACATCATGTCTCTGATAAATTGAAGGATTGCATGCTTTTTAATGGGTTTAAAAGATCTGCTTGGAGCCAAAGACTGTTCCTGGAGTATCTCAAATATGTGTTTTCTACACTTAGAGAGGCTGTTTTTCTCACCTCCTACAGAGTTGATATTTTAGAGGTGTAGTAAATGATGCACATGATCTTCAAGTTTGAATTTGATGATAAAGCATAAAGTAAACAAGAACCAAAACGTCTTGGTTGACAGTGAGATTCAAAGATCATCTAATTCTAATACAGTGGTACACTTTTTCTTTTTCAAACTAAACTTGTTATGTTGTCTTTTTATTTTTTGCCCTTTTAGAGATGATGATATGAAAATGATGCCAGTCACAACTTGAGAGAACAGGTTCATCATATAGTTTCATAGCTAACCACACCAGCTGTTTTCCACATAAATATAAATATTAACTATTTCCCGAGATGACATTTACTTTGAAATCTCAAATACATACTGTATGTAACACATTGCATTTATTTTGCATGAGAACCTTATGAAAGTAGATGTTTAAGAACCAAATTGGTATTCAGGAAACTGCCTTGTAGCTGTCAGAACAAAGTTAACACCAAACTAATATTCAAAGACATTTGCTCTTGATTGAAATGTTAGAAAAGACTGGAGAGATTATAGCTCATTTGAATTCAAAGCAATGATATCATGAGTGCAGAGAATTCACATTAGAGCCGACTGACCCATCTAGTGTGTCCTCCTTAAACCTCTGGCGTCTATAAAACTCAGATTGTTTTATTTAAGTAATTGTTCAAGACCTAGACAGGTCAACTGATCTCTCAAAAAAAGCAAAGATTAAAGATAAAAATTCTTATTTATATAAGTAACCATTGTTGTTTTTCCTTTTTCCTTTCTTATCAATCATCTCATGAATTTCTCAGTTTTATTTTGGCAGTGGCTCAACCCCCAGATTGGGAATTACTGGTCTAGATGAATGCTCTCTACAACATAGAGGTCAATACCCCAACCCCCATATAGCGGTGAATCAGAGGTAGACCTTTAATGAGGCACAGGTTAAAAAGTTTGGTATTCACACTGGTCTAAATGACTAGGTGTGACACTGGAAACCACCAAACATCTGCAATGATGATGATGTGCAACCGATCCAGGGTGTTAACTGCCGTTGTGGTTTGGCGATTAGAGAAACCACAACTTGTTTTGTAATATAAACACATTCACCAGCTCTAATCAGTGGTCTCCACCACCGATGATCCCTCAATAAAATATCACAGAGATTGGGGAATAATGTTTTAATTTGAAGAAAAATGCCATGTCTGTGTATGAAGGCATCACCATACCCAAAGGGATCAATATCATGTCCACAACCTGATCTGATTTCATTATACTGCAGGCATCACAGAGCATTGTGCTGGGATTAACTCTCAAGACTTAAGCTTGGTTGTTTATTTAGCTGAACTGTACAGGGAGGAAAGTCAGTCCTCTTGGATGCAAGTTTACAAGTTATATGTCCATGTATTTGTACGCCTGCTTTTCTCTGTGACATCTTTGACCACCGTCTTCCCACACAACAGCCAAACAGATTTTCTCTTAAACAAGAAAACGACAACGATAAACAACTGCGATGTTGTTTGTCTTCTTTTTATTATTGGAAGGATTAACTCTCACCTAACATGACATTTTATGATGCCTGTTTACTGCCTGACTGAATTACTTTTTTCAAATAATAAAACAATCTGTATCTCTTTAAAAAAAAAAAAAAAAATCAATCTCGACGTGTTGTTGTCTCCAAAGTGCTGAGCTTGCAAGTCGAGGTGTCAATGAGACAAGTAAGAGTTGTTGTTTTTTTTAAATCATTGTGAAACCAGTTTTGGCCACTGCTCTTCCCACTGACTGTGGGTTCAGGGCAGAAATTCAAATGGGAGCAGCAGAGGTACTTTCCCTGTTACCATTCTGGCCTACTGAAGATGACACATAAAATACCAGCAAATGAAAGAGTGGGGATTTGTCTGACTGGTGTTTATCATTCTGTGTATCTGCAGACAACATGAAACAACTCAAATATAAAATGACCATGAACCGCTGCCACTAATTTCTGATTAATTGTCATTACCCGTTAAAACAATAGTTCATCATTTCTAGAAATATACTTATTCACTTTCTTGCCAAGACTCAGAGGAGAAGATTGATACAGATATAATCTCTCTCCGTTGAACAAGCTATAGCCAGGAGACGGTTAACATTAGCACAGCAGCTAGCATTGCTCTGTCTAAAGTGTGAGATACTATACGTCAGCGGCAGTCCCACCACAGTGAAACTAACACCCATGAATCCCCCCACTTAAGGAAATAAATAATGTGTGAGCGTTAAATGGGTGGAAGTGTGAAAGTGAGTTGTGTCTGACATTTCTCTTTTTTGCTTTGCTAGATTCGCCCACTGGGTGCTCTGGTGGTCTTTGCGCAGCTACTGGGATTACAACTGTAAAAGGTTAAAGAGCCTACACTATTACACCCCTACAGAACCTGTAGGTTTGTTGTGACGTCTTCTACCTGAAGCAACAGCTGAATGTTTTCCTTTTTAGGGTTAGTTAGTCTAGCAAAGCTGCCTCTCTAGAGATCAAAGACAGCAGATTTCCAAAGGAGGTTTTGTATTGATTTTTCATAAACATGAATGAGCACTGTGGCTCTAAATGTAGCTTTAAACTTTTCACCTCTGGTTGGAATTAAATTCTGATAGAGAAATACAGATATTTTTTTTTTATATATAAATTTATTTGTTGCCCTACTAAATTTAAATATAATGAGTGTAAAAAAATAAAAAATACTGGATGTAGCCAATAAAATACACACAACAGTGTTTTAATAGTAAAGTAAAATTCCCCTAAACTTCCAGAAAACACAACCTCAGTGTTACACTCAGCCACACCCTAGAATGAAATCTTCTTTAAAAGTACTGAAAGTTCATTCAAGTCAAGTTCAAGTTCTTCCCATATGTAGAATAATATTGCAAATGCATCAGAATTAAAGGATCAGCTATGATACTAAGCATTATTTTACAACATACCTTTTTTAGACTTGTGTGAACCTTGGCCTTAAGAAAATAGTTTTGTGGCTAAATGGCTAAAATTAGAACCACAAATCCTGATGTGTTTTCTCCACCTTAATGATTAGAGTGAATTTGACTGAATTTGAATGTAGAATGCAAGATCAGAAATTAGATAAAATGTACAGTATATTAGGAAACTGATTTTCCACAGCAAAGAAATGCTCTGAGGGGGTTTAACTTGACACTGCAATGTTTTGAGCTAAATGCTGTCAGCATGCTAACGTGCTCCCAACGACAGCGCTAACCTGCTAAAGTTGAGCAGGTGTAATTTTTGCCATGTTCACCATCTTAGTTTAGCTTTCTTTGCATTTATTCAGCATCTTAACATTTGATAATTAGCACTGAACACAAAGTACAGCAGGTATTTGGTCATAAACATAAGTACTGGACAAATAAAAGTTTGTACCAAAGCTAACTACCTCATAATTGGTATGATTAGTTATAATTGATGAAAATGCCGCTAAACATGTGGCAGACTCTTTAGCGTTAACCATAGTGTGCTGTAGTGGTTTCCAACTCAAAGGTTGTGGCTTGGCATGGGGTACCTATGAAGGGTCACAAGATTATTTTTTTATACATTTTATATTTTTTCATATATGTCTCTAGTGTTATTTTTTATGGATTTTCTGTAATTCTTGCTTCTTTGCTTGTTGAGATATAGGAGATTTTCACATCTTTAGATTTCTAAAAATCCCTCACATGACACAATCCGAGAGGGAAAATTACTGCTCAGGTTGGAGGACTTGTACTTGTGAGGAGTCACAAGCCAATAAGTTTGGAAACTACTTAAGTTCTATATGTATTCTACTCTGCTCTTATGTATAAAGTTTGTTACTGAATAAAGATGTAGGAATTTGTGTGCGTTGGTCTGTGATGTTGTTGTCGCTCTATCATTGTATAATATTGAGGTACTTGTACTATTAAAAGTGTTGAGGGTGTTAGAGGTTGTCTGTATAAAAGGCCCACAAGACGACCTCTTTATGAACTTGTCTAACATGCGATCACACTCAATCTGAAAAGGTAATGCTAAACTTTCTCATGGTACAGGGCTGAACATGATGACCGGTTAATCAGGACTTCTGGAGCTTATGATCTTAGATGGAAGACAGATCAGTATCAGCCTGTCAGTCTGATCCTCAGTCAGTGTGATTGTGGTTCAGGTTCATGAGTTTGAGTTTATGTTCAGGTTACCGTCTCAAAACTCCACTCTGTAAATCCCCCACAGGGACATCTGTGTTTGTGGCCTGAACAGAGCGGGCTGCGTGGCCTGCACATGGCAGGGGACAGGCTATCATGATACCGTTAAACACATGGTTGTTTCAGGATGTGGGGAAACAAGGTTTTGCTTTTTAAATGTGAAGTGCTGCTCTGTGACGACAACTGAGACGATTTGAGATTGTTTTCTTATGTGCTGCCATCTGTGGGCCGGAGGCTGCAGTGACGAGAAAGTGAAACTGGCTCGGAGCCATAAAGATTTTCATGTTTAAATGTTCCTTTGCATGTAAACAGAAAGTTGCTACAATATTTAATACAATATAATTATTTAATAAATAAGGCATTTGATGTGAGTAATACACAGGCTACAGTTTCTTTAAATCTTCAACTAATATGCAGTTTCATTGTTGCACTCTGCCTAAGCCCACAGTGACATCTTCAATTGAAAACCCAAAGATATTCAATTTACTGTCAAGAGAAAAAAAACACAGCAAATCATCACAAGAATGGTAGGGCTTTGGCTTGAAAAAATATTCAAATCATCAACTGATAAAAATATATATAAATATATATATATATATATATATTATATACCCTTATTATAGAAAAAAATATATATATATTTCATATTTAGTCAATATTAAACGTTAACTCTGCAGTTGAAAATCATATAATGAAATTATTCCAACTAAAGAATATTTAATTCGGTGTAGTGTATAGTACAGGTCATTTACCTCTGACAGTAAATATGTTGGTAATTAAACCAAGATGTAATGTTCCCAGAGGTTCTCAAACCTTAAGGCTTGTGAACCTTTAAAACAAAGCAAGGTTAATAGTGACCCTTGTCAATGGTGACATATTTTAATGAACTATGAGCACTGGAAGCAAAGATAGATTTGGCCTCAAAATATAAAACTATACAGTATTTCGCAAGAATGTACGGCAACTGAAATGTCTGGAAAAATTATGTAATTTTATGTAGCAGATATTTGTTTGCCTTTTTTGGGGTTTTTTAATCTTTCATCAATTGTGAATCATCTTTTGACACCTCATGTCTATTTTAACCCTCAGGTTTGGAACTGCTGCTCTAATGTTAGATTTTAAAAATAAGATAATATAACACGAATATGTGATGATTTTCATGAAATTTTTTGTTCCTTTTTTTTTTATGGTGCTGTGTGATTTGAGCTACCTACCAAACGCCCGAGAGAAAATGATGTATATTCACAAATCCTGCTGCTGCTTTAAAGCTGATGGGTAACTAGGTCTCCAGGTTAGAAGCAAACACTTGGACCTTTGATTACAACGGGACATACAAAAGGTGAAACAACCTTTAACTACATGGGGGAAATCGTCGCTGTCATTCTTTCATCTTGGGGGAAATTATCCTTATCTGAGTCTGTATGGCGCACGGTAGGCGTGACCTTTGACCTCTTTGACATTCCCAATGCTCAAAGTTTTAGATTCTACTGAAAAATCTGTATAATCTCAACATTTCCTCGCTCGCTCTCCCTTGTGTTTGCTACATTCATCTCTTCCCTTCATCCTTAATGTTGTTTGTGCTGATGGTTGCGTTGTGACTGGAAATTACATCCTGACTCTCATTAGGATCATAATTGGTTCAATTACCGGTTTCATTTTGCAAGTCAATCAATATAATCAATTTAAAATAATAATGTACACACCTGATAGGAGACCAGGGCATCCCCAAGGCCTTTCCAAAGACCAGTGATGGGGCAGAGCGTCGTCTCTGAGCCAAGTGTCTGAGGTGCTGTGAGAAAACAGAGAACTTGTGACAGTGAAACAAAATGCAACACATCTACATGTATCTATGTATCTTCTATTCATCCATCCATCTGTATTTATCTATTCATTTTTTAAAGTGATATCAGCGTGTGAGCTTTTCAAACACTTCACTCTTGTCAAACCACAAGCTGCTACCATACATACTATTTTCACACTTGCTTTCACTCATAATAGCTTTAAATGAATATCTCTGAGGTGTTTGACACTGTTCTCTGTGACTTTGTTAAGGTTAATGAAGGACAGGGAGAAACCAACGATTGCTGGACGTTGCTGGGGCAGCAGTCTGAAATTAAAAACTAAAAAGATGCTTGCACTGAACATTATCAAAACAAGATAGTATAGCACAGTGCACTTTGTGGTAAAGATACAAAAATAATTATTTATCAGAAACTATCAGGTATTTATGAAAGTGATTGTAGTTTCATTGCGCCCCACCCCCAACCACTTCAGCCCATCCATCCCCCCCATTAACAGCAGAGTTTGCCACTCTAGAATAATACACTTTCCTCCTTTGCACCTGTCTTCACCGGAGGGATTTGTCACTTGAACATAAACACGTTTCGGGGCGGTCACTGAAATGACTGATGGTGTTGTTTTTCTTTGGATTAAAGTGTTTTTAATTCATGTCACTCACGTGAAAGCTTAAACCATCATTTTTTTCAACAATATGCATTCTGCAAGCCTGAGATTCCCAACGTTTGGTGACCATCAGCACATTAAAGAAAAAAGAAACATTCAAAGGTCACATACAGCAACAGTTAAATTTCCAACCGTTTATATGATCTGTATATTATGAGACATAGGTCGTGGACACACTATATGTGATCAGACGGTGCGGGAATATGTGACTATTAAACAACTATTTCATGCCCCACTAAACTACATCAAGGCTTCATTCTCAGGCTTGTGCATCTATGGTTTTTGCCAGACCACAACAAGCAAAGCAGAAACTGTGGCAGGGCTTCCTTTAGGTAATGGAAAAATAATTGAGGAAACGAATACTACTTCTTTTACACACAGAATCATATTTTTGCTTTGTTGATTTGGTCCTCAGATCCTTGCAGCCCAGACTTTACACAACTCATTTTTCAAGCGCCAGAGTTCATTGATCTGAACTCAACTCAATGAAGAAAAGAGCAGTTCAGTGAAATGTGCATGTTTTCCTCTTCTATAACCATAGAGGAGTCAAACGTGTACTCTGTTGTTCGTCTCACTACTGGGTACAACAAAACAAGACGGATGTCAGTCAAAGAGGAAACCCACAACAGCAGAATAGATGCTTTGCTATAGGGGCAGATTCTACCGAGGACATACTGTATCTTACAGTGCTATCAGAGGCGTAACCATGCTCAAACCGCACATCTGTTTGGGTTATTTTTAAAGCAGTATTTAAAAAAAAAAAAGAGGGAACAGCAAATGCCTTAGTCTGAAGCAAATGATTTGTATTCCTGACCATGTGCACTGCAGCCAAATCTACACTGAAACGACTTCAGATAAGAAAGTCCATCTGTGAAATGACTCGAGATAACTGCTCGTCAACAGTCTCTATCAAATCAGACTGAGTTTAAAACACATACGAAGAAAAAATAGAAAATAATCAATCCCCCCTTCAAAGGACACATTTTCCCCTGAATTCCATAAAGATTCCTTCCAGATTTGTTTGAAGGCGAGAAAATACTCTAACAACATATTTTTGTCTTTCGCTTTGCCCAGAAGAAAAAAAAAAAGTTTGATGACCTTGTTGATGAATCTTAAAATTGCATCGGTTCCTTCTCCCTCGCTATATAAAAAAAATAATAATAATAATGTTAGCAAATGAATGCGTCAAAATATTTCTCAAATAATTCTCAGTATATGTGCACTAGAGGTTCCAAGTTTCCATGTCACGGTCGTGTAAATCACAAGGTTGGTGTCACAAGATCCTACCAACTACATACATGTGTTAGAGGTGAAAACAGAGAAAGTTTGTCCTTTGGCTGATGAAAGTGAAAACACTGTTCTGCAACTAAATCTGCACATTTATCATTCTGCACCGTGAGGGTCAAACATAAAGAAAACACATTTATGGGTCCTTCAACTAAAGGAAAGTGGCAATGTCAGAGAGAAACTTTTTGAGAAATAATCTATTCATTAGTTTCTTGAAAAAAATTCCATGAACTTAGTAAATGCAGCATCTTCAAAAGCAAAATGTTGCCTTCACATAGTTTTTTTTCTTCAAAAAAAAAAAAAAAAAAGACACAATGACAATCAGAGTTTTGATGAAACTTCAGTTGCCATCAGTGGTGGATGTATAATACTCACGACTAAAGATATAGAAGTTTTAGACATCTGGGCCGCAGCTCGCTTCATTTGCCAAAACAGATTGAGAAACTGTTTGCGTTCACTCTGCTGTATAGATAAATACATGCAACACTGCCACGGTGTGATGGATGAATCTCCCTGAAGCCGCTCGCCCATGACAATAACACAGGGAGTCCCTGAACGTAGAGCTGCTGTTGCTCACAAGTGCAGATATGATTGACAGCTGATTACATGTTGCCTAGCAACAACAAGGCCAACACACTGCAAAAAAAGAAAAAAAAAGCTTTAGTGTGATCTGGATCAATGCAGACCTTTGGTTCAAGCCATACATCAAATTGTAAATAAAAAATGGCTTAGGTCAAAATTTCAGAAGTAATCCTAAAATGATGAGAAGATCTGGCCAGAAAAAAAATGTCAGCACAGGTGAAGAAGGTAAATAAAATAAATGGAAAGTGGAATTTAAAGAATGGGAAGGAGTTTTCAAATATTTCATAATAACTTCTGATTATGTATCAAGAGTCAAAATTATGACCAGTAGAAGTGGAAGTTTAATAATGAATTACTGACATTTAAAGAAATAAAATGAAATGAAACAAAATTGTATAAGACTCAGAGCCTACAGACATGCTAGTGGCTTTGTGAGGCTGTACTTTACTCTACTGCTGAATGCTCACTTTAGCAAGGATACGTGCTCAGAATGGCAATGATGCAGATCTCAAGCAGGTTTCATTTTCACCGTGTTTACCATCATAGTTTTTGGTTAATGTTAGCTAATTAGCATTAAACTCAAAATATAGGTGACGTTGATGAGATTGTCATTAGTTTTGCAGCCAAACCAAAATATTGACCAATTAAAATTTGACCTGATGACGGCGCTAGAGGAAAAGTTAGGGGCTCACCAGCGTCATTAGGACTCATCCTCTGGGGACTGTGAATGTCTGTACAAAATTCAATGATAATCCATCCAATAGTTGTTTGAGACAACCTCGCTAGCACAGCTAAAACCTAACTTTCTTTTATCAATCCTTAATTTTTTTTTCACTTTCCCGGCAGGAACAATCTCACACACACACACACACACACACACACACACACACACACACACTGTTTTGTTCATTTGTGTGAAAGAAAACAAACAGATTTTCCATCTTGTTGTGGCTGCTCTTGTGCTCTAATTGCTGGACAAACTGAGAAATTGGGTTAAACAGAATTTAAGATGGAGGGAAAAACTGCAAAACAAAACAAACAAAGGCAGGAACACTTGACAAAGCATCTCTTTCTGGCCCTTTTGTCTCTGTAGCCGGAGCCAGGCTGGTGCACAAAATCCACTGACTCGTGACGGACCAGGAGGTGACCTATCTACAGCTCCTCTGAGTCCTGGGTACAGAAATATATGGGAGATATGAATCCTCCAGTACAATGTTGTTGTATGGGATGATTTGTCCTGTCATATAATTTTGTATCTTGAAAACGATCCATCAGGATTGACTAACATGAATGTAAGTTTCTGTTCAGCTTCAATATATCACTAAATGAGGTATAAGTTTCAGATTACCCACATTTTTCCAGTTTAGGTCACCAGAAACTGAAAAAATAATATTAAAATTTCATAGGAAACAGGCCTTTTTCAGTGATTAAGAAACTGGTTAACAGTTTTCAGTTTGAGGTAACGAGAAACACAAATCAATGGGGAAACAGACAACACTAAAAAAATCCCACGGATATTTCTGTGGCTGACAGTTGGCCGTTACACCGGACAGAAGACTTTATGATCCTACCTCAGGAGGTTTTGCGACAGTATAACCATTTTTTATGACTTATGCCTTTACTTTTGAGAGAGTTCAGTCATTATGTGCACAATCACAGGAGTTTGGTTGCCAGGGAAACAATTGAGCGGGCTGTTCTAGGTGTCGTTTTTTGATGAGGACAAACTAAAATGACCTACCAGTAAATGGAAGAGTGAAAAGAAAATTCATGGCAGATGAATTTCATATTTTCCCAATTTCTTCCACTGGTATTTTAAAGCATCTAATGGACTGGTTGTGTGGTCGCAGTGTACAAAAGCTTCGTGTCTGGATTGATGATCCTGGCTCTCTCTGGTTTGTATCCTTACATTACTCTACCATAAATACTCAGGGTTGACACTTCACCAGTTTCCTCACACCATATAGGCTGGAAAAGTGTTGCTCTTCTTGTTCTTGATGATTAATGTCCTTTTCTCCCCCGACTCATAAAACACAGCCCTTCAAATCTCTAATACACACAGAGCACCTAATGAAAGAGATGCAACAGTGTGCAGATGTACGTGTCAGATTCATGAGTCTGGAACAATTAAAAAGCAGCATCTCACACTGACTCACACTCAGCGGTCGCCACCAACAGGACCTTTTTCACCTTTTGCCTTTGGATGACGGATCAATACTCACAGGACGCAGAGAAGCTGCAGCATCATCATAGCTTCCTCTCCTCATTGCTGCAATCCCATAATCTGGAGTGTCCATGCTGACGTCTCCAAGTGAGCCCTCAACCTCCTGCCGTCCTGTGCTGCAGTTTGTGTAGTCAGTTGGCAGGTTGTAGCTCCGCAGAGTAGAGGAGAAATGGTTTGCGTCTCAGTCTGAAGGCACTGCTGTGAATGAGCCGGGGAGCGGCCGCAGAATGACGCCTCCTGTCCTGCACAACAACTTCTTCAAAACTGGTGCTAATGAGGTTTTGAACAATGGAGGCCCAGCTGGCACACAAAAGAGGAGAGGGTTTTGTTTTTTTTTGTGCCTGACCTGGACCTGCAGTGCCACTCTGATCCGAGCCAGCCCCTCCTCCCAAAACCCTCCTCATCCACCCCTCACACCCGGGCCTGTCCCGTTACGCTCCAGTTGGGCTGCTTCCTGTCATAATGAGATCGACCTGCGTCCCATCAGGGCCTGCCGCCTCGTCCCCGTTTTCCAGGCTAACGAGGGTGAGATGCCGTGACAGCCAGTGCATGTGAAAAACGGGGTCTCGCAGATCGGCCCCATCCCCCTCATACGTACATGAATAGGTGCACACACACAAACATACCCAGATTTACCTCTAGAGTTGAGCTTGTAAGGCTACGTAGAGTTTAGCTAAGGCTAATTTTTTTGTGATGGAAACTGGTTAATAGTTAGAGTTACAGGTATAAACTTCAAGTGTTTCACCGACGACAACAAGCAAAGGAGCTCAAAGGAGAACATTTTTTCAGGGGTGAAATGTGTGAAATGTAATTCTCTCTGCCTAATTCAACAGTAGTGGTGACCTTTAAAGAGAGAAATTTCATAAAAAATTTTCATTACAGCGGGTGTGTCAGTGTGTGTGAATGTGTTTAATACTTGACAGTCTCTCTGTGCCTCTAGAACATTGGTGATTATTAGCGTCAAACGTCCTCATTGGTGAAGCAGAATATCATTGGACAGAGGCAGAGTGGCACCGCGAATGTAAAAGAGTAAATTGGCAAACTGAAATAAAAGAACGGCCCTGAATCTTTAACTCAGAGTGGCCAGTCACACTGAGGACATGGATGTTTAGGAAAGAGTATTAATTAGACACATAAATCATATGGATTTACATTCCTCATAGTCTAATTGAGGGGCGGTACGGTGTTGCAGTGGTTAGCACAGTCACCTCACAGCAAGAAGGTTCTGGGTTCGAACCCCTGGCCTGGGGCCTTCAGGTGCTCCAGCTTCCTCCCACAGTCCAAGCACATTAGGTTACCTGGCAACTCTAAAGTGCCCATAGGTGTGAATGTGTGTGCAAGTGGTTGTTTGTCTCTATATGTCAGCCCTGTGATAGACTGGCGACCTGTCCAGGGTGTACCCCGCCCTTGCCCAAAGTCAGCTGGGATTGGCTCCTGCCCCCACGCGACCCTACAAGGATAAGTGGTATAGAAAATGGATGGATGGATGGACAGTCAAATTGAGTGTTCACAACACTGGCATCAGGGACACCACAAAAGGGTAACAAGATAAATTATAGCAGTCTTGAGACAATTAATAACATGAGAGACATGTAGAAATCAAAATTAAAAATCAAAATTCTCTTTTGTTATTGTTATTTTTTATTTGTTCTAATCTTTGCTGTTTTTTCGTGTGAATTCTTCCTCTAAAATCATTTTAAAAAGCACAAAAAAAGATTTAAAACACAAAAATATGAGAAGGGAAACACATTCCTTGGTTGAGCACAACATAGACGCATGTAAGTTGTGTTAGGGCACTCAAGTAAAAGTTGGAATTTAATATAATTTAAAAAGATCTAATTTACTTAAATGATGTAAGATACAGTAAATGAGGAAAATGTATGCAATGTATACATTATTGTACCAGTCATCACCAAAAAACACAAAAGCAACTTCTCCTGTCCATAAACAATTTGAAAAAAGAACAGAAAAAGGAAGGAATAACCTTCAGTCTCTCCCTCATAGATCTGAGGTCCTTCTTCACACATTTTGTATTTTATTACTCTAGTGATTCAGCTGTGGGGATGAATTTCACACATAAATAAGAGTGCAAATTATTATGACAACCGGGGGTGGGGGCAGTGCAGGCAGGCGCATGCTTCAGTGAACTAAAGTGTTACAAACCTTACAGTATCTCACTTGCTTCTAAACTCTATATCGATTATAATATATAATATGATAATGATAAACTCCAATATCAAAATGTAACACTAACTCTTTTGTCTCACTGCTCATGACGGCACCAGTGTTTGCTGAAATTAGAGACATTTTATATTGGTAATGAAATTTCAAGCAAACATTGGAAATGAAAGGGTGCACTATCAGCTAGTTAACATGACTTACCCAAACTGTACCTTAAGGCAAAACTTAGAAACTAGGTAATATTAGTTAGTTAATCTGTATCTTAAGGCAAAACCTAGAAACTAGCTAACATTAGTTAGCTTAACTGCTAGGCCCTCGACCTTACGTCCTTACTCCGCGACCGTTTGAGCTGCAGACTTGCCGTTTTTTTCTGCTTAAACTAGACAGTCGGCGCTTTCTAACAAGCCCCCGGTCGTCCCGTGAGTCGATACACTAACATAAAAGGTATGAAATATTTGGAGTAGTTTTACCGTTTTTCTGGCACATTACTGCTTCGTCTGTTTATTGATCAATTCTCATCCGCATTCTTTGCCAGTGACGTCTAGTCACGTCACTCAATTCTACATTCCTATTGGCTCCAGTGGGTGCTGTCACAGCCAATGAGAGTGTCTGATTCAGAGGCTTGGTCTGCATTGGCTGTATTGTATACCCAGACTAAGGGCTCAATCCTACACCCGGCGCAAAGCAACGCAAAGCGCAACGCAAGTGCATTTGCTAGTTTCAGACTGACACAGTTGTCATTTTTCCATTCAGCACCCATGTGGACAGTGGAAGGTGATTGCAACGTATACGGGCGCACAGAGCGCAAACATCTGATCTGAAAATGCTCCTAGATGTTTGGATAAGTCAGGTGGCACATTACATTACAGCCTCAGAAGGTCAGAGCTTCTTTGTGATGTGTGTTGTATAATGTCATGTAGCCTATGTCTCCTGCACGAGGCTCTGCAGAGAAGCCTCTTTCTTACTACCTGGTAAATCCACCACAGTGTTTCTCATCCATCACCTGAATTTGTCCACCACAGTTTCATAACGAACCGAAAATTTGTTCACACTTTTCATCATACTACAAAACATTTCTGACGTTGTGATTTGTGCTGTTAAGACCCAGCAGTTTGTTTTTCCCTATTTCTTTACATTTTGAAGCTTTGGTCACATTAATCTAAAATTAAAACTAAAAGTTCCTATTTCTTGATTGCTTTTGAATTATGCTATTGACCTGATGATCAAGTCGACCAATCAATCAACAGAAAACCAAAAACCAATTTGCAAATATTTTGATAGCTGCAGTCTAATACAACATTCCTGCAATAAATTCTACCTTCATGAAGGTTATAACGTTCAGTTTGTGTTGAAACTGATTCAGAGAGGTGTTGATTCAACTTTTTGGAGGCTGCAGTTTGTGGTGTTATTGAACTGTACTGTTGAACTGACATTTCTATTCTTAATGAACTAAACATTTTATTTGAACCATTTTTATTCTGTAATTCCAATTTTCAAATTAACTTAATGACATCTCAAAATTAAAAATACTCCTAGAAGAAGGAGAGAATGCGTATCTCCAAGTGTGAGAGAGCACGCAATTTATCTCACGGATTTTAGAACATTCAACAGATTCTCTTTCTTTTCATACTTAAAGTGATAGTTCGGGTTAATTGACGAGAGGTTGTATGAGGTACTTATCCATATTAAGTGTATCTGCAGGTTAATGTGCTGCCAGTTTGGAGAAGCAGGCAGTCACTACACTAAAGTTAAAACTAAAAACTAAACATATAGCGACAAAGTTGCCAAGTTTGCATTGATGAATTTGCTTCCTTTTGTGATCACACTGGTTATTTATCAGCATCATAACATTTGTGTGAAATAACTCAAGTAATCTTGCTGGCACAAAAAACATGCCAACTGCTAGCCGCTACCCTCAGCTACCATGATAATCATTCCCACGACATGTGAAAGAACTCGAATGTTTCTACAGTAGGTTGCAGATAAACTACTCACATTTATGTCTGTGGGAAATTCAGGGTCTCCATTTCACCTGACCTGCAACTATTTGGACTAAAACATGCAAACTCCAGTAATAACTTGTCAGCAGGGGAACATAGAAACAAACAAACAGCACTTTTGCCCTTTTGTTAACAGTGTTTTGAGTTGGCCCGGGTCCTGGAGAAGTCTATTTAGCCCGGTTTAGAAAAGTTAATGGTTTCCATCTAGTTTTCAAAAGCTCAGCATGGAGCCAATTCAGAGCAGGTTTGATCTTGGCTGTCTCTTGCAGTGGCAGTGATGGGCTACACTTACTCCACAGATGTATTCAATCACTGTCACTCCTACAATTGATGTCATTTCCTGCATGCTTTCTTCAATAGATGTACCTTCGAGGCAGGTTTCCATTTTAGGGGGCCGGCATGTGTATTTTGATTTTGCAGTGAAAGTAATTCAGCTTCCACAGACTGAAGTGTCTCTCTGTAAAACTTTTCCCATTCCCAGAAGTCGCTTTTTCCTTCCAAAGTAAAACATTTAAGCACACTAACCTGAGGACAGCACTGCCTCTGATCGCTTATTAACATTCTTACCGTGTTTCTAAAACCATTTGTAACTTTGTTGAGTCTATGTCACCGCAGTAAATTCTTGATGGAGGCCGGTGGCGAGTTCATCCAGGGATTTGGACGACGGAGGAAACACTGCGTTGCTGTGTGGCTTCGCTCATCAATGCACCCTATTGTCAAGAGGTTACATAATCAGTAGCACATACACAAACCCCGGATGAACATCCCACTGCTCAAGACCTTTAACCAGAACAGACTGACATCGTATCTGTAACCAGGACTTTGATCTGGCGCGTTTGGTTTCTCAATTGATCCCTGTAGTTTTGTCTGCATAGATGTGCATGTAACTGCCTCATTCATGGATGGTTTGTGGATACTCTGGAGGTCTGCTCACATTAGACAAAGCCCCCGGGAGAAGCCCCTTGATAAACAGACCCACAAATTAATCAGGAATTTCCCTCTCTGCAGTTTTAAAATTGGCTGCTGACAGTGATCACGTTGCATCATCCAACATTAACATATCATCACCTTATTAAGTTGTTGTGGTGAAGCTGTTAGCAAACAATTGCTTATTTCCACATCCAGCAGATAAAGAGTGACACAGACATTCATCTAAAGCTGTGTTTCTGTCCACCTGGTCAATGTAAGTCCAGTATTGACTCTCTTTTTAGCTCTGATTTTGGCCACTACCAACTCCTGAGGGGAATATCTGGCTCTTTAGCTGCTAAATTTTCCACTATATCCACCACCTAGTCTCTAACTGTGTCTGCAAGCTGAAAACATAATCATAAAAGTATTGACCATAGCAGCAAACCAACAACTTTCATCAAGCGTACAGGAGGGTTCGCTCCTAACTAGCTAGCTAATAGAGTACAAGGAGCTGTTTAAATTGTGACAGCGGCAGACAAATTAACCGGTCTGCCATTAACATGCATGAAGCAGTTAAATCGCTCAGGCTGAGGGTTAAGAAATGAGATGAAGCAGATTCTGCTCTGTGAGGGAATTTTATTTCCTTCCATTTATGCAGCTGTTGAATCACCAGAGAATTAGACCATGAACTGAATAGAAATTTGAGCATTTTGAGCTGTGAAATATTAACAATCACAAGATTTCTTGGTTTCAAACAGTTAAAATGGATTTGATATCATACTGCAGTTTTTTTTTTTTTAAATCATTTAGTTTAAATGTCACAAAAGACATCAGACTGTTAGAAAAATAAACCTTTAGGAAAGCTTTAGAACACAAGGGAGATGAAAAATGACTACAAAGGATATATTCGCAGCTCAGTCAAATATCTGATTCCTAAAAACAGACAGACAAACACAGTCAGCACATGTGCATCAGTAGTTTTCAAATAAATACTTCAAATGTTGGATAATTCATGAATTTGGAGTGAAACAAGCATCACAGATTTGACTTTTTTAGCTGGTAAAATTCAGAAAATTCATGAAAAGAAACGCATCATTGGTATGAAGAAACATTCAAATATCATGAAAATGTAGATAAATTCGTTAAGAATAAAATCAAAACTTTAGACAGAATATTATATATCCACGTTTGCTAATTCAGTATACTGTCATTAGTACAAGTAGGCGCTGAACGACAGAAACACAGTGTACAAAATATTACAAATACAATACAAATGTGGAGTTCAAACAGTTCACACTCAGGCACGTAAACACACACACACTGAACCGGTGTAATTGCAGAGGAGTAGATGGCATTGTAGCTTTCAGATGGATTTGTTTAAAGAGCGGATTACAGAGAAGACAGCAGATGATTGTGTTCAGTTACATTGAACGACAGTCTATGGCTGATATGATAAATCCATATTTGTTTGGGTTTCAGGCATTTCTCTATTATTAAGAGCCAACATCAGACATGTCGAAGCTTTATCCCAGAGACAGCGTTTCCCTGTTGTAATTATGGCTTGGATGTTGATGTTAGGACCACAACAACAGTTCTCTAATCATAATCAGTTAATCTCCTTTTTATTTTGTCAATTAATCATCTTGTCTGTAAAATGTCAGAAAATAGTGAAAATAATCCAGTCCAAACCAGCGCAATCCAGCATGCTGAATACCAGAGCCCTGCAACTACAATACGTCACCTAACTGGAATAAATCCATTATTGACGGCGTTTGAAGAACAAAAATATCAACTTAGAGAAATGTTGACATAATCTTTCTGTGGCTCCTCTAATTTGCAGTGCAAGTAGACAGAGGAAGAAGTCTGCATAATACAAACGGATGACGCAGATCTTACTTGCATGTAAATAGCGAATCTACTCAGCCCTGTTTTCATGTCAGACCTGTGCAAAAGGATGCACAGTTGTATACGTTTGCATGTATAACACTAATAATAACACCGAGTTTATGACTTGTATGTTTATGAACTGAATCAGTTTTGTGGTCTAAATAGGCGTTAGGACAACTAAGGAGACACTTTACTATGCAGCTGCTATTTGTTACATATGGAGAGTAACAAGATCAATGGAGTTAGCTGCTCAATCATCCAGTCATGATTTCTGAGTCTTCAATGACAAGTACAGGACCAGACTGTTTGGTGGCTGTCCATAGTTTACTTTACATCACAGTTCCCTGTCCCTGTATAAACATTATATTAGACTGGGGTGTAAGAAAATATCCAGACACTTGAATATTATGTTTGGTGACATTGTATCGATTCTCAAAAACACTGTATTGATTTATAATTAATAGTTGATGTGCAAAGATTCGATTCAGGGTTACCAAACGTTTCCACCTGAATCCAAAGGAGCACAAGGTCAGGCTCTGGCAGCGAACAGAGCTGAAGTGTGGGCTCATTTCGGCTTCCACAATAAAGAAGGCACTAAGGAGATCGACAAGAGCCATGCATCGTTTGCAAAACGTGCCATGGCAAAATCAAATACTCAGGTAACACAATAAATCTGAGAGCACACTTATCAAGACATCACTCTGAACTGCTGACGGAACAACAAATGTTAAACAAGCGGATCCCTCTCAACACTGTCTATGTAGCACTGTCTGTTTAATTTATTTATTTTATTCATGTAATTGTTCACCTAAAGAATCCTACAAGCATTTTTATTACTTTGACTTATTATTGTTTTTTTGTTTTTTTATTCCTTTATTGGATGGTGCCAGTGAACAGGAAAGGCAGGGAGAGAGAAAGGGAATGACACACAGCAAATGGTCCAACCGGCCAGGCGGGAGTTGCCCTATGGACTTGCTACTCAGGGCATTTGCACTCATGTGCTATACGCCCCAACCACTCAGCTATCAGGTCGGCCCACCCAGATTTAATGCATATAGTGGTGTGTTCTTTATACTATACGTTTTCTTAAAATTAGATTAAACAAAAAAACGCCTTGCTTACAATATCACAATATATTGAATCGTAACCCCTGTGTCGTGATATGTTTCGTATCACCAGGTTCTTGCTAATACACAGCCCTATAATAGACAGAGTTCATATAGAGACCGGTAGGGAGTCTTTGGCAGGTTTATTGTGTATGATGGTGGGAGCGTTCTTCGATGTGGAGCCCCAGCAGGCGTACACAGGCCTGCCATGGACACGGTTGCCGCTAGTGTGTGTTACTTTGCCTTTGCTCTTGCTCCTACTCTGAGTTCTGTCCTGAGACAAACCAAAGGTCTTCTTTTTAACGCAGCCTCTTTCCTGGAGTTGAATGTGGATAGGGTACGGGCCTTGATGGCCCACAGTGACGTGGTCGCCTACTCGGTTTCCCCCCAGCTTGGGGCAGAATGAGAGGAGCAGGCAGCGCAGCTCCCGCTGGAAAGTCTTATTGAAGTAGAAGTAGATGAAAGGGTTGTAGATGTGGGAGCTTTTGGCGAAGAGGGCGGGGAAAACAAAGCCCTCAGGAGCCATATACCAGTGCTCCTTGTGGAAAATGAAGAGGAAGGACACAACAGCATACGGGGCCCAAGCAATCACAAAGCCCAGGCTGATGCAGAAAAACATCTGGAAGAGGAAGTAACAGATGACAGACAGTTACTTGCAACACTGGAAACACTGAAAAACACTTAATGAATCATTTCTTATGATGTGTAGCTACTAATACACAGGAGTGTAGTCACATAAAGCATGTTTCCTGGGAGACTACAGAAAAACAAAAGCAATGGTCATGTGGCCAATGTTCTGCTGATAAGTAGGACTAATCTCTTTACAGTCATGTGAATATCAGATGTTCAAATTATTCAAAATGACATTTATTTCCAGTAGTGAAACAGGAAGTATTGTGATGATGTATACCTTTGTCACCACAGCCATGGGTGTGTTTGTTATAACCCATCCTATTGATAAGAACTACTCTTGGGTTGCCACATTGTGGAAGACATTTTCAAACTGCGAGGTGTCGTTGCCTGAAAGGTTTTTTAGTACCTTGATTGGAAGCAGACAAGGTACTCGAAAACCCACAGACATGATACACATTTTTCAGATTCAGTGTGACTTACATTTTTCGCAGGATATCCTTCCCTTCTATGTCCATCCCTGGAGACAATCCATAAATAAATCTACTTAGAAATCATAGACAAAAGATTCTCCTCACAACTCCAGAACCTGCCTGAGAATGATTGTTATTATTAGAGTTGGAAGAGGGTCCCTCATATCTCCGTCTGATAAACAAGCTGTGTGTGATTCTTGAGTGCTTTGTGTGAATGAAAGCAACCAAATGCATGTACAAACACACTGACTGGTTGATAGAGAATGAAAATAATAGGAATCTCATGCTACGGCCTTCCCAGTAACCACATCTCAAGACAATTGAGCATCTGTGAGCGTGTCCCATCAGACAGCACTCTCCACCACCATCATCATGCTTATTTGCTTATCAAGACTTTTGACTTGACGTTGACGTGCCCTAAAGGCTTTGGAACTTGGATTAGAAATGCACTGACTCCAGAGCTGTTTTTTTAAGTATTAGAGGAAAGTCAAGTCTTGTCAAAGCAAAAACTCCTTTTTGTTCAGGTCTCAAATCAAGTCAAGTCTATAGGGACTCGTGTCTTACAAAGTCAGGTTTTAGTGCAGTCAAATCCAAGTCAAGTCTTTTTGTAACTCTAGATACCTACTGTAACAGTCTACAGGTTAAAACTAGATATGATTAAGCTTTCAAGTCTCAAATCAAGAGTAAGAGTCAATTCATAATAAATGAAGTTTTAGTGCAGTCAGGTCAAAGCTGATTCTCATGTCTTCATTTTTGTGGCATAAATCTAGAAGTCTTATGTCTGAGGTTCAGTCTCAGGTTACAGGTTCTGTATCATATACAACGATACACATAACTGACTTTCTTCCCACCACCTCGCTCACCACGGAGAGCCGTTTCTCAGCATGCCGCAGGTTGTTGCGGATGCCTCTGGCAGACAGCGAGTAGGAGAAGCGGGACACCTTGTAGAGGATCCGACACTGGGACACCACGATGAAGAGGACAGGAACCAGTGTGAAGCAGGCAAAGGAGCAGATCACGTAGAAAGCGTCCTTCGTTGAAGTATGATAACCCCTCCAGGCGATGGTGCAGGATAGCCCGTAAGGCTCAGGGACGTACTCGCCCCAGCCGAACAAAGGGAAGCTGGACCACACGGCAGCGACCAGCCAGATGACGCAGCACGCTATTCGGATGTTGGCTCCTTCCAGCCACACAGCTGCAGAGAGGAGCAGGAGTTGTTAGTGATTTTACAGCGTTAGTGTTGTTACAAAGTGTATACTCATATAATCCATGTTTCAGCTGCTTTGATGCTCAAAGGAATAGTTAAAATACACTTTAGATGAAGTTAGATGAAGAGACAACTCTGTCTGCCTGGAAAGGAAGGATAGGAAGCTACCGCTAGCCAGCGGCCAGTTAGCTTAGCTTGACACACAGACTGGAAATAGAGGGAAACAGCTAGCTAGAAATCTTGTTGTTGTAAGCTCCTGTGAAACCACAAATTGAATTTTTGTGCAGATTAAGATATAACGTATTAATTAGTGAGTTTTGAGTGAGTGGTGCTGTTGGGCAGGTTTGTACAGCGCCAGGCTAGCTGTTTCCCCCCGTTTCTATTTTTTTTATGCTAAGCTAACTAGCTTCTAAGTTGTATCTTCTCAGCTAACTCTTGGCAACAAAGAGAATAAGCATATTTTTCCTAAAATGTGAAACTTTTTCTTCTAAGAAGCTTGCTTTAATCCACATTATCTTTGTATCTCCTTTGTGGCTAAATTGAACAAGGGATTTTTTTTTTTTTTTACACATATCAGGTGCCCCTAATGGAGAAAATAATGGTATAATATGGTCACAGTATATAATGATGGTAGAAAACTAACCCCTGATGTTCTCCAGTTCTTAATAAAAGCTGACAAGTCATCAGTTCTGCACATCAGGCTCTATTTATCCTGAAAAACATCTTTAATGTGGCCATTTGTGCACATAAGAACAGACATGCTGGTCATACTGAAATGACAGCTTTCATTTGACATTTTCTCAATTTTTGTGCAAGCCATTTAAAAAAAAAATCACTGACACACAAAGCAGCAAAGTGCTATTATTTCTGACAGTTTGACAGAAGAAAAGGAGTAAAAATGATTCCATTGTGACAAAAAGTAAATGTAGTTTAACTTTTACCAATATCATAACTTCACATTGTGAAAACCTCTTTGGGTTGATTTAATACACTGCCTTCAATTTTGCTTTTAAGTTGCTTAAAAAAAAAAAAAAAAAAAACTTTTAACAGTACTTTTCTTTACTTCTGATCCTGTATTGTGCATGGGGGCTTTGTGAAAAGCTTTAGATAAGGATTATTTGATGTATTACTACCGATAAAGCTTTTTATCTGTCCTGTCCTTCTCCGTCTGTATCTCCTCAACTACAATCAAAGTCCTCAAATTGCCCCCAATCATCACCTGCCCTCACCGTAAACCAGGCTGTAGCAGGTCTTCAGGTAGCGCATGATGCTGATGGCGGTGATGGTGAACATGCCACACAGTCCAAAGATGTAGCAGCCAAGGCCGTAGTAAACACATGTGATGTCTTCCCCCAGCCAGGCGTGGTGGAAGGAGGACAGGATGGAGAGCGGGTAGAAACAGATGCAGCAGAGGAAGTCCACCACAGCCAGGTTGACACACAGCAGCTCCGAGCCCACCATCTTCTTCCTCCTGCGGTAACAGATCACCAGAACCAGCCCATTGCCCAGAACTGAGAGCAGAACTACAGAGAGGGAAAGAGGACAAGGGGGGGGGGCAATAATTATAACTGCATTTTCTTTTTGGCCACTTGGAGGCAGCACAACAGGCTGTAAACACAAAATTCACATATTATCAGCATATAAAGTTGATATGGCAAAACATGTTAGCAACCAACTGCTTATTTACAAATCTGGCAGATTTATCAAACAAGCAGTCATTTGGAGTCATGTTTCTGTTCACCTGTCCAATAGTTGCTCTTCTTTTAGCTCTGTTTGGGTTTCCTCCATTTCAGGAAAACAAGTTCACCACTACATTCACCATCTAGTGCTGAGCAGGTAGTATACAGTTGGTTTATTAGGCTTCTTTTTTGTTTTGTTTTGTTTTTTGCTGCCTGCTGCTACACTACAATACACACACACACACACACACACACACACACACACAGTTAATGTGTGTAAAAAATAGTCCTGCATTAAAGAAAAATCTGAACAGCCACTGTGAGATAGAATCTCCTGCTGAGAGGTTGTTTTTCTTCATCAATCAACACAATGTAACTTGACTGCATGGTGCTTTTATCAGGCAGTCTGACTGGAATGTAGAAAACTTTGATGTACTGTATATTAATTAATTTGATTGTAAGTGACTATAATAAATAAAACAACGGATCATGTAACTTTATTTAATGTGAAAGGTGTCGCTCTTCATGATGAACCTACAAAGAGTTTTCACCCAACTGCAGCTCACCTCAGCTTCATGGAGCATTTTAGCTTCTTTCAGCTCATTGTTTTGGTTTATCTGCATGTAACTACTGTTCTGGTTGGGACTTTAATTCATCAGGTGGACAGATACACAGCATGCATACAAATTAATAAGGTATTTATTTGCTAACAACCTCTCCATATCACCTTCAAAGTTGATATTATGTCAGTGTTTGCAGGTTTTTTGCTTCCACCAAAGTGGCGGTTGCAGGTTTATGAATTATTCCGTGAACGGATACACTTCTGTGTTAGCTGCTGTCACATCTGACACACTATCAGTCCGCTCGATGGATGACAACACAAGGAGTTTCATACTCTAAATGATACTGCAGCTTTTAGACTTGAAATTAAATAAAAGGTGTCTTCACACATCCAGCTTGAACCAATACATGTGCTCAGTGCTGATTGTTAGACAGAGCTGAAAAAATTAGTAAATCAATCAATGAGGCTATCCACAGAAAATTAGTTTTAAGAAAAAATTTGTTGAAGATTAAAGCCAATATTGTATTTGTTTCTTAATGTCCACTAATCCCTGGAAAAGGCCGAACCAACAATGTATCAGTCCATCTGTCAATACAATTCAGCTTCCGCAGCCTGACTGTGGCCATCTGTTTGTTCTCCCCCAAATGCGCTGCCCAAAACATTTTCGGACTTGATGCCCCCTGTGGTTAAAATAATGAACATTTGGTTAAAGTTATGGACCAATCACAGCTGTACTATGAAAAAAAAAAAAAGTTGTTATGTTGGCTGTTCGTTTGAAACAAGAAACACACAGCAATCTCTCATGACCCATCCATGCACATCAACCGCCTACCTGTGTGGACTCTAACAACAACACATGACCTCATCCTTTGTTTTTTACATCAGCCAGTGGAGGGCTGTCGCTCTTGTTTCTGCACATTTCTCACACAGAAGTGAACTGAGCATTTGTTACGGACTATTTTCAGATGTGGACTAATACACATTTGGTGCTCTAGTTAATAGTTAATAGTATAGTTTAAGTGCACAGTATACTATAGTTTAATAGTATACTATAGTTAATAGTTAATAGTATAGTTTATATACTTTAGTAATAAATTTAAAAAAAAACTGGATAACTGGCTTTTTCAGACGCCACATGTCTCATGGCAGAACTACACAGTTCAAATATTAACTGCATATTAAGACACATTAAACATGCAAGTGTCATTACTGCAAAACAAACACACTGTTTCTTAATTACTCCTGATTAGGTATGCTAAATAAAGAATAACACATGCATGTCAATGAGCAGGAACTGTGACATTTACAAAGTTAAGCTCCAAATGTGTCTGCTGTTTTCACATAAACCACCATTTTTACTTACATGCAATGTGTGTTTTTATTCACATCTCAAACAAAATGTACAAACATTTTCTGTTATCAACATAACAAATTTAATTTAATATCAGTGGCTCAGTCATTACAAACTCTAAACATTGTTCAACTTAATTTTATACTCAATGGAAATTCTAATGTTTTCAAACACACAACACAATGTGACTGGGCTGGGTTTTGGAAAAATGTGTATAATATGTAGAATATGAATTAAAGTGGTGACTTGGGTTTGGATAATCCACTGTCTAAACATCAGAGAGCTTCAAAGAAAGTGATACAGAAAATAAAAGGTATTGTTACAACCTTAAAACAAGAGAGATGCACATACCTACAGAGAGGATGGCCAGTCCCACACATATGTCAGCGGCAGGGGTCAGTTTGGAGGTGAACACAGAGATGGTCCGGTTGTCATCAGAGGAGTTCAGAGGCATTGGTTGTTGCTTTTATCTGATGTGTTGCGGGTAAAATCCAGACTTGTCTCACAAGACGAGATGTGTGTGTGTGTGTGTGTGTGTGTGTGTGTGTGCGCACCGGGTCCGGCTGACTTTCTTTTATGCAGGCTGATGTGTCACTATGGTAACCTAAAGCAACAGCTGATCAGATCAACTCTCAGTGGGAAAGCTGCTACAGCAGGTATGGAGCGTATGGAGTCCCAGAGGCGACAAATGTCACTGCAGCCGGACTGATGACTGGAAACAACATGGAATATAATTCATCTCCAAGCTCCTGTTGATTATTTGAATTTGTACCCGACACAGAGCCATTGTATATGTATATCAGTGACAGCTGTGCTTTTCCTACTGTGACAAGTCAAAATGTGTTTTGTGAAAAAGACCGATTATTTGTCTCCTGAAGTTTTAAATGAAGTGAACAAACCTTGGTTTAATATCTGCATAAATTGCTTTTAGTCATCTCCATTTTTACACAACCATAAAATCTTTGTGATCAGTCGTTCTCAAGCTTTGTCTGTCTTGCCCCCCTCATGCCTGTAGCCTGTAGTGTGAATTAATTATTGATTTTGTTATTTCTTTTTTTTAATCAAGTATCGTACACCTAAAGGAGTCCAGCCAACATGGGCTTATGAGACACAACATAAGTACTACTTAAATAAGTCACTGGGGCCATTTTGTTGTACTGCTACTCCACCTTCTTCTTCTTCTTCTTCTTCTTCTTCTTCTTCTTCTTCTTCTTCTTCTTCTTCTTCTTCCATCTGTGACTTATTTAATGTAAATTGCCCTTCAGGTCTTCATTTTCCTTCAAAGGAGCACAGAGATGTCTACAATGGCAGCGATACAGCCTTGAGTGTGTGAATACTACAGAGGGAGAAGATCTAAGTAGTACTTCTATCTGTACTTATTCCCTCATCAGTGAGTGGTGCAGATCTACACCAGTGCATAAATTACATTCTAATTATAAAGTAGGGCTATATTGGTAACATGTACTGCTAACATGCTGTTGAGTCTGTTTATATGAGCTCAACAATCCAGAGAAAGCCTGGCTGATGTGACATCACATGTTGCAAATCTCTGCACATATACAGTAGATCTCATGAGAGACGACTGGAGGCTTTTAGCGCTTTTATCTATCGGACTATGCTAACCTCCCCTGAGTGAACTGAGCATGATTTTTGCCATTTTCAGCCAGAAAAAAAAACAAAACAATAAACATCGACCTTTGGTCACAGACATGTAAAAAGCCCCACACCCTTCCTACATAGCAGCAAGACACACAGGCTGAAAAAGATGCAAAATAGTTTGTAAGTAGTTTTGTGTCATTTTGAGTTTGATTCATTCATTCGTGTCTCTTTGTGGTTGTTTTGTGTCAATGTGTTGTGACTTTGCATCTCTTTGTAGTCCTTTGTTAAACCCCTTATCATAACAAAAGTCTTTTCTTCATAGATGCATGTAGTTATTTCATGCAGTATAAATTTACATTCGGTGTCAGCTGTGCATGTGCCAGTCTAATTAAAACTACATGTGTCTCTGAGCAAATAATGAGTGAACACTTGTGATTCATTCCTGGGAAACAATGAGCTGTAATGAAGTGTTTTCATTACATGAGCTGTAATGATTGTTGTTGTTTCATTAAAGTTTGTCTAATCACTAGAATTCGTCTGCTCTGTTTTACTAACAGCTCTTGTCTAATCTTTCTTATGAGCACTGATTTCTGTTGTTCATGTGTGTGTCTTGTTTATATACATATGGTATATTTGTGCATTCAAGTGATTTGGTCACAGTCCAGACCTTTAGCCTAATGTTTGGTCTTTACTGCAGCCACCTTCAGCTCTGTCTTTGTTGTAGAGTGTCTCTTTTAGTCTCAGGCCGGCTGAGGATATTCCTCCTCCTCACCCCAAAAAGCTCTTCGGCTGCTTTGACCATGTATTCATAACGGTTGTCCGTCTGAAAGATGAAATGTCGTCATGTGAGTTTTGATGCATTTGTCTGAATCTGAGCACAGAATGCTGCTGTACCTGCATTCATCCTGTTGCTTCTGTCAGCAGTGAAATCATCAGTAAATGTCAGTGAGACAGTTTAAAACATTCCCAGGCCATGACAGAACCAGCACTGTGTTTGACAGATTGGGTCGTCAGCTGTTCGTCTGATTCTCCTACGTGTCGTCTCAAATCAGACATTTTCCCTTTTCGACTACAGTCGGTGTGTGAGTGTGTGAGTGTGTATAAAGCAGGCCAAAACATTGTAAAATTAATGTCTTGTGTTTCCATTTATGACCAAGAGCTGAAAGCTTCACCAAAACAGATTGAGCCACGCTGAATTTAAACACATATTTTCAGCTTCCTTTATAATAAATCTGACTATGACAACTGCAGTTAATGCAGGATTAGTGTGAAGACAACCCAGCTGGACCAGTCATTCTTTGGAATCAGTAGTAAACATATTAAAACTCCTTCAGTGGTTCTTACTCTATTTGTGTTCTTGCTGATTTATGACTGTTATTAAATTCAACTACAGTTAATGTTGAAAATACCACAAAGATTTGGTGAGATAACATTGTTGTGGGAAATGTTGCTGCTGCAGATTCTTCATGTACAAGACACAATGTTCTAATAATTCTGTCTGACTTCTTCCTGCCATGCACACACTTAAAGGTGCCGATTCTTCGGTCTGATAATCATCTGGTGTTTGGTTAGATAGCAGCCTGACATTTAAACCTCATCTGGAAGAACTGGTACAGGATCTGAACAAAGCATGTTTTTCTCTTCCGGACATGAAAACATTTTTTGTGCTATCGATCTTCATGTCTGTGCTTGACTATTAATCATCTCATGATGCCACAGGTTGATCTTTTGGCCTTTTGAGGGGACCCAACCCCTACATTGGTGCACCCCTGGAATAAACTAAGTAACTGTATATAAAGCAGTGAAAACCACATTCAAGCAGCTGCAGCAGTAACAAAAGGCTGCCTACAGACTGATTCAGTAATAGGCCTCATATTAGTATTTTTGTAATGCTGTATTGGTACTCACACTTAAAACAGTCTGAATGCTTCATCCAACACTGACTTTGCAGCATATAAATAGAATAAAGCTCAAAAGACATTAAAATGTGAAGTGTGGTTCCCATTGGATGAAATTAAACTTTTAATTTTCAACATTTTAGATGTGTATGTGTATGTATGTCATTGTTTCTTGTGCTTTGTGTGTGTTTTGCTGTTGTTGTTCCTCCTGCTGTACTCAAGTGCATCTTGCAAAAAGCAATCAATGAGACTACCTGATTAAATAAAGGTTACATACACACACACATATATATATATATATATATATATATATATGTGTATGTATTAACTATTTAAAGAAATACATTTGTTACATGAAGTGACCAACAATATAGCCAGGAGCTCCGTGCTGATGACAGGTAAAAGAAACAACCTTGCGCCACCTGTTGACCTCCATGATGTACTGCAGGTGAACACACACGTGGAGAAAAAATAATGATATAAAAAAAATTTAAAAAAACAGACTGATGTTATACTTTGAGTAGAAAGATAGAGAAGACTTTATTTGATGGTGAAACCTAAATAAGATCTGCGATTAGAAAACAGGTTCCCCACGCAGTGTGTTAACGTCACAGAGGCTGGAATGCTGTACTGACAGAAAGGCATCAGAAAAGACTGGACCTAAAATATGAACTTAAAAGTAAGAGAGCAAACACTCGGGTTCAGAGGGAACACCATTCAATTAAAAAAAAAAAAAAATTCTCAGGTCATCGCTATGATCCATGGCAGTCAGATTAAGTTAATGGACATATCTCTCCACTCCCAACACCAGAAAATGGAGAGTAAAAGTGAATGTGAGGTTATATAAAGTCTGGAGGGTGAACAGGCATTGATGGTAAACAATCTTGTGGTATATTCTGGTGTTAAGCATTGATTTTCATGATATCACTATATCATGGGTTTTTTGATGTCATAGATACACAAAATCCACCTCCTGTGTACTGTAAAAAATAAACAGGTAAGAGTAGTGGCAAGAGTGTCTTTTCTTTTGAGCTTGGAGAGAGAAACATTTATGTTCCTATAAGCACTGACTGCACTTTTCCTAGACCACAGAAACATTATACTGTACATAAAATCTTAAATTGAGTGGCATTTCCCTTTAAGTAGCCTCCAAACTAACATATACACATATATGCACTCATCAAATATACACTCAAGCACATCCTGCATCATAATCCATCTGCAAAGTGAAACATTCAAAAATATTTGCCTTGTCAATACTCTGGAAAAATATAGTACTTTAAGTCTCTTATGTTTTTATTTCATTTTTTTTTACATTTACAGATAGTTCAGTTGTTTTGGAAAATATTTGCTTTCTTGCTGAGAGTTAGACGAGATCTAATACCACTTTCAGGTCTGTAAGGTAAATATGAAGCCACAGCTGGCTAGCCTAGCTTAGTATAAAGACTGGGGGTGGGGGTGGGGGTGGGGGGCAGCTAACCTGGCTCTGTCCTAAAGTAACAAAAGTCTCCCTTCCAGCTCCTCCTTTAACACCCTATACACCATGTGTATGTGTGTCAACCTTCTCATCTCTCTCTCAGCAAGAAAGCAAACAAGTGTATTTCTCAAAATGTCAGACTTTTCCTTTAAGTCAAGAGAGGCTAAAAACCATTTCATTCTTTGAGATACTCTCAATACTTTAGTGTAAATAATCTCATAAATGCAGGTGTTGTGTTACAACTATTAGCTTCATGTTTTCACCCAGACAAAAAGTTTACCTACACCTGAAACACAAAAATAATCTCACAAATATGAATTTACCCTAATAATTGTGAACCAGTTTTACCTGCACAGTCTCAACTAGTGATTCATGGAGATATCAAACCATATGTGGGATTATCTTTCTTTACAATGCAATTTTTTTTTGGCCATGCATCTCTCGTTCATCTCTTTCATAAGAAATCTGTCTTCTAGCTTGTTCTGCTCCTGACGACAGCCCTTTTACTACACATTAATGGACACTAAATGCCTAATTATGCGTCTGGTCCCATCTGCCCCAAATACTCCCATAGTCTGCGGTTCCCTTCTTCCTTAAGGTTTTGCACCCAAGTGTTGGCAGCAACAAGGAAAAGCACATTAAAAAATAGACATCTTTAAATAGCTATTCAGCTCGTCTAAGTGCAGCACGATCGGAAACATTAAATTCAAGTCATAATCATTTTCTCCCCTCCCATGTATCATACAATGAATATAACAAATAAAATCATTTTCAGTTAACAAACTAAATGTGAAAGGATAAATCTTTGATCAGACAAAAAAAAACAATATACTGCTGCCACACTGTAACATCCAAAAATAGTCTTAAGTTGAAATATATAATTTTTTTTTTTTTTTTTTTTTTTTCTGCCAAAGAATTGCTGGCGTTCTAAGTCACTCTAAGTAGATGTAATATACTGCTGAGGTGTAATTTGTGTTTTTCCATCTCCGTTAATCCTCCCCTGACGGTCCTGAACACGGCGTCAAACCGTTACGGAATTAAAAAAAACAATGTCCGCTGTCATTTGGCACATGGGGTGCTCTCACTGGCTGCCACACTGACGTCAGGCTCTTTGTCGTCTGTGGTGACGGCAGCAGCAGAATCAATGCTCTTGTCCTGGTTGTCATTATTATTATTATTATTATTACTATTGTTGTTGTTGTTGTTGTTGTTCTGGACACTCAGGAGCCCGTGGCTGTTGTTCTGGACCAGAGTGGTGTCGCTGAGCCTCAACTCGTCCAGCTTCTTCCACAGCTCGTCCCTCTCCTGCTCCTTCTTCTTCTCCCTGTGGAGGACAACGTTTGAATACTTTTATTTGTTTGCATTAAAAAAAAAATAACCAGCGGAAACCAAAAAAATAATATGACTCTGCATTTTGACATGCTTTGAGTGAGCCATAATTAAGGGTACATAGTGTTTTTTCTAAACAACTTCCAGTAACTGCAGACTACATGTCTTCACAACAGGATATTGGACCTGACCTTAAACAGACCCATGGAAAACTGACCTAGACAGCTGATGCATCGCCAATTAAAAAGCAGCTGCGGTCAAAAAGAGCAGAAATATAACACTAATGTCCAAATAACAAATGTAAAGTCTCACAAACTAATTCCAAAAAAAAAGAAAAAAAAAAAAATATATATATATATATATTTTTATATATACACACACTTTGAATACATTTTTTTACATCTTTAAAGGTTTGATATGTTGTAAAATGGTGTAAAATGTTAGTTATAGTGTATAAATTAGGACATTACTAATCTCTGCTGCAGAACTGGCAGCGCTGTGATTGTTTTACACTCAATGCCAAAAGGGACAAGATTTTATATCACTGATTTTGTGTCTGTAACTCACCGTTGCCGGTCTGCTTTATAGGAGGAAGTCAACTCATCGAACAGTGTGCAGTTCATCTCCATCAACGTCTTCAGCACATTGTACACCAGAGCTACGATTGTCCTGCAACACAGCAGAGAGACGCTGCCATCAGTAACAGTAAGAAACATTACACATAGCAGTGGACATTTCTCAAACCTGTAAATGTAAATTTTTAAAATGTAATTCCTTTCACCTACACTGGGTTCATGTGGCAGCAGAAACCTTCAAACCTAACAAAAAACAAATGAGACTACAACCATCTGCATTACCAGATAGTGTTGCGTTTTAACTGAGAAATCTTTCTGTTGTAATTTGAGCGAAGTGACCCTTTAAATACACCTCACAAAACACAGGAATGAATTTCCAGGATGAAAACCTGTTCACTGTAACACTACAGTACATGTTCTATCTCTGTGCTTGTGCCGGGATAATTCTGAAAAACACAAAACAAAACAAAAACCCAGCCGTGACTATTTTTGCCAGCAGTCGTTAATTCAGCTGATGTTTCCGCATCAACATGCAGCATGTGTTCATACAACACATTAATTAATATGGACTCTCCATATACAGTAACTGAGGAGCCGTTATTGTCTGAGTAACACGGTAAATGTATGCAACTGATGCAATTACGTCCAAGAACTAGAAGCAGAAACGACGGACATATCATCATGGTGGCGTCTATACATCTGCGACATGTATGGGTAAACATAATCTCAAGAGCAGCATATGACTGCAGTGTTATACAAACACAGCAGGTTTCTGTGCATTGATGTTGACTCTTGACCTTTGGGAACGATGCATATACAATAATGGGAGCTGAGCAGGGCCACAAGCTAATGATTCACAGATGTGTTTGAGAGCTGCATCTTTAGTCAATGGACCTTTGAGCTCAGATTGTCTCCATCATACGACAGGTTTCCTTTTTACAGAAGAGGATGTGAGGTGGATGTGTGTTTCCTGCATGTGGATGATTGTGAAGTTAGTCGGCCGGCTTCAGAGTACATACGGATTCCAGTGCTCTTTGGAGATTCTGTACAGGCTACCGAACATGATGGGGAGGATCTTGTCGATGTTCTCCTCGATGAGGCTGAGGATGTACTCGTTGTTCCAGAAGTACAGCGCTCGCTCTGCTACCTGTGAGGACAGAGAGGGAGGGGTAAGGAGGACTGTAGTCAAACAGTGAGGCGGGGCTGAAGGAAGGACCGTGCTGGTTAATGACACGCTTCACTCATGAAAAAGCAACGTGGGACGTTTCAGACCTTATTGTTTAAATGTGATGGCAATTTCACCAGTCACATAAAAGTTATCGCAGCGGGAACAAAATAAAAATGAAATCACTGAAGCATGGTGAATGAGTCACTCGCAGTGCGGGACAAAAGCTCTAACACAGTAATTATTAGGTAGTTAGGTAATTAAGCCGCCAGTATACTCTGCAGGCTGGATGGTCGAACAAAGGAAACCCCCTCCCCTGACACATTTCTGAGGTCAGATTCGGAAGGGGCCGGACATTTTTGGAATTTTCCAAAACTGACGATCATAGACATTCACACCGATCTCTCTCATGCCTCTCATGTGAAACACTGAATGCAACACTATGGATGTCTTCCAGGAGAGACAGCCTGAAAATATTCTCGTTTATCAGCTTATCTGAATAACACTTCCCTGCTCTCTATCATCTTCTTTCACTCCGCCTCTGTGTCTGGTTGTAACTATAAACACTTCTGGTTTCCAGCGTGGTCTGACGTTATAAACTACCTTTGATCAAACATAAGCAGCCCTCTCGTTGAGATCTTTCATCTCCACGTTGTGTAAAATTGTCATTATCGTTAAATGTTTATATACTGGTTATGAATGCTAAATAGGGGAGCTAAAGTAAAATGTTACCAACGTGCGCAGGTAGGTGCATGTGGTCCTTGTCTGAAAAGGGCTATTTACAAAAGACGAAGGTCGTAGAATGATTGGTTGGTGTGTTTTTAGCCCTACCTGAAAGTGTGGATTGGCCACACATTTAGAGATCTGTTTGAACAACGGCTCCTGGATTTTCTTGAATTGCGTTGGCTCAATGACATCCAGAATCTCCTCAATTTCACCGAGGAACATCACCTAATTGGATTAAAAAAGGTGCAGAATATGAAGCAGAGCCTTAAAATCTGGTCGACACCTCTGGTAAGTGTGTGGTGTATTCACAGACGTGCAGTATACCTCTTTCTGGCTGCAGGTTTTAGGCCAAAACTTCAGCAGCCCGCGGATCACCTGCACAGATAAACATTTCTTGAGAATTTCTCTTTAATGTCAAAAAAAAAAAGAACAGTCTGTTTGAGTGCGTGGTTGCTAGCAGCCACAAAAATTTCCCTGCGGTGTAGACTAATTTAGTGCTTGAGGCTTTGTGCTTTGAGTGGGAGGAATGATAAAAATAAAAGAAATTTTTTTAAAAAAGTACCGGTTCAGTGAGCGTAGGATCCTTCTCCAGGAACTGGACCACACAGTAGGCCAGCTGAGTGACACAAAAAATAACAACATCAACCTGATAACACTACATTAGAATGATGACTGCCTTAGCTGTTAGATACACATCTGGGATGGAAACATACAGACCAGACCAGCTGAGAGTTGCCGTTTACACGGAGGTGGACGTGGGAAGGCATCATCAGACAAGATACAAAGAGTCTGCTGATGTTTATAGGTCAACGGATTTTCTATAGAATATTCAATATGATGATTTTTGACGTCATGTATCTGTCTAATTATTTTTGAACCGCTAAACTATAAAGGGGCTGTACTTCCCACACAGTTCCTTTCATACAGATGTAAAATGACTCAAATTAAAGCTGAGACTTTAATATAATATCCATTCATTTATTTAAATTTGAAAAAACAAAAAATGTGTGACTGTACAAATAGTCTGGTCCGTATGATCATCTTTTTAATTTCCACTGTGCTAAGTTGAAAATACATTGCAACATCATGATAATCAATGAAGTGCATTTTCATTTCAAAGCCACTAGACGGTGCTACAGTACTGAGATTACATCATGACAGTGTTCAATCCTGCTAAAAACAACTCCTAACAACAGCTGTTATAAATTATATCAAATCTTTTCTCTGTTTTGAAATAAACAAATCAAATGAAGATTAAAAAACAAACAAACAAACATGTTGTGATACAGGACATCCAGCCAAAATAATAGACATAAGAGAGTTTTTACTACCTGCGCATGGAAAAGGGCGAGTCCTTTAGCTGTGTGTAACGGGATGAGCACCTTCATCAGGAACTGCTTGTGCTCCGCCTTCAGAGGTAACGCAAACCCGTTGATGATACTGTAAACAGAGAAACAACAGAAACAATGTGAGATTACTGAAAGACAGCAGCACAACCTGAACACTGCAGGACCGGAGCAGAGCTGTGAATATTCAGCTCCTGAAGAAGGGAATTCAGTGCAATAACAGCTCCAACATGAGAGGAGGAGAGCGTTTCAGGACGTTCCGCACAAGCCCGTTTAAAACCTTAAACACAGGACCGAATAAAGACTTAATAAAGACCTGGATGATTAAATCTTTATCTAATTCATCTCAAATCTAACTTAAAAATTGAGAAAAACTTTTTGGAGAATGTGTGATTAAAATAAAACAAAATGTCAATGTTGCCAAATGCCACTGGAAGAAGTCAAAACAATTAATATTACCTCTTTGTGGATAAATGCACTCAATATTTTACAACCCAACATGTTTAGCCTCAAAAGATACGCTTGACATTTTATTCACACGAAAAAAATAATCAAGACTGGTCAGTGTTAAAAGCAAAAGGGTAATGTTGTGATGTTATGTTACATTAGGGCTGCAACTGATGACTATTATGATACGTTTATTTGATGGTTATTTTCTTAATTAATCAATTAATCGTACAGTCTATAAAAAACGGTTTTTATAATTTCCCAGAGCCCAAGGAATTACATTCAGATTATCCATCCAACAGTCCAAAACTCATTGATATTCAGTTCACAGTTTATAAATGACAAAGGAAAACATTCAATCCTCACACTGAAGAAGCTGAAGCTAGAGAAATGACTGGGCATTTTGGCTTGAAAAACTGAAACAATTTATTGATGATCAACATCTACGTGATGACCAACTTTATGTCACCATACGTCAATACTCACCTTCCCAGGATTTCCAGCAGCTCAGCCACGCCGTTGAAATGCTCCGTTTCATAGATGAACCTGCAACAGCAACAAACACATTGACGACAGAAATTATGAAACACATCACGACATAACGGCTCTAAAAACAGAGCACAATGATCAGAACAATTGATCCAGGCTGCTCCCAATACTGTGTTCTTTTTTTTATTTTTGTTTTTTTTTATAAATATCGTCACCCTGATTTGTGAGTTGCGTTTTATATATGAGATTTCACTGGTGTCCCAACACTCTTACACATGCAGACCACAAAACCACAAAAGTTTTACTTGTTCCAACAAGAAAAAAAATGTGACAGTCTGTCTGCATTTGAGCTGCCAAAAAAGTCGAGCCTCTAGGAAACTGGGATCACTTGAGACCAAAGGATTAAAATCTGTAAATTCTCTAACTGATAAGACGTCTCATTGAAATAGGTGACAAATGGTTAGGCGACTCGGAAAATGTAAACATACTCAGACTAAAAGACTGACTGTTGCTGATCTTATTTAACTTAATGACCCATACGTCATTCATCTCCTCTGTTTGGTAACCCATTTCCATGTGGCTGTGCACCCATGGTATGTACAGACAAAGCCTGACAACTGTGGCACTATTTTTATTCTCGGTGGCAGATGGTCAAAGTGGGTGCACCCGTTTTGCCACCTTGCCTGTTGGAAACGACATCAAGTGTCCCCTGTTTCAATCATCTAAAGCTCATTGTCACGCAGCAACGGGAGCCGTAAAGATTCAGCACGCTGCCTCCATCTGCACTTATATTTCTGCTCCCTGAATCTGTCTGAGCCTCGTAATGTGATGATGAATGTGATGATTTCTTAGATGGCTCAATGCAAAATGGAGTAAACTGAAAACCAGGACCAGAAACTCCAAACCAAACCTTAATAGAGTTGATGGAAGATATTTTTCTGCTGCATTCACTGTATGTTTCAGTGAAACAGAGCGTCTCCCCGAGACTGATCAGAAAGAGATTGAGAACTTTCTTTTAAAATCACAACTGGGGGACAAGGGGCCATTATTTTTGCGCAGGTCGAAAACCAAATGGGAACTGTGGAACCAAAGGAACTAAACTCAGGAACAAAAGTAGGAACCATGAAGTCTCCTGTTTGTTTCCAGCATCTGAAGTTCTGTGAAGATCAGGCAAACTAGACCAACAGCGGAGCAGGCCTAAAAAACGTAAACAATATTTACACACAAGAAAATATTAGGACAACATGATGTGTGTATTTAAGGTTGTACGTTTCAGATGTTTGAGTGGCGGTAATGACTGAAGGAAAAGGAGGACTGAAACCTCCCGAGTGTCCGACTCCACATTATAAAGGTTATTTATTTCTGCTTTTGAACATATGCTCCATGTAACAATCAGCAAATAAAGTGCTTTTCCTCTTGTTCAGGAAAGGAAAAGAAATACGTGGGAAAAGAAAGAAAAACCTTTCTGCTGAACTTTTTCAGAATCAATTCAAAATTTTACTCACCTCAAGAAAATATTGTTGATCTGCTTCCTGATGAAGGCTCGCAATCCCAGGAATTTTCCATAAATGCGATGCAGGATGGTTTTCAGGAAGTCCCTCTCCCTTGGGTCCTCACTATCAAACAGCTCCAGGAGCTGAGAGGACAGAGGAAAAGACAAACACAAACTCTCTCAGTCCTGATTCATTTGAAAGAAATTTTTAAAAAGTGAATAAAATCAAATACGATCAAATACTTTATCATGTGTCTTTACTGTATAGCTAAATGAACCAAGAATAAGGATGGGTTCTCTTTTGCATCTCACTCTGACACCACAGACATGAAAAAAGATGACGTATTCAAACATGTGATCAGTTTGTCGTCAACAACAAAAATGGCCGACCTCCTTAAACATTGTCAACAACAAAAAGTCAACAAAACAACTGCAAGATGCAATATTTGTGCCAGGGGACTCATGAGGAATTGGGGCAGGGACAAATCCTTTGTTTACACATCTACGTCCTGACACGTTAAAGTAAGAACTTGTGATATTTTTGATGACCTGGGAAAGACGAGAGCTCGATGAGGAGTAGATTCGCATATAACAAACCTTGCGGTTCAATGCTATTGTTCACCGCTGAAACATTTGACTTGATGGGATTGACATGTACACAGTTTCATCTTTAACCATTTCCTATGAAATACTTTAGTAACTACTGTAACGTATTGAGGGTTTGCCCAGGAAATGAATGGGCTGAGCTGCTAAGTGCTGGTTGGAGGTTGTGACTGATCTGTTCTGGTCTGTTTGCTTCTACTTTTCCCAACTTGTTAAAACTTAGAGGGACTTAACGTGACATCCTGCTATGATTAATTAATGCAAAGCCAGCGTACGTCGTGATCGATTAATCAATCACCTGCTGAGCTGAAGTCAGATTCTGACACACCTCATCTCTAGAGGATACTAGAGGATTTATTCAATGCTTCATATTTCATAAAAATGTAATAATTTCTTTTAGTTAGTGCAGGCCTCTTTAATTCATGCCGCGGGGGGGGGGGGTCCTTCATTATAAAAATCTGCGGGAAACCCTGAATACTGAATCACAGCTGGGCGATGGGATTACATATTGTGATATTGATTTTCTCTGGGCGGCTGTGGCTCAGGAGGTAGAGCGGGTCGTCCACTAATTAGAAGGTTGGTGTTTCGATCCCCGGCTCCTCCAGGCCGCATGTCCAAGTGTCCTTGGGCAAGAAACTGAACGCCACATTTGCCCCTGATGGCTGTTCCATCAGTGTATGAGTGTGATGTATGAATGTAAAGCGCTTTGAGTGGTCAGAAAAGCGCTGTATAAGAGCAAGTCCATTTACCATTTAGGCAAACAGTGAAGAGGACAAGACCACAAGGACCACACTAAGGAGGCCTTTTCTACTCATTTTAAACTGCAATGACTGATATTTCTGACCACTTGGGGGCAGCTACCTTAAGTTGTGAACATAGTTAACAAACAGTTGCTTATTTACACATCCAGCGTAGAGAGAAACATTATCGTTCATTTGGAGTTGTGTTTGTATGCACCTAATGATTGTTAAATCCAGTGTTCACTCTTTTTTGCTCTTCACCGCCTCCCGTCCTCTTCAGCTTTAAAAAGGCTCCACCAGCGAGTCTCTAACTGCATCTATCAGTCATTTGGTGCTGAGCAAGCGGCGCACACTGGGATTTTAAGATCATTTTTAGAGCCGCAGGTTCCTGCTGTGTCCGGAGATATGACACCACGAGAGCAGTGAGAGTGAACCCAGGCGGTGAAGTTGTTGGCTGGCCAGGTAAACAATGAGCTCAAACTCTCATAGTAAAAACAACGGAAAGATGGAGCAGACAACAGCTGTAAAATGTGAAATTTTCTTTTTTACATTTTCTGACATTTTATAGACTAAATTATTTATAAATGAATCAAGAAATGAATCTGCAGATTAATCAATATTGAAAGAAAGACAATAAACTTATTGACTCATGAAAGTGAAATGTAGAAGAAGGGAAGAAAACTGGAAAGTGTTTGTTAAAATATTCTTACACTTAAGTGTTTTGGTAAATTTGGTGAAGTTTGCATCCTTATAGAACTGAGAGCAGAGATGAGTTTTGACCGTTCAGGAGTTAATCAATGAGCAAAAAACGGGATATAAACACAAAGCTGCCCGAGTATAATTCAGAGATGCTGCTTGTGCCTGAGGTAATGTCAATATTCAATCACAACAAGTCACGCTAGGATTCGAGTTTTCTCCGGAGCCCGACATGCACATGTCCCTGAATAAGCCAGTGGTCATGGTACGACTTTTACCTTTTACCAGGCTACATATCCATCTGTATTTAAATATAAATGCAACTTACTTACAAAGGGTCCACAGACATATTGAGGGAAAAAATTAAAACAAAAATGAAGAAGAAAACAATTCTCCTTCATGGTTAAATAAACCTACTCCTGGAAATCATATGCAATCAAGTCAATCCCTTAATTTCATGCTCATGATAAAAGGATTATCCACTATGAGAACAATGAGGTCATTACTGAAATTAATTCAGTAATACCTTGATTAAAAGCCTATGTGCACCAAATTTGATTGAGATACAGACAGGGCAACAAGTGTGACCACGTGACAACAACAAGAAAGGCACATGTGCAGTTCATGACTATAGTCCTGACTGTAATGACTTTCAAGTGAAGCAGTTTTCTATTTACGTATAAAACCTCAGGCTCACACTGACACTGACTGGACAATGTCACACTAAAGCCTGAGGGTCATGTGCGCTGCACGAAGCCTGATGCTAAAACTGTGCTGAGACCTAAATACATTGGGAAACTGACCATAAAATGATTTGATTTTGTGATTACACGTCTTTGGTGGTTGGATGTGAGAATCAGTACAAGGATGTCAGACACTTACACCCTGCTCACACTTGGCTCATACAGTATGATCTCGACCGGACAGAGATACGTACAGGTGACAAAGTGACCTAATATACACCGACCGGAATCTGATCATTTCAACTCTGTCAAATAATGTCCATTACACAGAGACTAATGAAACTCTTCTTGCACTGTGCTGAATCAGTTATGGATTTAAATGCATCAAATATTTTAAAATAAACTATAAACTGAGAAGGAACAGATCCCTCATGTCAACACACAGATGCAGATACACTCCACAGCACTTTACCAGTGCTCCCTGACAGGAAAAAAAAAAAAAAAAAAAAAAAAAAAAAAAAAAAAACAGCCTAAAATACTCCCCGACCACGTGTCTGACCACATGTTCAGCTCTTAGCTCCACATATGGTTGTTTTCCCATGTTGAGGGCTGTTTTCTGCAGCAGGATCACCAGCACCAGAGCTAGTTTTAAAAGCTACATATTCAAGGCCCAAAAATATGCCAGTAACTAGTGAGTATGGCAGAAAACCGGTAATGAGCTTGGTCCTGAGGAGCTGCACTGCGAGTCACTCTAAAGGGATGTTACCAAACATATACCGTATATATTGGTTCTTGCTTCTTCAGTCACTGCTTCCTTGTGATCCCTTCCACATGCTAACAGCTACATGTAGCTTACTTATCGATTCACAGCATCTCCCAGCTAGAATTCAAAGAATGTGCTTGAAGTAGACACTGAGAACAGGTTTACAGCTTCACAGCTTCAGATGATTAGATCAAAGTTGACATCAAAACATCCATTACTAAAAAGAGTGGGCTGCGAGACAATGACACAATAACAGAGACGCATACTGTACGTGTACAGTACAAATATCAAACACCTTGTAATGAGTAAGGTCTCCACAGGGTTTGCCTTTGGGAAGTAGGTTGCTGAGGTGCAAAGAGCCAATAAGAATTGAAAAAAGTATGACAACAGATGCACAGAAGTAGAGGCTTGTAAAAACGTCCTTGAGAAAACGTCACAACCTCTACTTCCTCTTAGGATGCTTGTCCTTGCTCCCCTCAGTGCTTTAACCTCTGTGGTGTGTGCATCTCATGTCTATGCTGTGTGTATTACGGTGACTTAAGTTAACTTAACCACAGGGCTTCTTTCCCTTCCTTAACTGCCACCCAAACCTCCACCTTGTTCCCGTTGCTCCAACCACAGTTCGCCTCTCTCCCCCTGAAGAGTAAACAACGGGCGGCTATTTAAAGCTTCCCCACGACACACTAACATCATGGAAAGTCGGTCCAGGCACCTTGGATGTGGCCCAGCCAACATTCCAGACTCTGTGGTCCCTGTTAGCTGCTGCTGCTGCTGCTGCTTCTCCCTGCAGCTTCACACAAGAAGCGAAGCATTCCTGAGGTAGGTGGGTACTGAGCCAGGACAGATGTAGACGAGCTGCAGCGGATTAATGGTTTGACTCATTCAACAAAGCATAACGTAGGATGGTGAACTCCCAAAACACATCACAATGTATTTAATACATTCAGAAATTCAAATCCAAAAAGAGCTGTCAACAATTAAATGACTTTTAATGTGAATAGTTTCTTACCTTCCTATTAAAGTAAAACAAAACATCTTTGGGTTTTGAACTGCTTGTTGGACGATACACGGCATTTGAAGATATCACAACAGGAATCTGTTAACTTACACTTTTTACAATTTGTCAATGTCCTGTGGTAAATACTCTGGTGTCTGCGGCTGAGAGAAGCACTGTGTGCTGTGTAGTGCAGTTATTCCTCACACCTTGTTCACTGCGCCGGCGCACGACATGCCGCAGAAACAAAACATCATGTTGGTCGTGTGGAACTTTTACAAAGTGTGTGAGACTGATATAATATATGCCATCTGCAATGCACGCCAAAAATGATCAGTATTGGCTGTGGATCATTTATCATGATTTATTCATTGTTAAGTTTAGGAGGATAAAAAGCAGTGTGTCCTACTGTCCTCAAAATGGCAAAAGGAAAAATGGCTTCCGTTTCACTGCCACTGTTGTAGCATTACGTTTCTCTTCTTGCTAACAAGCAAGCATGTATTGATGCATGTGCTTTTATTCAATCGGCGACTGCTGTAATCCTAATGTGGTGTAATAAGAAAATGTTATTACCAGAAATCTATCTTAAAGTCTCTAACTGACACCTTTCTCTTATGCTGCCAGTGTAACTTTTTCAGGAGTTGGGTGTTCAGATCCCAACTTCCTCGATCGTTACAACGGAGCGCAACAGAATGAAATGTCTTCAAGAAGAGACAGAAATCTGTACAATTATCTTAATATAGCAAATATCCCCGACAGCTGTTTTCTCACCCCGGCTTCTGTTGTTCCAAACTTTGGAACAGCTGCAAGATTTTTTGATTCCTGTTCGTGAGTGTTTGTTTGTGTGTTGGCCGGTTCTCCAGGGAACGTGATGGGTGGTATACGTGATCATGTGGTTTTGAAGATGCTTGAAAACCCAATAAAAATGTATAAATAGAATGTGTTGCAATGATGCATGTTGTGTTTGGAAACCTGCTGATAGTTTGACACATTCATTATCATGAGTCAAAGTGTTTTCACTCACCTGCAGAACAAATTTCTGATCTATGTAGCGCTTTGCGATGCTGGGCTGGAAGTCTGGGTTTTCTAGGAAACGCAGGAGAAACTCGTAGACCAGCTGGGAAATAAAAGGAAAATTAAGAAAATAAATAGAGATACTCTGACACATAATGATGTAATGTAAATGTTAAAGAGCACAGACTTGTTTAAGGATCATATTCTTACTTGCATGTGAGGCCATGAAGCCTCTAGAGTGGGTTCATCCTCCTCTGGGTCAAAATCAGGGTTTTCACTTGGTGGAAGAGTCCGGAAAATGTTGGTGCAGATCTTGAAAAGGAAGGAAAGAGTCAGATTTATTATACAAACAGAGAGAAGGGGGTTAACATCCCAGGAGAGCATGGAAGGACCTACAGTCGGGAAAACAGATACCGACAGTTAATCACAGATGATCAACAAGTGATCCTTTACTTCAACACACAGAAACATGATGATAGGTAGAAAGCTGATCAAGTTTTATTGCTGACTTTTTTTTCCCCCGACCAGATGCTGTTTTGTCAAATCTGATTTGGTTTCCAGGCCCCCACACCCTCCTCTAATTAAAAAAAGTTGCTTGTAGCATTGTTCCAAAACTACGTCTCTGCTTGGCTGCCAACATCGTTAGTCACACACCCTGCCTTGCAATTGTTTTTTTGTTTTTTTTTTACCACATACTATATTGTAGTGTAGTGTGAATGAGGAGTACTGAAACCTCTTCATTAATTTGGTTACAGTTCATTAGCCGAAAAGCCAAACAACTTAGACAAAGTTACTGAGTGTGTACCTGAGGCAAAAAACCAAAAAGATGCTGTAATCCCCATTTTGAGCTGCATGACCAGATGTTTTGTGGTAAGCAGCTGTTACACTTTCCCATAGGTGAAATAAATGTAGGCACAGCGGGTCAAGATGTATTTGAGAGAGGCAAATCGATGCGTAGTGTAAACTGCAACCCGCCTCTACACAACCTGGACACAAAATGAATTCACTGCTCTGAATTCTTCAAAAAACTTCTGGTATAACTCAGGAGAAGAATAATACGAACACACTTGATAATTGGGAGTGGAGGGCAACTTAGTCTGGACATCGTCTGATCATATTTACATTTAACTGAGGATGTTTAATATGGTCACCAAAACAGAAAGGAGCTAAATAAAACCATTACAGATTCTGCATCTGCTGTAACCCCCTATTAAAATTCCACACCAAAGACAATCATGGTAGACAGGTCACCGCCACCTCCGTCCCACCTTGTTATTTTTAGCCATGGTAAATTTGAGAGTGACACACACACAGACGCAGCAGTGGCGAGCTGGAAAAGCTGGCATTACGTGATTGGGTGCACACTCATGCTGACGTGATAAAGACAACATCAAATTACCTATTGGCAGCTGGAAAATCCAAATGACACTAATGGGAGAGGAAGGCAGCGAAGGAATTTTAAACGCTCGCCCAAGATCTGTGAACAACTCTCGATTCTAGATGGATTCGTGGGTTATACCAGCAGATACCCATACAAAAGCAGCAAACAAGGATACTACAGGCTGACTCATTGCGTAAATTATTGTGGTATCCACTCTGATATTTTCTACCATGCTGGAAATTTTTAACTCGGAAGGTCCCAGAAGGATCAGAGAGAAGAGTTACAGCAGTTGTTTCTGACCTTCTGACTTCTTAAAACAAAACTATGTCTTCTTGCGACCCCTCATCACAGGCAGCAAGTTTATTCCTTCTCAGATTATATTTGGAAGCCTGCAGAGTTAAACTTATTCAGTAGTTAAAAGACAATTTGAAAAAAAAAAGAAAAAGATTAGAAAAAAGTCTGAAGAATAAATTTGATTTTGTGTATCATTTATCATTTATCATGTATTTTTTCTGTAAACCCTTAGGAGGGATCCTGAACTTGTCCACCTTTCCTCAGTTAGTCATCATAATTTGGGCTTCCTGTCAATTCCTGAATCCCTCTGGACATACAGTGTGTTATGGAGGCCATCATACTTGTAACTTGTTTAAATTTGCCTCTGCTATGTTGAACTTGCAAACTTGGTGTTAAAGCCCTGTAATGAAGGATTTCTTAATACAATATGATGCGTTATTCGCTTCGTGGCCACTACGTTCGGCGCAGCCCTCAAATAGCTCCTCAGTCCCTGTTTTGCTCCGCAGTGGGATAAATTGTTCAAGAAACTGATGTAAAATTTCTGGATATATCCCTTTAAATTTCCCTCATTAATATTTTTTCAGTTAAAATGATGGAGGGTCGTCACTCAATTTGTTTAACTCGGTTGGCTGAACGCCCACCTTTGAATACATTTTTTCGCTGGAGGGGGATTGTCGATTTTGTCCCCCGTGGCTAAAAAAAAAAAAAAAGTGACATGACAAAAAGTATTTTGAAGAGTCTCGATTTTCACATGACAATTAGTCTGATCTTGTTATTAATGGAAAGGAATGGTACCAGGCTTGTTCTTGTGCTGCTGCGGTCCATCCCCTTCAAGGTTGAATGAGCTGTGCATTCAGAGATGCCCTTCAGCTCACCACTGTTGTACTGAGCTGTTATTTGCCTGCTTGTGGCCTTCCTGTTATTTTAGAGAAGTCTGAAACTGTAGTGCAGCTGTTTCTGAGCTGATGAAAATACCATCTGGAAACAACATTTTTACAATGTTCAAAATCGCTTACATCGAGCATACATTAGCCAAACAGTAACAGAACCTGGCGACTGCTTGCATGATTTATTATTTTATTATTCACAGAGTAATTCACTTGTTCTGGCTGGTTGCATTTAGGAGCACTTTGTGACAATAAATAAAATAAAATTGCACATATAATCATTCCCCACACACCCACAAATACATGTAAAAGTCAATAGTTATATTCAGGGTAACTAGGCCTATCACACGTCACCGGAAGGACACTTCGTTACTTGGGATGAGTCCTACAACGTGGAAATCAGTTAGCATTTTAGCACTTCCAGTTCCCTCGTCCCCTAGTCTATGGGCTTTTGAATGGGTTTTTGGTTATATGGCTGAAATAAGGTCTGTGGTTAACAAAAGCTCAAGACAGTTTCATGTTTTATTATACAACATTAAATATGTCAGTAAATACCCCAGTCGTGATTTCTTTAAGCTTTTATGTCTCTTAACAAAGACCGGTTGCTAACAAGTGGCTCAATGACGCTACAGATGTTTTCGGGGACGTTAAACGTCATCATGCCGAACATGAAAACCAATCCAGCCGGCCCGTCGAGGCAGCGGTGCCGACGCATGTTCGCCTGGCAAGAAAGTTGGGCAAGGCACTACAATCACACATACTGTATGTGGTGGAAATCTTTGTAATGTGAAAAACACATTTCTTCTGTTTACCTCGCTGATGTTGTGAGGAAAGATACAATAATCGCTGCAGTGAAAAACAGTTGTAAAATCCATTATAAGCCGCTGTGCAGTGTTTTGGCGTCTGACAAGTCTTTACATTTATTAGTCTGTAACTCAGATGATGCAACTCCTGCATTGTATTTCAATGTCTGACCGGTAACACCCTCACAAATGAAGTCCCCTTCACTGTTTAAAACACAGGGCATAGGCACGTTGAGCAGACTATGGGGCTTGTCTCTTGTGATGGAACTATAACACGTGTTTACACTAAAATGTGTTTTTACCAAATGTAATACGATATCAGCCTCCCAGACAGCAGTAATGGCTTTACTTCATCATCTGCAGACTATGCAGACGTATGCAGATGCTGATAATGAGGCAGATGAATAAACCTCTATGAGCTCTCTGTGGTGTGTTACTGTGTTGTGTGTTTTGCCTGGTATGAGGCACGTCAGTGGCTGAGCTGGAATCAGATGACTCACATCACAGGGTAGGTTGCCAGGTGGGACACTGCGGCTCACTGTGGCGCCCATTTAGCTTGAGGCGTTCAAATACTCACAAAGTCAAGACTAGAATTACTGCTTCGCGGTTGTATGCCTCCGCCACTCAAGACTACTTTATCCAGAATCGTAAAATAATAATAAATAATAATAATAAAGTTTGTCATCATTGCTGAGTGAATTCTTGAGCTATGGCACAGCGACCTTGACCTTTGACCACCAAAATCTAATCAGTTGGTCCTTGTGTCCAGGTGAACGTTTGTACCAAATATGAATAATAAATGATATAATGATGGGGCTGATGTCAGAGGGGCACACACAGGGCAATGGTCTGAACCACATATGGCCTGGTATTGCTAGTGAGGGGCAACCATTGACTTTATATATCTATCTATTCTTTGGTCTACAGCCTCTGATTTACACTGTCTACATATCATGAGAGGCTATATACGTTATATAAGTCACAACATGAGCACCTTTAATTCCCCCAGTCACTTCCCAATATTGAAAAATAACTTCAGTTGGACAAAACATGAGAAAATATTGTGGGAGGATGACAAACATGGGGAGGCGTGTGAGAAATTTTCATGTGTGGCAAAAAGTAAACAGTGATTTGTGTGTGTGATGGTGATGTGGGACGATTCAAAAAAGAAAAAAAAGGAAAGAAAAAAAAAAAAGGGCTGTTCCTAAGTGACAGCGCTGGAAGGGAAACTGGTGTGGGCACGCTGATGGCAGGAGAGGCTGTAGCTGTGTGTGGGGTCAGTTTGAGGGTGACGGTAGTAGCAACCAACACCTAGCAACGCACAGGATGAGACAGGAAAAGGGGGAGGAGGGGGAGGGGGAGAGATGGAGAGAAAATACAAGCTTGGAGTGTAGCACTACCGAGGATAAAAAAGGATGGGAATTAAAGCGAATAAAAGGGGAATTATAGCTCACTGATGCTCTTTTTTTAGCTAACCCTGCTGTCTTCTTACTCTTATCCCCGACACAGAAAAGGAAGAAATCAGGGGAAAAAAATCATTTTAAAGAAGTGATTTTCTATAATATACTAGTGGCGCCAATTATAGAGTCAGCAACACGTCCTTTTACACAGATGAGAAACCTGGCTGTTTGTACTCCTAACAACCTGTGATCAAAGCGGCCCTCACTGCACCAGAATAATGGGCTGCACTTTAAACACTCACCTCTTCATTATCATGTGATGCCAAGCATGGAGTATCTGGGAGAGCTATTATCAGTCCAGCTTTCTGAAAGTGCAGCTGCTATTTGTCTAACCTCATTCAGGAGCCTGTCTGTAAGTACACACTCTTGGCTCTGCACTGGGCTGCCTCATGAGCTCGACCTGCGTCCATCTAATATACGAGATTATGAAGAAAGACCGCTGACAATGGACCAGCCGGAGTCAGGCATCTACACTACTCAAGGTAACAGACCTGCTAACCTGCTGGTGTGGCAGCCCGAGAGGTCCCTGAAGATGATTATGATGAAGCTACAACATGTTAAGTCGCTCATTATCCATGTGTTCAATGACAGTAGATTTACTTTCTTGACTTTTCCTGGTAATTCTTCAAAGAAATATCAAACTAATCTAAACCAGAAAGTGATTAGATTAAATTAACATCAATATCTAATATCTTTTATTGGTTGTGATGAAACAATCGTCACTACATTTCAGTTTTGGATGGTCCTGCTGATTTCATTTTTGTGTCTTGGATTGCTCAGACTGCCACGTCATGAATGAGAAAGTGTAAAAGCAGAATTTCAAATGCTTCCGATATTTTACTCAATGGAACACACACGTGGAAATTAATTTGCAGTCATGAATTCAAAATTAACCAAAAAATAACTACAAGCAGACGTCTCTTGCTTCTGGTTAATGTGATTGCATTAATGTGATTTTATTTTTATGACTTTGGAGTGCTGACATCAAAGGATTTACTGCTATGTTTGCTGCCTGTGTTGGCACATTAGAAAGTTTACCATGCCATGTTGCAGACAGAGCACAAAATCCCATTTATCCGTCCTGTATTTACCACAAGGTCCAATGTTTATATTTAGGAAAAATTCGCTCTGCTACTCTGCAGACTTTTGAAATGATGGCATTAAGAATATAAATGTCATTGAGAACATAAAATAAGACACAGCTTGAAAAATAGCCTTTATTTTTATTTTTCTTCTGTTGAGTGTATGCGCGTTTGTTTTCTCTCTCTCTTGACAAAGATAAGGTAGATTTCTGGTATTTATTTACTTTCTGGTGTCATGAGCAGCCACAACTCTCTGAGCCAAATCTAAATTACTTCATGTCCTTGTTGTGTGTGTTCAGTTGCTTTAAGGGTGGAACTGGCACAATAACAAGGTACAGTATATTGCTAACACACACTGTGTCTTAAACACAGATGCTGCATCAGTTTAAACACTGAAATAAAATGCAGGTTTGTTGACACTGTTTGCCATCAACTTCTTATTTACCCTTGTATTCTATTTTTCCATTGCCTCCCTGAAGCTAGCTTACACTGCCAGCTGTTTTGGCGTTATTCATTACAACTGAAGCACTGTCACTGTTTATGGCTTTCATCTTACTGGAAATGGCCTGTTTGTGAGTCGCTGAGTTAATTACACATCTGCACTTCACGCAGCATACAACGTGTAGTTTTGAGACAAACGAACCCAGGAAATATCATTTAGCCCACAACAGCTGCATAAAAATGCCGTTTGCTGAATGTCACAGCTGGTTGTTATTGAGGGACGTTAACAAATAATAGCACTACATTTGTCTGTCTGTATTAAAATGCAATTGCATACCTTTTTTTTTTTTTACAGTCATATGGCCTTTTATTGAGGGAAGCCTTAAAATTCGATGCTTTTTAAGTCTTTTAAAGACCTGCAAATACCCTGTGAATCCTAAATCAATAGTTGCAAGGTCTGACATGGATTACTGCCTACAGTCCATTAGTAATCTAAAGACTCCTTGACTCAGCTGTGGATGTGCTCATTTGTCTCCATCATGTTAATCTGCAGTGTGGAGTGAATCGACGCAGCACTGAAAACAGTACTGACTGCTGTGCTCTAAACGTTGCACATGAGTCATTATTACACTGTAGGAAGAAACTAGGCTGCTCAGGGCACCTGCTACACAAACACAAATCTATATACCATGTTGGTCAGTGACGCCCTGCAGGAGCTTGGGTTGGTTGTTAAACAGACTATCATGTGTTTAAGATTCCTGCAGCAGCCAAAGTGTTAGTCACTGGAAGCCTTTGCACTCTGACCTTTCTGGTGAATGTGCTCATGGATGTACAGTACATCCAGATAATATGTTAATAAGATATGACTTAACATCATTTATGTAGTGACGTCTCATCCCTACATGGGACTCTTCAAGTTACAGTTTGTCACTTCCCATGTGTGCTGAGTGCTCAACGCGTTTCCAGACTCAAATAGACGATGACAGAGTTTAGATAACTCTCACACCAGACAAGGATGCCGCCACAATTAACACAGGTGTCTATCACTTGCAAAATTTGCAGCAACATGGAACAAGGAATTAATAACATGGAAATAATAACCGCCACAAACATTATGTGAGAAGACTCCTGGCGTTTGAATATATATTGGATCTAATGGTTCTTTTTGGATCTAAAGGGACTTCTAATGTTTGTGTGACACTCAAGTAACGCGGCAAGTGTTTTAAAGTTGTTTCTTTTCTAATGGATGTCCTTAAAAACTCCTTAAAACATCTCAGAACACTTCAATGTGCTGTAGGTACATCAGAGCAAAGCACAAACTTTGCTGCTGAAGGTTGTGAAGACTGAAACTTCGTAAATAAATGAATATACTAGCGGTAAGAGAGTGTGCAGGAATGTTTTCTAGTAGATGTGTAGGGAAAAAAAAAAATCTCTGGGGAAGTCGTGATGTGCCCTGCAATACTAAAACAGCCCCACAGAAAAGTGCCGTTTCTTGGAGGTTTGGAAAAAGCACTGAGACAAGAGAGCAAACCAGCACAGAGAAAGTGTATGGGCTTTGTTGTGAAAAAGCCACAGCAAGTCTCGTGTGGTAGATATTAGCATTAGCTTAGTGTAGGCTATCTAGGTTTTAAATGAGGTTCGAAGTTGGTTTCAATCTTAAAATCAGTGGATTAATGTTACACCGAGAAAAGGTTTGGTGATGAGTTTAAGACAAATGGTGCAGTGGTCTTCAAACCTCTGACAGGCATCTATAAGGTCAACGGTATTTTCCCTGTATTGTGGCTATGATTAGAAAAATGAGTGGGTTTGATTGTACAAGCTTTCAACAACATGTTTTGTAGAGAAAAAAGAATAATCAAAAGCGTGAGAGACCGATATTCAGTTTGTACTGGGCAATGTTGGAGACAATGACAAATCTAAATCCAATTTCATGAAACCATGTATCAAGGTGTTCAATGGGCAGTGGGTCAAAGTCAGAGGAGGAAAGAAAGAGACAGGTAGACAGAGAACTTAAAATTACACCGCCGATAACACTGGGCTGTTCCTATGTTTGCGCTGTGGATTTTATGCTTACATTGAAAAAGGTATGGTAGATAGTTTTGAATAAAGATGGTAATATGTTCCTCATGTGCTGCCGACGTGACACACCCTGTCTAGACAAACGATCAGCCTCCATTTTTTAATCCTGCACAAGTGCACAGGATGTTACAGTGACACACAGGGGAGATCTCTTTGCTGTTTAATAATAGCACATGACTTAACAATTAACTGCTGCTGTGGTCACTCTGGGCTCTGAATGTAGAGTTTATTTTCTAAATCTCAAGCGGCCACTGAAATTTTTAAGCACTCCGTGCTTGTGTCCTCACCATGTTAGTGATCTCCGGGTATGTGGACTCCACCAGCACCCCTCGGTTGGTGGAAACATAGTCCACAAGCTCGTTGAGCGTCGCCCTCTTGATCTCCTTGCTCTTTAGATCGATCACCGAGTCGAAGAAGTCGAAGAGCATGCAGCACTGCTGGAGTTTCTGGGTGAACAGTTCCTGCTGCTCCGTGGAGGGGGCATCTGAAATCACACAAAAGGAGAAAATACACTGATTATCACCGCTTATATATAGAACGCAAAGAATGTAATGCTCTGTGGAAAGAGATTACAGATGAGACAAGCAGGGTTGACAACTGCAACCCCGAGGTGGTGTGACTTGCTTGTGCAGAATAATAGTGTGAAATCTAAGGGAGTGCATTTTAATTTTGCATGTGTCAGGAGCGATTTTTTGTGTCCCCGGCTAATTCTGGGTGAGCAGGTCTAAAACCATGACACAACAGAACAACCTCTTGATATTTCTTTTGCATAATATTACATATCCAAGACCGACAAGCAGACAGACACAATACACCAGTGTATTTTGCCACACAGAGGCAGCCCAGTCATTCTCGGCTTTGATTGTAAAGCCTTTTATGGATTAGACGGTGAGTGCGTTCAGGGTTATTAGAGCTGTCAAACTTGACCCCGGCTAAGCTATAAACAGTGTTTGGCAGCCGTCCAGAAACGCGGTGACACACTGTACAGTGATGTTCTGTTCCTACACAGCAGACGCTCGTGGCTGCAGACACAAGACCCTCTCTGTAATGGTAGCAGGAAGACGCAGCTAAAGTGAACTAGCTCTCAGGTCTGATTAACGACACCTCAGGAACCCTACACCCCAAAGGTTGTGAGGTTATGCAAATACAGATGCCATCCATGACACTCGTTGACACTGAGGTACATTGGCGTAGCTCATTAAAATTTATGTCTAAATGGCACATTTTTGGGTGTAAATGAAATACAAGTTGATCAAATTTGGTTGTTTTCTACACTGGTAACTGTCTCCCATCTCTACCAGAACTTGAGTCACATGATGTGAAGTACAGCTGAACAATTATTAAAAATAATATTGAAATCGCAATATGGCCAAGAGCAATATCCAAATCACAAGAGCTGCAGTTATTTTTGATAAAAGGTTTAATGTGTCCTAACAGAAAATAAATGAAGCATTGTGGTGCCACAGAGATGCACCCGGCCTACAAATACATATTCTCCAGATGTAAAGGAACATGCTTGTTTGGTGCAAGACCCAACAAAAATCCCATCATCATCATTTCTATGTTTTTTTCAGTGAATGTGAAATGCAAAAAAAGGAAATTCCAACTGAAATCGTGACTCATTTCACAGTCGCAATATCTGCCAAAATAAATCACGATATGATTTTTTTTTTTTTTTTTGCATGTTGTTAAGCCCTAATGTGAAGTAACTCCCTGTGAAGCAGTTCTCAATACACTTCACCAAGTGTATGTACATATATACGCACTGAAACTTAAACAGCAAGTATTTTGTTAAGCGATTAATCTCGTCGGTTATTTTTCAAGCATAAATGTCAAATATTTGCAGGTTCTCACGAGGAGTTGTTGCTTTCCTGTCATACTGTACATGCCAGTCAACTGAATATTGTTAAGATTATGGACTCATTCAGACAAAACAAGCTAATTGAATACATCACCATGGTCAAGGAATTTATTCACTATTTATGTTTTTTTTTTTACATTTTATAGACTAAACAAATAATTGATTTATTAAGAAAATACATGTGAAATAATTATTAGTTATAGTGCAACAGTGTCACTTTTTCAAGCAAAAATACAAAACATTTGTTGGCTCCAGCTTTTCAAATTGTGAGGACCGGCTGGTTTTTATTAACCAAAAGTTTCTGTTTCTGACTTGCAATTTGAATATGAAACTTTTCAATCGATCATGAAAAAAACTATTTCTCGCAGCTCTAAAGCACAAAAACACACTTGTGCGTTTACACTCCACTCCTACAGAATGTGTTTTTAACAGCGAGAGGAGAGAAGTGAGAGGGTGAGAAGTCATGGTGCGGTTTCTTATTGAGCAATGTTATGTAACTGAACAGGCATTACCCCATAAAATGGTGTGGCATGGGGACATTGCAAAGTGAGGCACAGCTGAAAAATGTTCACAGCTAGTGAAAAGGTTCCAATGGTGTTGACAGCTGACGAAGGACTTACGCAACTCAACTCCATAGGTCAAACAACCGGCTTCTGCACTGAGTGAGTGTAATATCTGAGTGTAAGTAAACCAGGGGGACTTGTTATCACACTTCTTTGCCTTAATGCCAATTTTCCAAAAGTATCGAATCTCAAAGGATTCCATACTGAAAGGGCAGACTGAATACCAAGCTGGGACAAGAAAGGAGAAGGGCCGTGATGCCCCTGTGGCCTGAATGTTGCTGTCGTTAATATGACACATGGGTGGTTCACATTTCTTCCTCGTCAGTGGCATGTGGAAGATTTTCGTAGGGCTGGGTGTCATATCTTTGGGCAGGCATACTGGATTCAAACCTTCAGTGTTTTCTTGGCAGTGGGAACCACATATTTTAAGGCCACCTACAGGGACGAGACGATTGATACCGTCTCTTAGTAAATGTGAAGCTATAGCCAGCAGCCTGTTAACTGTGAGACAGGCTTTCTCCCGTCTTGCACCAACATTGTTGTTTTTACATTTTTGCACAGGTTGACTAAACAAGATACAACATGTTAATTAGGCAGCTTCGAGTTACTGGAAGTGTTTGTTTCCTCTGGACAGAAGCAGCATAACTATTTCCCTATGTTTCCAGTGTTTATGCTAAGCTAAGATAAAGGTCTCCTTGCTGTAGCTTCATATTTACTGTAAAAATCTGGGAGTGATATCAATCTTCTCATCTAACTCTCAGCGAGAAAGCAAATGAGTGCATTTAGCAAAATGTCAAACTGTTTCTTTAAGTCTACGCTCTGAAGGTTTTCTCTGTGGATCATAACTATATTTTTCTCCACAGTTCCGTCATGAGGGGTCATGGTCATGCAAAAATGACAAACACGCCTCCCTTGCTGTTTCAGAGAAACAACACAGGCAACATTCAAGTTGAGTTTTCTCATACTCAACGTAACTGGAGAATATGTTACAAATTTTATTTGTCTTTAGCCTCCAGAGAGGAGAGATGGCCGGCCTTGCCAGTTACAGACATGCAGATGCTTTTCCCAATGTGAGGCTATTTTTGCCCTTCAGATACATATCCTTCAGTGCACAAACTCCTCAGGGTGTTTAGCATGGAGGGAAAATATTTCCATTAGGACGATGAAGCTATGTGTGAGAACAAAGATAAGAAAGCATCTGAGAGATCAGATAATAATTCCAAATTAATCAAGCTGCCAAAGATCTACATGGATTCAGTTTCAGAGCAATAAATGGTAATGTTAATCTGAAGGAGAGAACAGGAGTACTTCACTCCCACATGAAGTGCTTTATCTTGGATTCACAACACGGGAAGGAAGACGAGGCATCACATTTAATCTCTATGTGCTGCATGTTCTGAATGCTGCATCTTGCCAAAAAGCTTCAGGAATCACTTATACTATTGTCTGGATGCAAAAACATGCAATTTCATGACCACACATAACCATGAGTAAGGAAGTGGCAGCGTTCAAAGGAGAGAGATAAAGCACAAGATGTATAATAACTCCTTTGATCTGCACAGTGAATAATTCACAAATGGTCTTATTGTGTCGCCGTTAATCTCTGCAGGTATTTGTGTATTTGCTTTAGCCGAACTTCTGTATCTTTTGAGAATGAATGTCTCTACAGAATTACTGTGGCACTATAACAAGAAGAGCGCTGGATTATATAGTTTTCCAGGTAATGCCAAACCTTTGAATATCTTAAAGATGAAATGACCTCAAATGACACAGGAAGCACAGTGTCTCCCAAACACAGCAAACAAGCACAAAAGCCATGAAATAACAACAACACGCTAGTCCACTGTAATAAAACCTAGATTCAAAGGGAAGTTGAATTTTGTAAAAAGGGTTGCACAAGTTTGCGACTAGTAATCACCCACAGCGTTGAAAACTTTACATATACCAGTTTCATCTATGTTACTATTAGTGGAATAAGATCCATGGAGAATCTCACACAAACACACACACACACACACACACACACTCACTCACTCACTCTCACACACACACACAATCCTAAAATACACTGCAGCTTGTTCTGTTGAAAACCCCCAATACTAAAGAAACATAGCAGCTCATCTGCTCTGTATTTAGCAACACCAGACTCTAGTTGTTGTCGAGCACTGTCATGTAGAAACCAAATGTTGCACAAGTTATTCAGTCATGATGCTGGTCACATTTCTCTGCCTATTGTAAAGAGGTGAATACCACAATGGTTTGTAGCTATGAGACAAACACTAAGTTGGGATGCTTGCAGAACAAAGGATGTTTGGAAGGATGGACACTTCACAATTCTGTTTATTTCCAAATCCTATAATTATAACTTGCTGAAATGCACCAACTCTTGTTCATGCGTTCACATTAAACTCGTCTCTTAATATGAAGGAGAATTTCTGTTGGAAAAGAAATCACAGTTAAAAATGATGATGACAACATTGTGCTGCAAGATTTTAAGAAATTTGCACCTCAGTATCATTGACTCTTATAAAAGTATTTGAGACAGTGGAGTAAAACTTCAGAGTGGTTTCTCAGAAACATGCGTATATATCGCACAACAAAATCCAGATTTTGTGAGAAACAGGAAATATGAATTCATCTCAACGACCACAGCACTGCAAAGACTGTTCAAAGAACATGCTTGGTTAATTGTTCAATTAACCACAAGCAGACAAGCGACAAAAACACAATAAAAGAGTGAAGAAACTTAAGGCAGAGGCTTCTACACAGGGCATGAATGGTTTGTTGAGTATGAAAATGATGTGAGTCATAAGCATCCACCAGATCTCAAGTTGTTTTGACACCTACAGGATATTTTGGAGGGGTGTGTTAGACAGCGCTCTCCACCAACATCATGAAAACACTGAATGTGGGAAAATCTTTTGGAAACTGTTCTGGTGGCCACTACAGGCCCAACATCTTACTGACACACTTTAATCTGTCCTGTATCACTATATTTTGCTGTGCAATGAACTTCTCATAGCTACTTCCTATTATTATCTTATTATTATTTTTTGCAAC